CAATCATCACATTTCTGGCTTCTTCCCTGCCTCCTGTACTCTGCCCAGGATTCCTGGGGGGCAGGAGGAGCACAGAAGTGCAGACCAAAGAATTAACTTCGGCTGTGTGTTACAAACAGACAAACACTAACTCCCTCGCTTACACAGCTCCTTCCTCTCTCCCCATAATTTTCAGTGCAATTGACTATGGAGGAAAGGGCTTCCTGTGTCCCAGCAGGAATGGTTGGCGACCACTCACTGACTTATTAACAGTCAGAAGAAATAGAGTTCCTTTGGTCTTAGGGCGTAAATATATGTAAGTATTAAATGTCTCATTAGCATGTATCTTTCATTATGCTGGTGACTGTAATCCCCAAGTGCCACGCCCTAGGTAAATCGCAGCTTTGGTGAGCCTGAAGAAGGGGTTCTGAAAACACCCATCATGCATGGCCCCCCACTGTCTAAGAAGAGTTAACTAGAGGGTTACTGCTGTACTATGAACAGTTCTACAACAGTCCTGTGGCATGTTTTTCCTTAAACTGAGTCAGTGTAAGGAGCATATTTAATAAGGGGAACAATTTTTATAACTAGCATCGTAATGTAGTTGGCTCAGTCTTTGTCAAACATAATGGATCAAACAGAAAAACATTTTTTCCTCTCATAGAACAGATGGGGATCTGTTAGAGATCAACTGAAACAATGGAGCCCTGCAGACATGGAAGACCTTTTTGGGGGTTGGGAGGTCCCAGTGTCTTCACAACCTAAGACATTTTCACTGATAGTGCAAGAGCACTGGTGTGTGTGGTAGTTAGAATTCTCAGCTGGCGTGAGGCTTTGCATACCATGTGACCCTCTAACTTTGAGCTGGGGGTGACACCTGTGAAAGGGATGGGTGATCACTCCCATGCTGAATTTACTACTCAGCTGACTTTGACTTAATAAAGGAGGTTATCCACTGGGTCTGGTCGAATCAGGTGAACCCTGAGAGGGAATAAGGCCTTTCCTGTTGTAAGAGGTTGGAGACACAAGGTCGAGCTGGTGTGTGGGCGCTGCAGAGAGAGGTGAGGAACGTGGGGGCCTTGACCTACTCACGAGCTGGTGTGTGGGCGCTGCAGAGAGAGGTGAGGAACGTGGGGGCCTTGACCTACTCACGGTCACTGCAGTTGACTTCCAGCAAAGAAACGGGGACTGCAGTCTTATACCTGCAAGGAATTTAATTCCGCCTCCACGATGGGAGCTGGGAAGAGGAGCCTAAGCTGACAATGACTCAGTCTGGGCAGCACCTTGATCTAAGTCCATGAGACCCTCAGCAGACAACCAGGCATGTGGTTTCCCATGACGGATGGAGAGGGTGTCCAGCTGATGGTTCCACGTTTGTAGCACTCTGTGAGGAACAATAGCACAGATCCAGGCCAGGACGCAACACTGTTCCAGTAGTCACCTGTTCTTCACCTCCATGAGCCACAAGAGAGTGTCCTTCCTAAAGGAGTAGAGACTATCGACTTCCCCAATCCCAGAGCTGGAGAGCAAGTCATCGCACCGCTCTGAGAGATGCAATTCAAGGCACACAGGGCATGTGGGCCGCATGCAGAGGCACAGTGGCTGCCTTCCGGGAAAGACCTGCCACTGGAGTCGTGGTCTGCACCAGCAGCTTGTGTCATGCAAGACCACGCTTACCCCAAGAGTGACAAAAACTACGATTATGCAGATGGGATATATGGCAGACGTTTTTCCCAGAAATGAATGAAATAAGGCTATCATTTCGGGGAAAAGAACTGACACCATTTGTTGCCAATCTTGCATGCAAGAAATAGAATTTTGGAAATTTAAGTTCTCTGATGTAAGCTTGACAAACTCTTCAGACATAAAAACTTTTAAGATCAGTGGTATACCGACGGATGTGATTTTTAAAATATTGCATAATGAAATGTATTCACACTTGGAAGATCCTCATAGCTCAGTCAACCAGTATTTTTCAAAGGACCAATGCGTGATGTTACAAAACTGCGTGGGTCAAAGATCCATTCAGCATGCATGATAATCAATGGTTTTTAATGTAGCTGAGTGTGAAATGTTGAATCACTGATATGGTTCCAGATTTCCAAACCGCAACTAGCCTTAAGAAACTACCACTTGTGGAATGTTAGTAACAATGAGCAACATTCACAATGATCTGAAAAGGCTGTTAACGTTCTTTCCCATTTTCGAACTACACGTCTATGTGAGGCCAGGTGTCTGCAGGTACTTCACGGGTCAGCTTTTTGTAAGAGATAGCATGAAGAGGCGGAGAGCGGGTCTAGTTGTCTCCAACTAAGGCATAAAGAGATTAAAAAAAAATGTTAAACAATGTCAGTCTTTTGACCAAGTTTATGTTTGTGTGGGGAATTCTATTTTTAAAAATATTTATTTAGAGAGGGAATGAAAGCATAAGGCGGGGGAGGGGCAGAGGGGAAGGGAGAGGGACAATAGGACTGTTTGCTGAGATGGAACCAGACATGGGGCTCGATCTCATGACCCCAAGATCAAGACCTGAGCAGAAACCAAGAGTTGACACTTAACTGACTGAGCCACCCAGGAGCCTACAAATAATTAATTATCTTTATAAAAGCATGTCACTTATGTTACTAAGTCATGGACTTCTTATTTTTAAATAGATGAATAAATATGTTTAAGGAAGTCTCGGTTTTCATGACTGTTACAGTAACTATTGATAGAAATAATGCACAAAAAATCTTTTTGGTATCTGCAGTAATTTTTTAAAGTATAAAGACCTGACATTAAAATGTTTGAGATATGCCAATATTGATCAAAATCAGGAAAGCTTGGCTCAGAAAGGCTTTGTCCCTTGTTCTTCAGCTTACATTTCCTGTTTTCATGCCACCTGCTAGCCCACTACTAAACCAACGACGTACATTCAATTAAGATACAAAACAAACAGCACCCTACTGCTGATATAAATTGCTCTGTTGGTGGCTTAATTTACTATAAAAAGCAGACCATATACATACGCACAAAATGGTCCAAACACATAAAGGTTATTTCTTGTTTGTTTAACAGCTGCTGGTCCTGCTCCTTACTGAGCAAGGAGCCCTGCGACCTACACATTTATGGTTTTGTCATCTCTTGTTTTATATCCAGCTGGCAAAAGATGAAGGTGCACTCACTTCTTTCAAACCCTGGCTTGTAAGTGGCACACATTACTTCTGCTCACATCCTATGGGTGAGAATGAGTTAATGGCCACAACTGGAGAGTAGCCACTTCTTAGCCATGGAAGGAGAGAAGGGATATTGGCGGGAGGCTGGCTGGCCTCCACTGTGATGTAGAGCCTGGAGATCTATTTGGGCAGCGGTCTTCGTTCTACAACTAATCATCTGCGTATAAGTTAGTTATATCTGAGATTCCTTCTGATTTATTGAAGCTTCATGAGTACAGAGACCTAATTGGTCTTTGGTCCACTCTATGGCTAATTTTAGGTACACAGCAGTGACAAAATTCCTACCCTCATTGGGCTTACGTTGTCAAGTGGAGTTTCTAGGATTCTTGATGTCTGGGTTACACTATATCTGAACAGTCAAATGCTGTATCTTGTGGAAGTCCAAAGCCCAACAAAGATTCCTACAAATTCCTGGGAGGATGACATTCACTACATCCCATCTGCTTCCCAGACTCATGTTCCTACCTGCCTTCATACCTACCACATTGCCATGGATGCTGAATGCAACCATTTCACACATTTCCACCAGAATGGCTCACCTAGACCAAGCATTTGTCAGTACAGGCGCTTTCCTGAAGACCACGTGAAGGGTCATAATGTCCGCTGCAGAGCAAAAATCTCTGTGTCCATATTTAGCCATCTTTGCTTCCAAAATCCGTCTTAGCTACCTAGTCATCTCGGGCTCCTGTTTGGATTTTTTCCCATCCAGTGGCCAGCAACCCAATTCATGGACTCCTCTCTCCCACTTTGAGGATTATTTCTTGAGAATTTGAATTCCTTTCCCTTTATAATTCACAGCGTCCCACTTTCTTTAGTTCCCATTCCCAAATCCCACTTAAGATGATCAGAAGATAAAAAGACCCTCTTTCCAATTATAAAAGAATAGAGTTTTACGAGGAAGTTGTGAAAATTGAATGCAAATTAATTTGCATTAATTAATTAGAGTTCCTCAGGATGAAGGCTCTAACCGGAGGCTAGATGATGCCCGACCAGACCACGAAGTCCTTCAAGGGCAGGGCGCACGTCCAGGGCCTAGCCCAGGGCCGGCACACAGCAGCACGCAGCCAAGTCGGGCGGTTTTGAGCTCCGATGCGCGACTGCTGAGCGCGGTTCCGCGGTCTGCAGGGCGCCGCGCGGAGACCACGGCACGGCCCCGCCGCTGCTGCGTTCGTACGGAGAGCGGGCGCAGCCGGCGTCGGTTGCCGAGCGAGCGAGCGGGCAGCAGCTGGCTTCGGGCATCCCGCACAGGCTGCTGTCCGGGCAACAGCCGAGACGGAAGACCGGTGGTCGTGGTTTTTCGGGAACCGGCAGCGGAGCACCAGGGCGCAGGTGCGGGATGAGGCAGCGCAGCAAGCGGCGCGGGAGGAGGACGCGGGATCACGGCCCCCCCCCCCCCCCCCCCGGCGCTCTCCCTCGGCCTCTTCCCAGGGCGGCCTCCGCCTTCCGCCGCAGCCCGGCCCGCACCGGTCGTCCCCGCAGACCCGGCCTGGCGCCGGCGGCTGCAGGTGCGGCGGGAGCCCCAGGGCCCGGCGCTCCGGGGTCCGGGTCCCGCGGCCTCCGCGCGGCTGCACGGCCTCCGCCGCCCCCCACCGGCCGCCACGAGAAGTCCGCGCGGGGAACACGCGGCGGGAGCCCTCCAAGCCCACCGCCCCCGAGCGCCTCCGCGGACCGTGCGTGCGCGTGCCCGAGCGCTAACGCACACGCCGCGCGCACGGCCGCGCCGACGTCGCGCTCCGTCGCCATAGCGACTGGCCCTGGCAACCGCGAAGCCTGCGGGCTGGCGGGCGGGCTGCGGGGGCCGGCGCCATGGCGGGCGCGAGCAGGGACGTGCGGAAGGTCTTCATCTTCACCACGACGCAGAATTACTTCGGGCTGGTGTCGGAGCCCTGCGGCCAGCCGCTCGTGTGCAGCGGCCCCGAGATCAACAACTTCCTGGACGACGGCAACCAGATGCTCCTGCGGGTGCAGCGCTCGGACGCCGGCGTCTCCTTCTCCAACGCGGTACGGCCCCCCCAGCTGGGCACCCCCCGGAGCGGGCCCCGCCCCCCCCCCCCCGGGGGCCCCCCCCCCCCCCCAGGCTCGGGCTCCCTCCTCCGGGACCCCCGCGGCCTATCCCCCGGAGAGGGCCCTGCTCAGCCCTTATCAGGGACCCCCCACTCAGGCTCCCCTCTGAGCGGGACCCGCTTCAGTCCCACGTCAACCTGCCTCCTGGACACCCCCGTCCCCCCCCGTCCCCCCCCGTCCCCCCCGCCCCTCCCCTCCTTGGGTCTTCTCCTTCGGGGGGGTCCTCCCTCATCTCCCCTAGCCCCCCCACCCGCCGCCAGGTCTCCCCCCACGCTGTGCTTAGCTGCACTCACGCACCTGAGCAGAGCACCTCTGAGCTCTCCTAGTTTTGCTTTGTTCTTAAACACTACACGTGTGTTACAATTAAAAAGAAATCATCTGTCTTACCGGAAAAGTTGTTTTTCTCCTCCCTCTTGAGGTTCTTTGAGGCAAATTGTAATGTATCTTTTTTGGGGTATGCGCTGAGCTTAAATGGACTCGAGGGAAAGGTTGGTTAGGAGTTCAGATCTTTTAGGAAATAGTAGAATACGAAGTTTGAATTCTTTTTTTGAGTGGGCAGTATGTGATTGACTCACTGACCATTGGCGCTGCTGCCTGCACCGGCCGGCCGGCTCAGATAAGGAAACCTGAGGGTGGTACTCTGAAGAATGGTGTCAGGCATTGCAGGGTTCAGTAAAAGCAGCAAAGACCTATTGTAAAACCTCTTCCTCTCCTGTTTGCCCGAATCTGAAGGTCCAGGAGAGTCTTCCCACAGCAAACCTGGAGGGTAGTTTTGTTCCACGATTGAGTCATTCACCAGGAATCTGTAGTCTTGGATGTAATTCGATTCTCTTCAATAAACTTTGATTTTGAACTCTACATATTCAGGGCACTTTGCGGGGCTCCACTGGTCTAGAAGACACTCTTCAGGCACTGCTTTATGGCCTCGATGCGCATGGGCTCATTCAGTGTTCACAGCAACACTTTAAAGCGGGTTTGTCTTCATTTCCATTTTATGGCAGAAGAGGGAAATGAGGCACAAATGTTCCATCCCAAGTAGTAACCACTCCACTGCTCTAACTGGTCGTAGAATTCAGAGTGGGAGTCTCTGCCTCTGCCTTCCAGAGCCTCCCTCCAGGGGCCTGAGGTGACCTGCACCACTCAACAACTTCAGGGTACACTGTTGGAAGTGCCACTGAAAGTTTAAGGAGAGTGTGGTCCAGGGAAAACACCAGGAGGAAGGGTTTGGATTGCTGAAAATGTATCTTGGGTTGGGTACTGAAAATTGAAGTGATAACTTTTTTTTTTTAAGATTTATTTATTTATTAAAGAACGAGAGCCCAAGAATGGGGTGAAGGCCAGAGGGAGAAGCAGACTCCACGCTGAGCAAGGAGCTTGTTGTGGGGCTCGATCCCAGGACTCCGGCATCGAGACCTGGACCCGGGCAGATGCTTAACCGATATTTCAGGTGCCCTGAAGCGTTAATGCTGTCGAGGCTAGAGTCCAGCAATATATTTTACATTTAGTCATACAGCACACTACAGACTTGCAGTTATGTTTGAAATGTCTTGCTGTGTCTTATGTTGTAGATGTCTGGCAGTCAGCGGGATCTGATAAGTTAATAAATATTGAGTACTTAGGATGGGCCTGGTACTGTACAGGATGCTTGGAATAAAGCCTTGAAAACGGCAGAATTTGTCTTCAAGGAGCAGCATTGTAGTGCACAAAGGCAGGGTAAACATGTACACACAGATACATAAATGTAACATAATTTTGGGCATGGATAAGTGCGGTTAAGATCAAAATAGAAGGGCGCCTGGATGGCTCAGTCAGTTAAGTGTCTGCCTTCGGGTCAGGTCATGATCCACGGGTCCTAGTCCTCTGTTGGGCTCCCTGCTCCATGGGGAGTCTGCTTCTCCCTCTCCCTTTGCTGCTCCCCCTGCTTGTGTGCTGTCTCTCGCTCGCTTAAATAAAAATCTTAAAAAAAAAAGATCAAAATAGAGTAATGTTGAAGTACTGATGAGGGAGGGATGGAGGGGGAAGGGCTCCCTGTCAGGATTAGTGAGCTTTGAAGTGAGATTTCCATGATAAGCTGTAGGCAGACAGAAGATTTAGAGGAAGCATGTTCTAAGCAAAAGATACGCACCAGAGCCCTCTTCATTTTTTAAAAAACCTGTTTTTGCTTTAGGGCTGCGCAAACACAGGCAGCAGGCCATGGTCGGCTGGTGCCTGATGGATCCCAGTAGGTGAGAGAATTATTTTGCAACCTCAAAACAGAAAATTTTTTGTGCTTTGAATGAAGAGCTATCCGAATTTCCTCAGTTAAGGGAAAATCACAGTTGCCACTGGTCAGGAAACTGGCAGGAAAGGCAGCGAGGAGTGCTGGTTCTGTTTTCCTCTTCTTGGGAATGAGGAGCAGCTGCAGCCCACTGCTGCTTGCTAGGACAAAGCTCGTCATCTATCGTGGCAGGGGTGGGGGGGGGGGGGGACTCGGCCAGTGACTGTGGGTAATGTTTTCCAAGTTTGATGACAAAATACATATTCTCTGAATTTTCTTTCTTTAGATAGGTGGGAGAAAGAGAGTACCGGGGTATGTACAGTTTAACCACTAAAGAGTGAATTTTTCAAATCTATCTATCTGTAGTTTATTGTTTTTGCTTGTAATTGGAATAAAATGATCATACTGCAATAGAATTTTAATGTGTGCAAATGGCATTTTGAGAAATGCGGCAATACTACGTAAATGCCAGTTCCTTTTTTGTGCCTAGAAAATATAATGATTAGGGTAAAAGAAAAGTAGCATGAAATCTCACTCATCTATAAGGAGTTTTCATGCACAGCAGTGAACTTGTTTCAAAGCTTTTTAATACATATACTTCTCTTTCTGGAAAAAGAAATGAGAGCAACTGTGAAAATGCATATATAAAGCAAAAACTTATTTTGGGTAAGACACTTTTCAGCCAATGGACTAATTACTGTGAACTGACCTATTTTAAACATGGTTGCTTTAGTGAATTCCAATTTAGCTCCTCCAATACCGACTTTAATCTAGTTATACAACTTAAATGAAAAAGTTTGATGCACAAATACTTTAAGGAAACGTTTTTGATTCAGATAGAGATAAACATAGGAGATAGACACGTCTGTTTTGGTAGTTTTGAGTTTGTGACTTAAAAAGCACATTTAAAATGCTAGTTTCAGGTGAGAGGGTAATAAACATCCTTGGTTTAGACTTTTTGGAATAGAGTGGAAACATACACTACTAATCAGTGTGTGCCTGGGGTGCACAACTTTGGTCTGTAGTATTACTGAATCTGGTTAGAGTGGAGTAGTTAGCAGTATATGCCCACAATATTTATATAGTCCTCTCTCTGTTTGCAAACCACTTGTCACCGTGGCTTTAGGATATAGTCACACATAAGTGGGGATGCATTTTAAAACCCAGATACTCTTAAGGAACAGGGATGGATTGGTTGTAATATACTGTAATTATTTTAAAGTAACTAATTTTTTCCCAAGGGATAACAAATACAGTAATAGAACAGTTTTAGGGAAACATTTCTTTCAAATACTTTCCTGAAAGTAACATTAAAAATCTTTTGTTTATCACTTAGATTGATTTTGCTGACACAAAAGATAAAGTGCTGGTGTTTTTCAAGCTGCGACCTGAAGTAATTACTGATCAGAATCTACATAATAACATTCTGGTTTCGTCTATGTTAGAATCACCTATAAATTCTCTTTACCAAGCGGTACGGCAGGTATTTGCCCCGGTGTTGTTAAAGGTGAGTGAGCCAAAGGAGCTGGGTGGTCACTCTTTTAAAGCTAGGTATTTGTATAAATATCTTTATAAACCAAGATACATATTTTATTTGCTGTTAATATCATTATTTTAGTGTTTTAAATGTTATAAAAATTATAAAAAAATTTAAAGTCAACTTTGTTGACAGAGAAATGGGAGAAAGAGATAAATGTAATCCATATCAGCTTTTATGTTGTAATATAGTAAATGATTTTATAAAGTTTTACCTGTTGAAAGGCTTTTTTTCCCTCCTTCATGAGATGGAGGGCAGTGGCAGGCTTTGAGTGAAACAGGTGTATTTGGACTTATTTCTCTCAACAGTATTTTAAAGAAGCCAGTTTGATCGGAAAACTTTTGATCAATGTTTGCTCTTGTCTATTTTTCTTCAGGACCAGGAATGGAACAGAAACTTTGATCCCAAACTTCAGAATCTTTTGAGTGAATTAGAAACTGGGTTGGGTATAGTTCTACGAAGATCAGACATTAACTCATCAAAATTGAAATTTAAGGAAGATGACACACGAGGTATAGAACCGTAGCTTAATGAAAGAAAGTCAAAACCGTTTACTTATCAGTACTAGTATTAGTAAAGTAATACGTTTTTTCACAGATTTATTTCCATACTTTTGGATCTTCTTTGAGCTTCAGCTTCTTTTAAATGAATAGATTTACATGGATTTTGAGAGGAGGAAAATGTAATCTTTAACAATGTGCAGTTCATGGACATAGAAAATATAGTTGCCTCTCATTATTTGCAGTAGGTCTGTTCTGTAAATTCACTGTGAATATTGAATTAGTAAATACTGAACTCTTGGTCCTAGGAAGAAAACGAAGTTAGGTTCCTATGAGCCTCTGGTCATAACATTTTTATTGACTTCTCACCATGTAACCTTATTTATGTATGTTCCAGTTTTTAATATAATATTTTATATGTGTTTCTGTTTTAATATAATTAACACTTTTTAAATATAGATTGTTGATTTTTAAATATAGATTGCTGATTGATTAACATAGGCCTCAAGTGTAGCAGCTCTGTAACTCATGCCTGAAGGAACGTTCCCTAACACAAGTGTTCTCTCTGCAGTTCACACCATAGGGTTCTTGTTTTTGGCAACATTGGACCCCACTCTAGCACTATGCTTGAGAGCCATGTTAAAGAGAGAAATGACCAATAAAAAGCACAACAAATGAGAAAAGATCCAACTGAATAATAGCTAACAGAAAGGGTACTTGTTTATAGTAGGAGATAGGAAACAGGAAGGCAGTGTTGCCTTGTTCATCCTTAGCTGGGAACACGTGTGGGGGGCAGCCCCAATTTTTCATTGCTCTGGGTACATCTGTGGATGACCATAAAAGCGTTGCAAGCATTGATGGTAGATTACAAATAAATGTTAGGAATGGATGAATTCATAAATCCAGCATCCACGAGTAATGAGGATGGACCCTAATTGTCTACTTTGCAAAGACAATTGAACTTTATTTTAAAAATATGTTTTATCAGAAGCTAATTACAATTTTACTATGGCTATGAATGTTACTTGTATGAACAATTACTATGAAATGAATGACCTGTACTAATCATTATTTTAAAATGTTGGATACAGTTTTATATTTTTCTTGAACAGTAAATCAGGTGCTTTTTGAATGCCATAGACCCAGAAAGAATAGTGCACTTTGCAGCATGAGATTAAGCAACTAGAAATTGTCCAGTTCATTGGGAAATATAAAAGCCAATTGGAAAGTGAAATTATTTTAATTTGCGTATATTTTGAAACTAAATTGCGGGCATTGATTGTAATCATTTCTAATTTGGATGGTATTCCCTAACATGAATGGTGATGGAAAGCCTTGTGTTGGAGAAGCAACCTTCCAGGTAGAAGGTGTAGACAGACGGTACAGAGACAGGTGGTTTACACAAGCATAGGGAGCATACTGAGTAACAAACCGGTGAAGTGTGTGCACATTAGGTGCTGCTGGCTGTTCTTAGTGGATTTATGGAAGAACTTTCTGTCGGTAGGAAGTTATGATGCAGATTTTCCATACGTCCTCAAGAGCACAGGAAATAGGCAAAATCAGCAAATGAACCAGAAAATTTTCTGTTTTTTCGTTTTGAACTGATATTTCTTTTTTTCCTTCTCACCTTTTCAGGTATTCTTACACCAAGTGATGAGTTCCAGTTTTGGGTAGAACAAGCTCATCGTGGGAATAAACAGATTAGTAAAGAAAGAGCCAGTTATTTTAAAGAATTATTTGAAACAATTGCAAGAGTATGTGACTCCTCTATGGTTATATATAAGACTTTTGATGAAAGTACTTTAGGATTCAGTTTCCACTAGCTTTATCTTTGTTTTGACATTATTACTTGATGCTCATAAACAACATATATCCTTAGTATGTAGCAGGGTTTCCTTGAAGTGTGCCCTTAATTTGCATACAACTTAAAAACTGGAACTTTTAAGAAAATTAGATTCTCATTTCTAGTAAATGTTTTTCTCAAAAACATCATTGCTTTTCTGCAGGTACATAGGGAAAAGCAAAAGCGTAATGTACTAACAGGTTTATCTACGTGGAGGTAATATGTTCTTCTGAGGGAGTGTTCAGTTTATTCAAATTAGCATTTTGGAGTAATCTGAAATATGAAGTCTTTTTTTTTTAGTATATGTGCTGCCGAAGCGAGCACTGAAATATGAAGTCTTAGTTTTATACTTGATTGATTATTCTTTGAAATAGTCCTACAAGTTAAATAAGTGACCACTTTAAGTATGGTTACAAAAGTCTGTTCTTTTCAAAATGAATAAATAGTAATTTTTAATTTGTTCCCAGTATTATTGCAATAGTATCATTTTAACGATGTGTTTGAAATGGTTTTGAAATTTTTTGTCATAACGATGGAATGTGAAATCACAACCCTTGACTGTGATTGCGTAATCGGTAACAAGTGGTGCGGTCCGTGAGTGCTGACGCATGGGAACTGCAGTGAGGAACGTTGTCTGGTGCGAGGACCGCCTCCTTTCAGGGGCTGCAAGAAATGAAAACAGACTTTAAGAAAATTAGGTCAAGGGCAAAATAAATGAATGGACTTTGCAATTCTTATTTTTTCTTCTGGCTTTCCCGAAAACTTGTAGGGTATTTGCATAAAGAAGTAACACAGTGGCAGTAAAAGGAGGAGGGAATGATGCGGCAGGGGTTAGAATTGTGGCTATTGAAAGGTCGGGGGACATGTTGACTATATTGATGAAGCTACAGTTATAATTATTTTTAAAAATGAATGCCTTTTGGTTTTAGGAATTTTATAACTTGGACAGTCTATCCTTATTGGAAGCGGTTGACTTGGTGGAGACCACTCGGGATGTCGTAGATGATGTGTGGAGACAAACAGAGCATGACCACTACCCTGAGTCGCGAATGTTACATCTCTTAGACATCATAGGTACTGTTGAAGAAGTAAATTTTTGAAACTTTGGAAGGCTGTCTTACTTTGTTTTCTAGTTTTTCCTCCAAGCCCTTACTGAAAATGCTCCTTAATGTAATAAATGTTGCTTAGAGTAATGCTTAGAGCAGATCATACAGGATTAACCAGAAATTTGTCTATAGTTGGTTAATTTAAATCATATGTGGCAAATTCTTTGACCATTAATGCAAGTAAATTTACATAGATTTTTAGTCTCTATGCATGTATTAGCTTAAACTTTATTTTGTAATGATTTCAAAAGTCTTTAATATGTATTGGTTTACTTATTAGTAATTAAAGTGCATATATTTTTTGACCTAGAAAATACTATTCTCTTTATTATTCTCAGGAACTATTAGACAAGTACATAAAGGTAGACGTATAAGGGTAGTTACTGCTGCATTGTTTTAATGTGGGAATAGAAAGAACTAGCAATTGAGAATTGGTTATATAATGCTATCCCCGTACAGTAGTTTTTTGCACTTGAGAGATGCACATACTACCTTGAAAGATACAAAAATACAAAGAAATTTTTTGGGTCTAAGGATGTGCAGGTAGGATTTCATAGATCCTTAGTTTGCTAATATGTTTATTTTTGTCCTAGCGTGTATTCCGTAATTATTTAGTACAAACACACTTCCATTAAAAAATCTGCTTTCTGGGGCACCTGGGTGGCTCAGGGGGTTGAGCCTCTGCCTTTGGCTCAGGTCATGATCCCAGGGTCCTGGGATTGAGTCCCACATCGGGCTCTCTGCTTGGCAGGGAGTCTGCTTCCTCCTCTCTCTCTGTCTGCCTCTCTGCCTACTTGTGATTTCTGTCTGTCAAATAAATAAATAATCTTTAAAAAAAAAATTTGCTTTCTGTTTTATTAGGTGGTTCGTTTGGAAGGTTTGTTCAGAAAAAGCTGGGAACTTTGAATCTGTGGGAAGACCCTTATTATCTCGTGAAAGACCATCTGAAAGCTGGCGTTTCAGTTTGTGAGCAGTGGGTGGCGGCCTGTAATCACCTGACCGGTCAGCTGTGGCAGCGCTATGTTCCTCATCTGTGGAAAAGTGAGAAATACTTCCCTGAAACACTTGACAAACTTGGCAAACGCCTTGAAGAGGTATCATTTGATTACTTGGGTCTTTGACATACGTGTAAAGTAGGTTCTCACTTGTTCGTGCATATATTTTATAATTAGTTGGTATTACACATCTCATAGGAGTTATTTATGTTTTGGGGAAAGCATAAGAATTAAAGTTCATGTGAGATAATTTTTGGCAGTCATGTGACTGGTACCCAACTAAGTGCTGGTTTCCACCTGCTTGCTTTTTTGGGTGCGTGACTGTTCAGCTCGTAAGTTGTGAACTTCTGTTTTGTACTTCTCTGTTGTGAAAAAGATAATCAGACCCCTGTCCAGGAATAGAATCTGCTCTCAGATGTTCTCTTGGCAATTGAAGTTGTTAAGAAGCAGGGACAGCTTTTCAGGGAGTACTCGGTAGAAATATTTGGGAGAGCTGTTTAATTTACATAGGTTACAAGTTTCAGTGTAGAACTTACGTATTTAGCGTGAGGGGATAAGCAAAATGAGAATATGCAAAGATTGCAAAGCTGACTTTTCCCCTTTGTGCTTATAGTTCTTTGGGGATTTTTTAAAAACCTTTTCATTATGAAAAATTTCAAACATGCAGAAAAGCGAAACAGTATAATAAAAGCCCGTGTATCCGTCACTCAATTTCAACAGCCTCTGGCATTACTCAGTCTCTGTTCTACCTCTGTCTACCCTGCCTTCCCTTTTTTTTGGGAGTATTTTTAAAGCCGAGCCAAGAAATTGTATATGTACACCCTTAAAACAAGCACAGTACCACCATCACACTCACCAAAACCACAGTACTTTCCTAGTACCATTTTGTATTTAAGCAATGTTCCATTGTCCTGATTGTTCCAGAAGATTTTTACAGTTAGTTTACTTGAATCTGGCTGCTTCCCAGGTGAGCTATGTGATCCCTACCCGGTAAGTCAGGAGACACGCAGCCTCGGTTCCCGCTGGCAGGAGTTCAGCTTGCTCTTGGCTCTCCTTATGATGCTCTGCCTTCAGCTCTTCTAGTCGTTTACCAGACGCCGACGATCGTGAGCGGTTGTGACATAGTGATTCTCTAGTTCTTTTGTTCCTTATGCATTTCTTGGTGATGATGGAAGAACGTTTTGTCATCAGTTTTCTAGTTACCCTGAAATAGTTTGTACAGGCATGGCAAAAGACACAATTACCTTTTTCCTTGGATTTATCACTTTTTAGAATGATAAACAAGTTAGTGTCAGAGTTAAGTTTTCCATAGGCAATTAATGGAATTTTTTTTGCTACTATCATTCCGAAACCATGAGTTTTTATATTCTGTGAGTTTCAATCTGTTATGCTTATTGTTATCCTCAAATTGCTCCATCTTTGGGCATCAGATGCCCATTTTAAGTTGGCTCTTGTGTCACTTTGACATGAAGCCAGTATTTCTTTGATAACTTCCTTACTTTTAGTGCCCCCCCACCCCAAAATGTACCAGCCCAACTTGGACATTTTCTGCCTCATTCCTGGAATTACTCACTGCTCTCAAGAGGCTGGTTCTTTTTGGTGGAAAATGGTATTTAGCAATGACAGTCTGGTGGGAAAGAGCTGAATGTTACTTAGTTGTCAGTGCTTTTAGGCTTTCTCAGCAGATGGGGTTGTTACCTTAGTATTGGTGTCTTCTGCAAGAAACAAGTATCAGTAGTTTCTATTCATCTTTCCAACTCAAATGAAAGGTTATGGTGATTTTACCAACCATTTTGATTAATTTTTGTTTTTGGAAATGTTATTTATTTAATTTGTTATTTATTTCTAAATTGAAATACCACACATTTTATTCATTTAAACTATACACAGTTTTTTTTTGTTTTTGTTTTTTTTTTAAAGTAGGCTGTATACCCAGCTTGGGCCTTGAATTCATGACCCTGATATTGACTCACATGCCCTGCCGACTGACCCAGGCAGGTGTCACTGTTGGTGAAAGTTTTAAACGCCAAGTGCAACAATTTATTTCCCAGCTATTTGTAAATTATACGTGATAGGGTTGTGAACATATCATTTCACTGTTGGAAGTGCAATTTAATGCAGAATAATGAAAATCAGAAGTTCTTACTATATCAGGGACTCTAAAACGTACTTAAATGAACCTTAAACATGGCTTACCCATATTTAGAGTTCGTGTGTTTTCACCAGATTTGAGCACTTAACTGCGAGGAGTGTGACGGTGATGGACCTCCTTGAGCAGCACTGTGGCGACGATGAGTAGTATATCTCAGGTTCCCGCTCCTTGTACTCCCTTCAGTGAACCCAGTTCAAAGAGACTCTTGCTGAATATATGTAGACTCTAGACCTTTTTGTGTAGCTTTATCAATTTGAATAAATCTGTTTTAATATTTTATGTTTTAGGTTTTGGCTGTTAGAACAATCCACGAGAAGCTTCTTTATTTTTTACCTGCTAGTGAAGAGAAGATCATATGTCTGGCTCGAGTATTTGAACCTTTTACTGGCCTGAATCCTGTGCAGTATAATCCATATACTGAGGTTGAGTATATGTGTTTTTGTCTGTATAACTTCCTGTTTGTGGTGTTCTTCTCAAGGGTAGATGTTGAAAGTATTAAAAGTCTAATACTATTATTAATTTGTTTAGCCTTTATGGAAAGCTGCAGTGTCTCAATATGAAAAAATTATTGCACCTGCGGAACAAAAGATAGCAGGAAAGTTGAAAAATTATATTTCAGAAATTCAGGATAGTCCACAGCAGGTAAAATTCTGGAATATTTTACTTTTAATACTTCCCGCAAGCTGGTTTGGAAGGTATTTATGTATTAACCGAGTTGATCGACTTAGGATGAACATGGACGTTTTTATTTTATGTTAGCTTCTTCAGGCATTTCTGAAGTATAAAGAGTTGGTGAAGCGTCCAGCTATAAGTAAAGAATTGATGTTGGAAAGAGAAACTTTATTGGCAAGACTTATGGACTCAGTTAAAGGTAAAAGTTTATCAGAGATTATAGTGTTTGAGAAAATATTTTTGTAGGTTACTTTTTCTTGTATACCATTTAGGATTAAGACTATATTTTACAACATTATTTGATGAAGATTAATTTACTGTTTTTGTTATAAATTACAGATTTTAAAAATTAACTAGTTATTTTCTTACTCTATCTCATTTGATGCATGTTAAGGTCCCTGAGGTTAAAGGACCAAGTCTTAGGGTTTTTCTATTCACAACCTTTCAGTTAGTACTTGGTGCATGGAAGACGCTTAGGAAGTCTTGGCTGACTGGGTATAATTATTTATTTGACTTAAATTTTACAGATTTTCGGTTAGACTTTGAGAATCGATGCCGAGGAGTTCCTGGTGAAACGTCCGGACCGCTTTCTGGCAAAAACCTTTCAGAAGTTGTTAATAATATAGTTTGGGTTCGCCAGTTGGAACTGAAGGTATTAGTTTTAATAGATGTTGAAGAACAGTAATTGTAAAATGTGCCAAATTAATAGGGAAGTCACTGTAGAACTCTAGTGAAAATGAAAAAATATTCTCTGCGTTCTGTGGCATATCCATCTAATTTTCATGTGAAGTATAGAATTCTGAAAAAGTGTACAAGGAGGTTTGAATGATCTGCTCATTTTCTAAGTAGAGATAATTAGCACATTCTTCATCATTCAGAGCAGTTGTCCCAGGTGAAGGGTCTTCTTAAGGAAATGTTAAAGATGAATTCATCTTTTATGTATTTTCAAAGGATTTTTTTAATCCTTTGAGATTATCACTGTAAAATCTAGGTAGTGGCAGAGGCTTTTGGCAAGTATGTTTATGTAGGTAAATCATTCTAGGTTGAAAGAAAATTAAAGGAAAGGTGAAATATAATTAGGACATTGCCTAAGGTAGGGTCGCTAATTTACGGATTTAACAGCTATTCTTTTAACGTTTCGGTATTATCAAAATGGATCAAGAATCTTATATACTCACTAATGCATATGGCCCAGACGAATAATGTGTGTTCCGTCTGACTCACATAACGGGTACTAGCTGGTTGCGGGCTGTGACTGAGAGCGAGCAGAGCAGAGTACTGTGAAGGCTAGCGCGTTTGAGAGTTCTGCTTTTTCACGGTTGCGTTTTGATGTTCGGTTTTCTGAATAGAAACTGTCAGCTTTCCAAAGTGCTGTCGCGTTCTTTGTACAACAGTTGTGGAAGGAAGACATTTCTTTCCTCTGATTGCCCTTCGGATTCCCAAATACTGCGTGAGCTCTTCACCAGAGCACTAAGCACAGGACGGCGTGACTGCTGCCCCGCAGCAGCGATGCAGAGCGCGTGGGGGTCTCACCAGGATTTCCCTCACCTCACCCTTCCGGTTATGCCTCAGCGCCGCATAGCTGGGCTGTGCTCTTCTGAGTCGTACAAGACAGAAGCGAAGTAGGGTTTGATCTTCTCACATTTGCTGACAAATCTTCTATCTGACTGTTTATAGGTGAATAGGAAAGTAATTTCTGAACCACACATCAGAGAAGGTGGTTCATTTTATGCTAATTTTGTAGTGAGTATTAATATATTCTCATAATATTGTTGTAATGTGGCTTTTTAAGGTGGATGATACTATCAAGATTGCAGAGGCTCTCTTATCTGACTTGTCAGGGTTTCGATCTTTCCATCGAAGTGCCGAAGATCTGTTGGACCAGTTTAAACTGTATGAACAGGAGCAATTTGATGATTGGTCCAGGGATATTCAGTCTGGTTTGTCTGATTCCAGATCTGGTTTGTGGTAAGTATAAATGCACTAAATTGTGATATCCGTGCAAGAGTCCTGTCCCTTGCGGTAGTAATCTAAGTGGCAAGGTGGAATTTTCCCTCTTCTCTCCTTTGTCCAAACTTGCTGCTGCTCCTTAAAACATTTTCTTGTTAGTTTTTGGTGATTAACTGTTAAGTCGCTAATGTTGGGAACTTGGAAGGCAGAGTTAGTCAGTTAGTCCACTGCCCCCTCCCCCGGCTCTGCTTCTCCTGTCTGTTTCTCGGGTCTGCAGATTCTCATTTTAAGATGAGGCCTTCCTCTCCCGTGGTGTTGCTGTCGGTGCTCATATGTGCTTTTCTGCCTTTTTACATTGAGATTATTTACATGGATACACACACACATTATAAACTATAAAATTTGATTATTTTAAGCTCCTTGAGGGAGGAAGTAATCTCTTCCTGAAATATTCCTGTGGTGCCCACCATAGGGTTAAGGTTTTCTAAACACTTACTGAGCATTATTGAACCTAATTTAATTGTTAACCTAATTGTTGTGATGTGTATTTAAAATGGATGATCTGGGAAAAAACCATTGTTTCTTTGTTCAGGTCAACTTACCTTAGTATATTACTGTATTTTAGAAACTGGTCATGTTTTCAGAAACTTGTTACTTTTCAAAAGAGTAACTTCTGCTACTTTGTCCATGATAGGAAATTCTGTTTATTTTTCCTATTCTGCTGCAAAGGATACTTAAGCTTAAGGGAGAACTTCTTCCACCGAATGAATAGTTTTTTCCCTTATCTTGCATTTTGGATGTGGAGGAAGGAGAGAAGAACCAAACGGTGCTGGGGTGCAGGATCCAGCCCGCACCGCGCAGCTCTTCGCTTCCTGCTTTCAGCTGGACGTGGGCCAGATGGTCCGGGCCGGAAAAGGAGAGTTCTTTATCCGCTAACTCTGGGAAATGTTGACACTTGTCTCACTGCGGCTCTGGTGGAGAGCCACTGCGAGTGACAGCACGTGGGGGGCTGAGACCTTCCGTAAAGAAGCCCGTTGAGGGCTGCTCAACCCAGTGTTTCCCACGTGGCAACGAAACACTCGGACTCCCACTTTTTCTTTCTGGGCAAAACTCTTTATTGTTCCGTAGAATCAGTGTGTTTCAGAGTATGTTTCAGGATATGCAGGTGTGTAGAAAGTAATTTTGAGGATTAGTTCAAAGGAAATCACCATTAAAATTTTCTGACAAGCTTTATGTTATGTTACAGGAAAGTTGAGGCTCATCATTTTTGTAAGTCACTCTCAAGTGCCTACTTTTTATTCTGTGTTATTGAATGTGTCGATAAATCGGTAGCACGGACTTTGCTTTTCAGTAGCTTACTTTCCAAAACCTACAAGTTTTCTTAATTGTGAAAGTGGTTTGAAGGAATAAGCATTGTGTAAACCTGATCCTGGAAGGGAAGTCGTGAAACTATAATCCTTCTTGGTGAATTTAGTGTAGTATTTTCATAGTCATGCTGACTCGAGTGTCCTGATTTAACAATTGCTACTGTAGCGTTTTCAAGAAACACTGAAGGACTGTCCTTAGAGAAAAAAGGTAGAGGGATGGAATGTTTGACTATCTCTCTTCCTACCATTTTGATGTTCTTTACCATTGATCCTTCAGTAAACATATTAAGTAAGTAGGCTGACTCAAAAAACCCAAGGTACCGCTTGGAAAATGAATCAAACCCTTCTCTATGGTGAATATGATGCCAGTTTTGAGCCTGAGCCGAAGGCTAAGAGATTGATTTTCCTGGTATCAGAAACTGCTTGGTGGAAATATTAATGCGATGGTATATTTTGGATACTGTAGTTTATTACCAAGATCTGAATTGCAAGACACTATGTGAAAAAAAAAGGTTGCTTGAAAACTATAAAATTTTTTTACTTTGAATTAATTTTATATTTACAGAAAAGCTGTAAAAACTGTTGTGTTTTTCATCTGTTAAAAGAGTGAGAACATGAACCTTAAAAATTTTTATTTTGTAGTATCGAGGCTAATAGTCGAATTATGGAATTGGATCCCAACGACGGATCATTGAAAGTGCATTATTCAGATCGGTTGGTGATTCTTCTGAGAGAAGTTCGTCAGCTCTCTGCGCTTGGCTTTGTTATTCCTGCCAAAATACAGCAAGTTGCAAACATTGCACAGAAATTCTGCAAGCAAGCAATTATTCTTAAACAAGTACGACATTATGTTGTTGAGTATATGACCGTCTGAGTTCATTAATTACAGTATTTTAAGGGGTTTGTTTTCTAAATTTGATTTTTTTAGGTAATAGAATAGCACATTTTGGAAATTATGATTTGCTAAATGATTATATTACAGATTTTGCTTTGCAAACCTAGGTAGGAATTCATTAATTTGTGGTATTATTATTTTTAGTCATTCTAAAAGCATTTGGAAAAATAGACTGTTATTTCTTTCTTTCTTTTTTTTTTTTTCTTTCATGTTGCATGCATGGATATTAAAGGACCTTCTAATCAGAGGGCCCTCCGTCCTTTGCTTGCCTTCAAGGAGCAGATTCTTAGAGAATTATTGGGCTGATGGACTGGTCACTACTTTTGGTCATTTCGTAGGTCTGACTGTTCACCACTTTGCTATCAGATCCTTTTCCTGTTTAGAACCAACAGTTAGGGCCACACTGTCTTCTTAGCGCAGAACATGAGGCCCTTCCTTAGTCAGGCTCTAACTGACCAAGCGGGCTGCAGCTCCCACTCCCTGCACTCTGAATGTGTCCGCACACACTGATCTCTGTTCCCTCCTGTTGGAAAACTCGAAGTCATCCTTCACTTCCCTGCTCCTAATCACTTTGTCGTGTCTGTATTTAGCTGGCGGCTCCCCCACCTGTGTGCAGCACGCACATCCCTCTGGGCGCTTTTGTGGCCCACTGGGTTTCTTTCCTCTTTTGTCTCACTTAATAGGTCCCGGTGGGCAGGCACTCATCACAGGGCCAGGGCCGGGATCCTGGGCATCTTGGTCTCCTATATTCCTTCAGCAGAGAGCCCTGGAGCAGCGGCACTGCCAGTGCAGTGTGGTGGGGAAACGCAAATGAGGGTTCTGCGGTCCTGGTCAGCACGCAGTTCGCAGCCTCAGTACTGGTGACATCTGCGACCAGTTCTTGCTCATGGGGACTGTCCTGTGTGATGGAGGGTGTTCAGTAGCATCCCTGACCAGTAGCACCTTCTGCTCCTGACAATCAGATTCTCTCCGGTTGTCGCCAGATGTCCCCTTCTGTGCACATCAGCCGTGGTTGGGCGCCACTGGCCTGGCAGCAGAGAGCAAACTAAACATTGAGCTCTCATTAGATATTGGGGCTTCTGGAAGATAGAGTGTTGATGTTATTTCCATTCAACACGCCCCGCCCCCCATTTTCCACTGGTCTAATTGGGGATCAGATTTGCGACATAGCTGTCCTGGTGCCACCCAGCTATTAAATTATATAGCTGGGATGTGACACCAACTCCAACTCCAAAGCTGATATTTATTCCATTGTCGTTTCTACACTGATGCCAGATATTTGAAGAATTGATAAAATACTTAGTGTATTATGAGAATTTTATTAGAGAGTTTTGACAGTCCTACGAAAGCATAGAGGTGGGCATTTTCAGTCATTTCTGGCTGAGGGTACAGGGAGTATCACCTAGATCTTTACAGAGGAGTGCTGTCGGGTGGGAGTCTGGAAGAGTAACCGTCTCTTCTCTCAGGAGCGCCGGGGGTCAGGCGGGGGAGCATTTCACATAGAGGGACTGCATCTTCAAAAACACAGGCTTGCTCCCTTCTGTGTCCTGTGTACTTAGTGTAACACAGCAGGAGCTCAGACGGTGAAGGAATGGTCGTGCGCTGTCTGTATTTGCCTGGGGAAATCTATTCACAAGATCTGCTGCTCGGGAGCAGGTGTGTAGCTGGCGTAGGGAGTGTGCAGTCGGAGCTGGTGAGACAGTAGCCTGGCCAGACTGCTGTAAGAGTGTGTGTGCTTTTGCTTCTAGTTTTCTTGATGAGGCTTTTTCTTGGACTACTACTGTAGTACAGGCTAAGTACAGTGGATATTCTCCACCAGATAAAGCAGATTTTCATATGTACTAGTGGAAAGAAGAGGACTCTCTGTAAAAGTAGTTAGGAATTTTTTTTTTCTCTCGGGGAGAGAGAGCGATGGGGGGGGGGGGCAGAATCTTAAGCAGGCTCCATGCCCAGCACAGGAGCCCGACAAGGAGCTCGATCTCACCACCCTGAGACTGGGACTTGGGCTGAAATCAAGAGTGGGGTGCTAAACTGACTGAATCCCCTAAGCGCCCCAGTGAGGAAATATTTTTTAAGCACATACTCTGGGCTAAGAATTTTCTGAGGTGCTGGGGACACAAAGATTACAAGAAAGTCTTTAAACTCCTTAGACTCATGCCATGATGCCCACTTAGTGGGCTTTCCTGAACTTCTCCTTTTTCCCCAAAAGAGTTGATATGTCCTCTTCTGTTCATCACTGTGCCGCGTAGGTATCTCTGTTTTCTGGCTCACTGATTCACAAGTACTACCGAGTGCCTCCCGCTCGCTGGACACTGTTCCCGAAGCTGTCATTCTAATTTGGGAGACAGCAAACACGTAGTAGGTAGTTGTAGGTCGTGATGAGTCCGTTGAAGAGAAAGTAAACGGAGGAAAAGATACCGAGTGGTCAGGGTAGGCCTTGGTGAAGGTAACATTGAGAAGGGGTATGACAAAGTGACAGCAGAAGCACACAGGCGTCTGGAGAAGGACTAGTGCATGCGGAGGGAGCAGGTTCCATGGTGGGTTCCTGAGGCAAGACTCACGCGGTGGCTTAGAGACGCGGCGGGAAGGCTGGCGAGGCTTCCGTGCAGGGAGGGTTTGTGCTGGGGCTGACGGCCAGTTGATGGCCAGTTTATGTGCGATATTTGTACTGGTGGAGGGCCGTGGGTGTTGCACTTGGATTTTATTCCTGACTATATCGGAAGCCATTGGGATTTTGGATTTTATTCTCAAGTGCCCTGGGGAGTCATTGGAAGTTTTTGAGTGGGCAAAAGTATGGTATGATTCATGTTGAAGGAAGGACAACTGTGGCTTCTTTGAATGCTTTGAAAAGAAACTAGGAAGCCACGACTGGGAACGGGCACTGGTCTTGTCAAGAAACAAGGGTGCTTGGACTGGTGTGGGACTCATGGAGGCGGGTGAGATGGCTAGATTTACTACGTTTAAGAGTATAGTCAGTAAACATCACTGATGTGGGGTGTGAAATACAAGTTAAGGACAACATGAAGATTTTTTTTGGTCCGAGAAATGGATTACATGTTATAAGCATATAAAGCATATAAAGAAAGAAAGAAAGAAAGGAGCAGGTTTGGAGAGTTGTAAGAACGAAGAGTTGCGTTTTTAGTATTTAACATGCTTTACTGGTTTCCTCTGTATTTCCCTTGATATTATGATCTTCTTGATTGCTGGGACTGGGTTTTATGATCTTTATTTAATCAGCCCCAGGACATGATTTGGCAAATTGTAGGAACTCAACACTAATTGTTGATGGCATGTGTTAATACATGCATAAATGCTACATTAGAGATGAAAAGTAGTTTTGTTAAATCTTAGCATGAAGATTTCATGAATTTAATAAAGAGCTAATATTTCCATTCAAACAATTAAAAATGAAAACAAATGAAACACTAAATATGTTATTTATTATTGATTATTACTAACTGGACTTTTACTTTGTAGGTGGCACATTTTTACAATTCTATTGATCAGCAAATGATTCAAAGTCAGAGACCAATGATGCTACAGTCTGCATTAGCATTTGAACAGATAATTAAGGTAAATGGACTTTTTATGTTGTTAGAATTAGAATTTACATGTGAGGTGTTTCTCTTTCAGTTTTTTAGTGTATCCTTCCACTTAACATTGATCTAAGGTTTTGTTTTGTTCCCCAGTGACTTCCTTCACTCTTAACAAGTAACATTTTTCCAACTATAGATTTAAACGGCTACATTGTTTCACATATTAAGGCGCTGAGTTTGATCGGTTGACTTCATGTGTGTATATACAATTGGTGTGCTGTTACAGTTACTTAGTCACTGAAGTGTGAGGTCCTTATATACAAGAAAAAAATCTCCTGATTTTATAATTCGGTATTAATTTTTTTATCTGTGCTTATTCAAATATGCACACATATGGCATTAGAAAAACCTATAATAGTTTTTAAACTGTTACTTTGTGACTGGTGGCTTTTTGAAATTTACATTTTTAGTTTTAACAGAACCTAAAATGTTTTAAAAATAGGTAGAAGGAAATATACCCTTTCCTTCTTGTTTTATTTGAGGTGGATTGCCAGTTGTGGTCCTCCTCCAGACGACCCCCAGGTTCTGTGATTTTCTCGGAGGACTGATAGGACTCAGGGTGTAGTTGTACCCAGAGCTGGTTTATCATGACTTACTGCAGTGAGAGGATGCGCAGCAGAGTCAGCACAGGGAAAAGTACACGAGGGTGAGGTTCTGGGGACACCAGGCACAAGCTCCCAAGAATTCCCTCCCAGTGGAGTCGCGCAGGTGTTCTTCTCCCCCCACCCCAGCAACAAGCTGTAGTGCGTGTGAAATGGTGTCTTACCGGGGATGCCATTAGTGACTCGGTGCCCAGGCGCTTACTGGGGGCTAGACATGGAGTTATCTTCTGCCTAACATGTACCAAAATTCCAGGTTCCCCAGGGGGATTGACTGTTGAGCATAAACCTTGGTGTTTCGGTGTAGTGAGCTGGGCCTAAGGCTAGGGTGGTGGGAGGCCTCCCAGGTGCAGGGTCAGGTACCAGGTATGGGTCTGTCTTGGAAGCAGGCCTTCAGAGGGAAACCATGGCGACCTCCTCTGCCAACTCTGTTCTGCACACTAGATCTCAGGCTTCACATTTACTATAAGTCAGATAATTCATATTAAAAATTATATTAAAAACATGTTTTTTTATTGCCAAAGCTCAGTATGAGTTTATAGTGGAAAGTTTAAAAAATACTGGCAAACAAAGAAAAAAAATGTTTTAAATTTATACCATCAAGGGATGGCCATTGTTAATAATCTGGTGTATATCCTTTCAGCTTTTTTGGGGGGCATATTTATAAGAGTACTTTTGGGAACGGGGTAAATTTTATTATTTTTCACCTAATAATGTTTAATTATATACCCTTAGAACCTTTTCTTCTTTAATAAATACATTCAGAGTGGTATCTGTTGATATTTCTATGAGAAATTGGGTTGTGAGAAGTAAATAATTGGATATAGCCTCTGTTAAATGAATCTGAACGGAAGATAGAAAATAAGAAGGACAAAGAACAGGGAGGTTTGTCCCAGTCCCCTTGCTGCTCGCAAGGGGTTGGAGAGCAGGGCCTCTCATTTAACTAACTTCATCATCTCTAGGAATACAGCAGAGGTAATTACTAGGTAAATGCTTTCACGGCTGTCCACAGAGGATTCTCTCGGATTGATCATCTTGTCAGTTTCACTCATTTTGCAGCGGCTGGTTGAGGGTGTCCTGCATCCAGGCCCAGTTGTCCTGCCTTGTCGTTGCCCATGTCAGGGACGTCTAGGAGCCCGACTACTGCCTCACTCTCTTCTCTCTGTTTCCCCATATTTGTCCTAAGTGTGAGGTACCCTCTGCTGTCAAATGGGGTGGTCCTTTTTGCTTCAGTCATCAAGTAGGATTTAAGAAATTCAAAGAAGGAGGATAGTTTATTTTCTTCATCCCCGGGTTTTACTTCGCTTTTGCAGTTCCCACTGAGAGGCCTACCTCTGGCCAGGCATTGGGAGCACGTTTGCTAGAGGCAAAGTCTCTTGGTTTTCCCCTGTCAGAGAATGTTTTTATGCCCCTGTTCGCTGAAGGATGTTTCACAGGCACAGAATTCATGGTTGCAGGTCTCTCAGCCCTTGAGAACTGTGGTTCCGCACGCAGCTGGCCTCTCGGAAGATGCCCTGGGGTGGGGTCGTGGTCCCTTCTGTGTGAGCGCTGTTTCTCCCTGAAAGAGGGAGCTGTAGTGAGGGGCCTAGGTGAGCATGTGTGCTCGGCGTTCTGCTGGGCCCCGCAGACACTGTGCTCAGGAGGGTGAGGGATGGCCTTGCGCGGCCTCCCAGGAAGGGAGCCGAGAGGTCATGTCCCCTCGGGCCTCGCCAACGCCTGCCTGTGAAGGGCGGCAGCTCACAGTGCCCGAGCCCCGTTAATACGGCTGTGAGGAAGCTTGGGGGGACTCGGCTGGCTCCCTGGTCCCACCAGCGTTACCCCACGGGGGCTGCCCTGGCGGGGGACGTGGAGCACTGCCTGCTTGGGACAGCGGTGGACGGCAGGTCGGCTCTCTGCAGAGCGGTGCTTTCTATGCTGGTGTCTGGCAAGAGTAGGGCAGGCCCTGCCACAAAGGTTTTCCGGGTGGAGGCTTGTCCACTGGCCGCCCTGCGTATTTGGGAGACAGTAAGGACGCGTACATCTGTGTTGGCTCAGGTCCCCAGGCCTCTTGGTTGCTTTCTTCTGTTCCTTCTGTGCGTGTTCGTTGTGTCATCTGCTTCTGTTCTGTGTGTGTTTTGCTCCAAGAGGGAGAACTTCGAAGGGATGGATCTATTCAGTTTTGGGGACTGCCTTGCCATTTATAAAATGGAAAAGTTCTGTATGCTTTTTTCTTGCAAATCAGTGGTAGGGACAACTGGACTTAAGATGTCTGTGGAGTCTTCAGGAAAAGAGAAATGCATTTAAATGCTAAACGATGCTTGTTGTATTTTAGAATTCAAAAGCAGGAAGTGGGGGAAAGTCACAAATTACTTGGGATAATCCTAAAGAATTAGAAGGCTACATCCAAAAACTCCAAAATGCTGCTCAGCGACTTGCCACTGAAAATAGGAAACTGAGAAAATGGCACACTACGTTTTGTGAGAAGGTATGTTTTATTTATAAAGTTGCATAGGCTATGACTAGTATTATTTAAATGGTATTTGGGATATAATCCTAAGTACTTTTTATTTGGAAGTCTAATTATGTAACAGACTTAAAGTTAGCAGGAACAGTACGAAGTTCACACTTACTTCGACTTCATCTGTTAGCAACTTGTGTAACCGTAGCACGTCTAACAAAACTAGGAACTAGAGGGCTTTGAGCTTCCAGCTTTCCCACTGATGTCCTTTTCCAGGATCCCGCCTTGCATGGAGTCCCCAAGGCTCGGCAGGCCCCTCCTCCACAGGCTTTCCTTTGTTTCATGACCCTGGTATTGGTAGTTGCTGGCAGAACACCTCTCCCGGTGGGCTCCCTGTGGGCTTCTGTGCCATTCTCGTACGATGGGGATGGTGCGGTTCGGGCAGACGGCCCAGGCGCCGGGCAGGTACGCTGCATCTCGCTGTAGGTGGAGGTACCTGATCTTTGGTTTAGGTGCTGTCAGGTTTTCCAATGAGAAGTCACTGTTTTCCCAGGGCTCCTTGGAGACTGTTTTTCCTTACTTTTCACAGGTGGTAGTTCTTATGAATGTTGACCTGCTGCGGCAACAGCAGCGCTGGAAGGACGGGTTACAGGAACTGCGAACCGGCTTGGCGAGTGTGGAAGCTCAGGTGAGGCGTGCCTTACAGGTCCTGCACTCTGGTATCCCCTCCGCCGAGTGTGGCTCTAAACTGATGAAAAATCTCGCGTGAATTCCTAATTTAGAAGTCTCCTGAACCCCATACAAAGACCACAGGTTGGCCATGCTTTCACATTTCAGAGTAAAAAAGGGAGTTTCCATTTGCCTCATGGAATGCCAGATTTCTCAGTTCTGACTTTGTAGTTTCTCTGAAAACTTGGTGCTTAAATTTTGTCATTGCCTAGTTTCCTTTTAGGTGATCCTGCCATCCGTAGGATACAAAGCTGAGGTTAGGCAGAAGCCTAAAAAATGAAATAGCTCTTTCAGCTCTACCCTTTTTTTTGGGTAGAATTTCAGTTCTACCACATCTTGATAGGAGATGATGTATGTGACAGTGGTGGGCACAGAGCCCACCAAAAATTAAAAATTAAAGTATTAGAAATTAAAAAATTTAAAGTATTAGAATCAATATATTTATGGTTAAATGGAAGCAAACGAGTGTATAAACTGTCCTGAGCATCCTCGTATTTTAAATTGATCATTTACAAATGTGCCGTGGAGCATTTAGGGAGGGAGAGGGAAGAGAAGAGCTGTACTTGATGGGAATTTGAGGAGGAGGACCAAGAAGTTCATAAAGTAAACCAATTTCTGTGACTGGTTCTTCTGTTTTGTTTTGTTTTCGTCTTCCATCGTAAAGTCCACAGGTAAAATCTACTTGACATTAAGTCGATGTTTAGGTGTTGCTGATCGTTAGCGTATTACTGATGAGATTAGAGACGTTGGTGTTCGACTCCGTATAAGCAGTCGCATGGCACGGAGCTGCTGCAGAGCTAGACAACATTGAGAATAACGTGTTTGGTTTTTGGTTTTTGCTTATAATTTTACGTGGTGGTAGAAAAGCTTTAAATGGCAACCGCATTCCAGTACGTGGTTTTTAAGAGCTGTGCGTTACCCGCTCAGGGTTTCCAAGCGAGCGACATGCGGGCGTGGAAGCAGCACTGGGACCACCAGCTGTACAAAGCTCTGGAGCACCAGTACCAGATGGGCCTGGAGGCCCTGAATGAGAGCCTGCCGGAGATCAGCGTGGACCTGACCTACAAGTGAGGCGCGGAGTGCCCGGGTTCGCTCTCAGTCTCTCTGTCCCTCCTAATGCCCATTCCAAAGCGATTTCCTTGTTTTTAGACAGGGACGGTTGCAGTTCAGGCCTCCTTTTGAAGAAATCCGGGCTAAGTATTACAGAGAGATGAAGCGGTTCATCGGCATTCCCAATCAGTTTAGGGGAGTGGGTGAGGCCGGAGCCGAGTCTCTCTTCTCGGTTATGATCGATAGGAATGCAAGCGGATTTTTGACTATTTTCAACAAAGCTGAGGATCTGTTTCGGAGATTATCAGCTGTTTTACAACAACATAAGGTACGGAACACGTCATTTTCCGGTATTACAACCTTCATCTGATTGCGCTAGCATGAAGTGGGTCATCTCCAGTGTGTCTTGTGTGTTGTGCTGTGGGTCAGAGTCCGCACTGGGGGTGACGACACAGCCTGCGTGGATTCCACACCTGGGAAGAGAGTTAGGCTAAGATTTTCTTGTCTTTGACTATTTGAAAATTGAGAAACTGGTTGTTGGATCAACATGGAATGGGACAGGATTCTGTGGTGTCAATTTTAATTCCTCTCAGGAAAATGTGTCCTTTTCCTCATGCTTTGGATCAAGAGCACAGCATGGAGCAAAGTGATGTCATGAAGATGATGAACTCTTTACTTTGTTTGAGGGACTCCTGCCGGCCTCCCAGGCCCCGCCCCGCTCCTTGCTCCTTGCCGCCTCGACAATGACAACGACTGAGAGTCCAGCCGGTCTCACCCCTGCATCTGTGATGCTGCTTCTCTACTTTAGGTTTCTAGAATGGGCTGGATCTGGACCCTTTCAGATCTGTAGTGTTGGCTTCACCAAAGTGATTCTGTGTAATCGTCAGATTTCAGAAGAGAATCCTAGAAAACGGGTTTTTGTGATCTCTTAAAAAAAGTTTCCCCATTGTAATAATACTTTTATGCGCTACATAGTTTCTTCCTCTGTTCATTCTTCAGGCTCTGTAGTAATGTTTGCATACTTAAGTTAAAATTTACACGAGTACCTTACATTTGTGCCTTTTAAATCAGTGTTAATGTTGGACCCTAAGCTTTTAAATGTTCGCGTATTAATACTGTTTCTTTCCTAATAATGGTTTTCATTCTTCAAATAGGAATGGATCGTAATTGGGCAAGTTGATATGGAGGCTCTAGTGGAAAAGCATCTTTCTACTGTCCATGATTGGGAGAGAAATTTTAAAGCACTGAAAATAAAAGGGAAAGAAGTAGAACGGCTTCCAAGGTATTGGAAGTTAAAGCTGTATTTATGCACCATCACAGTTTCCGCCAGGAGTTGGGAAGGGCGCTCCTCGTTTGCTGGTGTCAAAGTCAGGTCACCGTCTTACCGCCTCTAAAGCTCAGCTGTGACACTTGACTGTCACCAGAGTAAGATGTTGCTGAGGTAAAAGGAAGTTCTCTTCGGGAGGTTCTGCCGCCTGGGACTTGGTTGGATAGCGCAGACTGGGGCGGGGAGACTTGGACGCAGACCTGGCACGTGGATCTCACAGCTGACTCGAGTTTCATGTGGCCTCACTTCCTTTTGGAAGGCCCTGGCCGTCACCCAACACTGTGCTGCGTCTGGGTGTTGCCTTAGCTAGAGGAGACTCCGCTGGGCACGTCCTTACCTAGCTGCTCGAGAAGGTAGCTCCCCCATCACTCTCTGAAATTCGTGGCCCTGGAACCACTCTTTGCAGTAAAGTTCTATGAGAGGCCTGTTTAATTGTGCACTTATTACCTATAAAGGACAGTCTCACTTTTACTAAATCATTTGTCTATTCTTTCAAATATTTGCTGAGCATTTATAATATGCAAACTTTGTCCTGTGGGAGTATAAAGTTGCTTTGTACACTGGACCCGGAACCTCACGTTGCTTACTCTCTGGTAGTGCATGGAGACGTGACCGAGTGCGTCTACACAGGGATTGAGGGGGTTGGCTCTGGAGTGAGACGGCTCATACCAGCTCCAGGAGCTCGACAGCCACTGAGAGCCCGTGAACCTCAGTTTCCTCAGCTTTAACATAGTTACAGCTGTAGTGTTATAAATCCTGAAGGGTTTTGAGAATTCAGTATGTACTTTGGCTACAAAATACTGGTACAGATGGAATTGTGAATAAATGCTAGTTACTGTTGTTATTGCTAGTATCAGACAGAGCAGTGTGTTTCATTTGAGAGGCTGAGCTGAAGACTGTGGAGACACACAGGATGATGACATCCCGTCCATTTGGGTCAAAATCAGGGAAGTGTCCTTAAGGTAGAGATCTTTGAACTAGAACTCTGACAGCTAGAGATGAGGATTGAAGGTTCAAGCAGAGATTTCCAGGTGAGGGATTTCTATGCTGGAAATCAGAAGTTGGTTAATTGAGAATTGGATGAATGAATATTTTTTAGGAACTAGAGGGAAGTTCGTGGGAAGGGGCAGTTAAGGAATAAATTTGGGAGAGGTTCCATTCTAAGGTGGGACGTTGGAGTTTCTCCACATTCGAGTGGTTAGTTAGCTCTTGAAGATTTCTCGACGGAAGCGTGTCCGTACCCAAACAGTAGGGGTGTCAGTCTGGAACTCGTGAGTCAGATGGTGGAAGAAACAGATCCTGGAGGAAGAGAGGTTAGTCTGTCAGAACCACAGTAATTAATCGAATTAAGTTGTTGGTACTCAAATGGGAGGCGGGAATATTAGGAAGTGTTGTCAGATACTTGGGGCATTATGAGGTTTTGTCTTTGGTGGAAGATGAGGCATGACGAACAGCGAAGAGACGAATGATGGGTGCGTTTGGGCTGAGATGATTTAGATAATGACGCCACCATAGCGGCGCGTCTCTCTGAACCCGGCTTGCTCGTTGTGTTTGCCCGCTCACGGACCTCGACTACTGTCAGTATAACCTGTCTGTCCTTCGGTGTAGACGGCCTTCCTAGCCTGCCCGCCAAAGCTAAGCGGAAGGAAACGAACACCTGTCCTGCATGCCTTTTCTGCAGTTTGCTCTTGTTAATGATTAGCACGAGTTCATGTAAGCTCAAGTATGTGCTCGCTCACACACGGATACCGTTTCACGGGGGCTTAAGCTGTATAGACGTGGGCTATGAGGTTAGAAAAGTGATACTCTCATGTGTTTCGGGTGCTATAGGAAGGGTATGATTTGGGGCTAGGCCGTCTAGGGCCATGCCGTCCTATCCGTGGCTGAAGGGACCCTCATTATCACGTTACCGATATTTTTGAGTGAAAGGTAAATTCAGTCTGTCCACAGGATTCTGTAGTCCATGAGTATAAGTCTGCTGCCCTCAGACTTCTTGATGTTAATTCATTCACAAAATATGGTATAATTTAATTTCTCGGGTTTGCTAAAATCGTCTATTAGGTATTAGGAATTTTGACATTTTATGTGTCACAATTTCAAAAATTATATAAAATTTCACATAGCAAACAAACTGGCCCTTAATGTTTTGCTGGTGAAGAACTGGAGTTAAAAACTTTACAGCTAGTGGGTGTTTGAGAGTACATAAAGCTTTAAGGGAAAATTATATTTATAAAATAGAAGTGAGGATTTAACTCGTATAATTTGCTATCTAAAATGTCACCTGGCTCTGTGCCTCAAAAAGGATGAGGAGCTTTCTAAGTAATCTTCGTGACCACAATTTCCAGCCTTCTTTTAACTTTGTATGCTTTAACATAAATAAGAGGTTTCTTCAGAGGAACAAGTCTGGTTCAACTTCTGTTTACTCAACATTTCAAATTGCCTTAAGGATACCGTGTAGTTAGTGTTCTTAAAAATGAATGCCATCTTTCTGATCATTAAAATAGCACATTTGTTGTATAAATTTTTTAAAATATAGAAATTGCTCTTAATATTTGATGTTTTGGAAATATTAGTACATATACTTAAAAATTTGAATTATACTGTATGCTATTATTTAACACTAAATAAATAATATAATAATATATTCCTAATTAATAATAATTATTTAAATTAAACTTAAGTTTAAATAAAAATTAAACTCAAATTAAGATAAGTTATAATAAATAATTAATTAATAAATTGATTAGTCTTATTATTACCTAGTCCTCAAAAAACTTGATTTTTAATTGTATGGATATATAATAATTTAGCCATTTTTGTATTTAACTTTTTTATTATTTTTCACTATTATAATTGATGCTCGGAAGTAGATACTTGTGTATAAATCTTAGAGTCTGCTCTGGAAATTTCCTTAGGATAAATTCTAAAGGTGAAGTTGATAAGGTAAAGAGTATGCCTATTTTATTTTATTTTATTTCATTTATTTATTTATTTTTAGATTTTATTTATTTATTTGACAGAGAGATCACAAGCAGGCAGAGAGGCAGGCAGAGAGAGAGGGGGAAGCAGGCTCCCTGCTGAGCAGAGAGCCCGATGCGGGGCTCGATCCCAGGACCCTGGGATCATGACCTGAGCCGGAGGCAGAGGCTCAACCACTGAGCCACCAGGCGCCCCAAGAATGTGCCTATTTTAAAATTGCTTGATAGATCTGGCTGAATTCCTCCGCACAGAAGTCGCACGGTTTTATACTCTGACCAGCAGTTCTGAGGGTTCTGTTGCGCCACACAGTTGAAGATATGAATTAACAATTCGTTACATTTTTGTTGATATGATAGGTATAAAATGATATCTTACTGTTTTATTGTCTTAGGGCCTTAATAATCTATGTTGCCCCTTCTGTCTTTGTTTTCTTTTCCTTATCCTTATTGTTTGCACTTTGCAGAATCGGGAATTCATGTTATAAATATTCGAATAAGTACATTACATGCCGTGACAAGTAAAGGGCTTGTCGATATTTAAATATATTCATGTGAGACTAAAAAACTGTAGTATTGTAACAAAATATTGTTTAAATGTGTTAAAACTTTGTAATAGTACGTGGAAAGCATTTTTACTAAATGAAATCTAACTGTGCTTAAAGATCACGATAATACTTTCTGATTTACATTTTGAAAGGTATTATGTAAAATCATTATAGCGAGACTCTTCTCTAGTAAGCGTTTCTCATGGCGTGTGTTCTGTTGGCATTTTGCAGTGTGGTCAAGGTGGATTGCTTAAATATTAATTGTAACCCTGTGAAGACCGTGATTGATGATCTCATCCAGAAGCTATTTGATATGCTTGTTCTTTCTTTGAAGAAGTCCATCCAGGGTAAAGACACTTTTTACTTTTTATTTTAACTTAATTTTATACATAAAGGCATGCATTTTGGTAGTTAGGAAGTGTGAATCCCAATGATGATTAAAATCAGCCAACCTAGAAAGTATTATGAAATGAAGTGTGCTTAAAATGATAATTTTAATAAAATAGGAAAGTCCATATCCAACTGTTTGAGCTAAAAAAATGAAGGGCATTTTTACTATTTGTAGTATGAACTACTGTTAGTTTGTTGTATATGTTCCTGACAAAGGTAGATAATGCTGCTAGAATGTATTTCTTCTTATCTTTCAAATTTCCCACTGTTCTCCAAAATACCACTTTGTTTTTTTTTTTCCATTAAACTGAGATGTTCTGACATATTATCTAGAAGACTGGAAAAGTTACCAATTTTGAGTATAATTTACTAATAATGAGTACATTTTAACTTCCTCAAAATTTAGAGGTATAATGTGAAACAACTAAACTTTCATGACAAGAAATTTTTTTTGCTTATTCTGTATTTTAAAGTTTTGTTGTATGAGCAAATGAAAATTCAAGTTTTAATGTATGCTATGTAGTAATCACTTCTAACACTGATTTTAAAATGGTGCAATGGAGTAATTTTGGTGATGATAACATTCTCTGTCAATGTCACCTATTCAGCTCACCTACATGAAATTGATACATTTGTCACTGAGGCCATGGAAGTGTTAACAGTTATGCCCCAGTCTGTGGAGGAGATCGGTGATGCAAATTTACAATACAGTAAGCTACAGGAACGGAAACCAGAGGTGAGAATCGCGAAGTAAAGTTACCAACCTCTTCGTAGCACGCAGGAGATGTTTCAGTTAGGCAGGCTTATGTGACTCTTTAGGAAGACCATAGAAGTTCAGAATTGTAGGGAGTCCACGGAAGCCGGTCCAGCCGGCCACTCATGATGCGACTCTTGCTGTTACACTGGTGCAGTGACACAGTAACAGTCATACTTATTACTGTCTCAGGAGTATTCACAGTCTGTTTTATGAGGTGCCATGTTAGAATGAGACTAAACTTAAATAATTCATGCTGTTACTTCCAGGGTTGTAACTTTAGGATGCTGGAGTGTGAAGTTAGAGCTGAATTAGGAATACTTACACACAACACACACACTCACATACGGAGCGGTTACATTATGGTTGATTGTAACTGTTTAGGAGAAGAGAAATAATTCAGATCAGGAAACAAACGTTTATGTGTCCCTCCTATGAAATAGACTTAAAATTATTAAGATAGTTCAGAGGTAAGTGAAATAATATCCCTTCATGGTGTAACACAGGGGGTTCACAGAAAGAGGAATGAGTGTGTCCTAGAGCTTTGGCTGAGTGGCTGGGAAGCAGCTGGTACCATTTCCTGCCAATGGGAATGACTGGACGAGGAGGGTGTTGGGATATCGGAGGCAGTGGGGGCTGTGGTGTCGGATGGAAATTGAATGAGGAATACGGAACTTAAGAGTGAAGACCAGAGATGAAAACTTGAACGCCATCTTTACATGCATGAAATGCAAAGCCATGAGATTGACTAGACCACCTGGCTGACAGCAGACAACAGACGCTGTGGGAGCAGGGTAGAATATTCCAGAATTTAGAGTTGAAGTGTAAGAGGAGGTGCAGAGGAGAATGAGAATGAAATGGGAGGGAAGACACAGAAACGGGAAGAAGAGACACGGATGTTGCATGCGAGGGCAGCGGGTGAGGCAGGAAAACCTAGACAGGATCTCTGGCACGGGAGCCAGTGAGGACCTCAGGGTCCATCCCGTCGAGGCTGGGGAGTCTGCTGGGCTGCGCGTGGCAGGGTGTTACAGAGTCGTGTTTTGAGGTCTCTCTGTTGCCATGTGGATTGGAAGGAGGAGGAGTAGGGGCAGGCTAACTAGGAGACTCCTAAGTCTCCTCTAAGGCCTCCTCACATGTGGGAAATGAGAGCCTGCCTGCCTTCTTTCTCTTCTCCTGCTGAGTGTCCTCATGCACAATGGCTTCCACGTGTTTAGTCGCCCTTTTCTTTTTCTTTTCTTTTTTATTTAAAGATTTTATTTATTTATTTATTTGAGAGAGAGAGAGAGAGAGAATGAGAGAGAGCATGAACAGGGGAAAGAGTCAGAGGGAGAAGCAGACTCCCTGCAGAGCAGGGAGCCTGATGCGGGACTCAATCCTGGGACTCCAGGATCATGACCTGAGCCGAAGGCCATTGCTTAACTAGCTGAGCCACCCAGGCACCCCTAGTTGTCCTTTTCTTAAGGACCTTTTTCATGACTTTCCCTCTCTGTTGAGTAGAATATCTTATTTATGCTCTTAGATAATCCTAATCTTCATTCTTTTAGAAGCCCTTCTAGCGTTTTCTTATGAGTGGAACTGGTATAATCAGAACTTCACCTTGAATCCCGCTGTAGCATTGTGTTTATGAATTCATGGTGTCATTCAGTCTGGAGGGGCAACTTTAGGATCCTTTTTAACTCTCATGTTAGAGGGCCTTAGCTGAGTTTGCACATAATGATTAGGAAGTATTAGCAGCTTCATATCCAGGAATTTAACAAGTCATTTCAAAACGGAAATCTTGATTTTAAAAAGCAAGTCATGGAACAAATTAGAATAAATGAACCTTAAGAAATTTGATAAAATTGTTTTTTATGTGTTATTTCTTCAACCTTTAGATTTTGCCCTTATTCCAAGAAGCTGAAGATAAAAACAGACTTTTACGGACTGTGGCAGGTGGAGGTTTGGAAACAATTAGCAATCTGAAAGCTAAGTGGGATAAATTTGAGTTGATGATGGAAAGTCACCAACTTATGATTAAAGATCAGGTAAGAACGCTTTAGTCATTTTCTTAAAATGGAAACTTGGTTTTTTGCTCACTTAAGATCTCTCACTTTATTCCATTACAGTTCAGGTAGATAAGAATTTTATATTGATGTTGAACTTGGCCTGCTCAGTACTTCCATGTAGCAAAACACTATCCACCGTTTTCTCTTCGCTTCCTACCATACAAAGAGTGTATGTCATATCATTCCCAGTTTTTCTTAGGAGTGGATTTGTTTGCCGCTATGTCTGTTAAGGGACAGCCTGGTAGTTATACACGTCTGTCGTACTTCTGTCCTGTTGACTGAACTTACTCTTTGGCTGGGAGACCGGGACACCCTCCGTCGTGAAGCAGCTGAATGCTTGGGTGGGACAGCTCTAGTGCTAGGCGTTCTTTGATCACTCCATCTTTGTGGAGAGCTGTGGTGGCAGCTGCTAATAGCGTGAGTGATGTTTTAATGATGATACTTGCAGTTTACCTCTAAGTACTGAATGTTTATGCTCTAATTTATGGTCTAAATTTGAAATCAAAATTTTACTGTACTTGAAATTAGTGATTGAAAACAATCTGTTGAGAAATTGGTTGATGTTTTTTTCACCTGTAAATAGAAAAAGTTGGAAGTAAAATGTGAAAGGAAAGTGAGATTTTACTCTGAATTGAATTATATAAACTCTTGACTCTTACAGATCGAAGTAATGAAAGGAAATGTGAAGTCACGTCTTCAGATCTATTATCAAGAATTAGAAAAATTTAAAGCTCGTTGGGACCAACTAAAGCCTGGTGATGATATTATTGAAACCGGCCAGCGAAATGCTCTTGATATAAGTGCCAAGTCAATAAAAGAGAAGAAAATTGAGTTTGATGATCTTGAAGTCATAAGGAAAAAGCTGGTGTATGTTTTTTCTTTAAAATTGATAGTAGTTGTTTCAGTTTGTATTTGCAGATGTCCTTATGTCTGTTTATCTTAATGTTTTTCTTCATATAATTCTGTAGTTTTAAAGAAAACTAAGAAGGGCTTATGCCCAGGAGTCATGGCTGCATTCTGTCAGGAGATAAAAAGAAAAGCAAATTTCTGTTTAGGCCTAGAAGTATAACAGATAACTAAACTGACTTAAAAGGTAAATTATGGAGATGGAGCACTTGCTTTCTGTGATTTCATTGTATTTAAAAATGGAATATATGAAATTAATGGAAAGTTGCTTTCAGAGACTCTGAGAAAAAAAAATGAACCTAGCAAAATAGGACAATTCCACGAAAAAAATTGTTTTGTGTTATAATAATACAAGGTATTAGGTGTATTTTATTTTATTTTAAAGATTTTATTTATTTGAGAGAGAGAGCCAAGCGAGAGAGAGCGAGCGCACATAGGAACAGTGGGGGGCCGGGGGAAGGGCAGGGGGAGAGGGAGAAACAAGCTCCCCGCTGAACGGGGAGCCCGATGCGGGACTCCATCCCAGGACCCTCGGATCATGACCTGAGCCAAAGGCAGATACTTAACCCACTGAGCCACCCAGGCGCCCACAAGGTATTAAGTTTAAGCATTGTTTTAGGTTTGGTCTCTGTTTAGGCAAATGCATCGATTGGTAAGATAATTGTCTTCCAGGGATAGTGAAGGATTTAGTACACACTTACTAAATGGCATTCTACCTTTTCTCTAAAAGGATGTCTTATATTCTAGAATCTAACTCTTGGATATTAATATTAATCTCTTCTCAGTTAATCCATGAATAGATATAATTCTGAATATTTCTATTTTTATGACATATATGTTGGACATAAATATATTTATGTGTGTTACCAACTGCACTTAGAGTCCTTTAGAAAAATGAACATTAATGAATTTAGAAGAGGTTATACGTAAGCAGTTAGAGTGAAATTCTCAGGTAGTCGCCCACTGTCTCACCGTCGGACTGGTGGGCGTGTACACACACACACACACACACACACAGGGAAGGTGGTTCAGTAACAATGATCGGAACAGTTTTTAAGGATGTAATGGTGTTTCACCCTTTGTTTCTATAGTGATGACTGCCATCATTTTGGACTAGAAGAGCCCAACTTCTCCCTGGCGCACAGCGTCTCCAAGGACATCGAGAGCTGCGCGCAGGTTTGGGCGCTGTATGAAGAGTTTCAGCGGGGGCTTCAGGACATGGCCAGCGAGGACTGGATCACGTTCCGGTGAGGCCCATAGGCTCTACTGAGATTCTCATCATGTGGTAGTGTTTGGGGACGTGCATTTTAAGGTGTCGTGGTGTTTTCCAGGACGAAGACATATCTGTTGGAGGAATTCCTGATGACTTGGCACGACAGGTTACGGAAAGTGGAAGAACATTCTGCCATGACAGTGAAGCTGCAGTCGGAAGTCGACAGATACAGAGTAAGGCCCTGGTGCTCCTGCCGCTGTCTAGGGTCACCATCAGGTCACCGTGCCACCGAAAGAGCGGGGGTTCCAGCTTCTGGTTTTCCTGATTCCATCACATGAAGAAAGTAGCAAGTATAGAGTAGACCACAGACATTACTGATGTTTCACCTACACTTTTGAAAAGTTTTAACTAAGAAATTTATGCTTCAAGTTATAAATTAGAGTGTCGATACCTTCTAGTACAATTTAGGATATGGGTCATTTAGCATATTTAGGATATAGGTCATATCCTAAATAATAAAAATAGCAACATTTTAGGTCATGTTTTAAAACATATCAAGCTACAAAGGGATAGTTACATGTATCCACAGCAGGGTTTAATAAAACATTTTGTACAATTCTGTTTGAGAATTTGATTTCAAGATTATTAAATGGGATAACAGTAATTAAAAATTTTGTAGCTAATCGTAAAAGGAAATAACAATTTGCATTTAGATAATATATGTTCATGTGTGTATATATTTTTTTTCACAGACTGTAATACCTATTTTGAAATATGTGAGAGGGGAGCATCTTTCTCCAGATCATTGGCTTGACCTTTTTCGTCTACTTGGTCTTCCTCGGGGGACGAGCCTGGAGAAGTTACTGTTTGGTGATCTCCTCAGAGTAGCTGATATGATTGTTGCCAAAGCTTCAGACCTTAAAGTAGGATTCACTTTTATAAATATCTCAAAAATATTACTTTCGATATTATTTGGTTTTGCTTTGTATTTTATTTAAATAGCAAGTTAAATTTATTTTCTCTTACTATGGTGACTGTGTTCCCTTATTCCATTCTTCTTTCTTTAGTAATGCGTCTGAATCTGTGAGGGAGTGTAGAAGCATTATAAACCTCTTTCTTCAGAGAGAGAAAAAATATGAAAAGAAATGGCTTAGTTTAAGAAGGGAGTCAGCTTTAATCAAAAAGCAAACAAATACAAATCATTTTACTTAAAATACATTTAAAATCATGGGATATATTGTTAATGGAAGCAAAGAGATGTTAAGCTCCAGAGAATAAAACCAAGAACCAATTTGCTAATCAGGTTTAGAAAAAGTCTGAGGTGAAAATAAAACGTGCACTATTCTCAATTCTAACATTAGTTGCAGACTTTCTGTGTTGCATTCTGCCCATTCAGTGTAAAAATAAAAGAACTCACTCTCTTTTAAAGATTTTATTTATTTATTTGAGAGCAAGAGAGAGAGAAAGAGGGTGCGTGAACACACTGGAGTGGGGTGGGGGACAGACGGAGAGAATCCCAGGCAGACCGCCCGCTGAGCATGGAGACTGGTGCACCACATGGGGCTCCATGTCACGACCCTGAGATCTTGACCCGAACTGAAACCACAAGTCAGATGCTTACGCAACTGAGCTTCCCAGGCGTCCCCCAAATAAAAGTACTCTTGCTATGGAATTGTCATATTTTCTCCTTAATTTATGTACCTTTGTGTTTGCTCATAATCTTGGAGCCTATTAAATAATTGTGAGGTTATAAAGCATGACTTCTATAGAAGGTGGTAATTAATCACTTGAGGTGTATCAGAACTTTAAATTAATGTAAGATTTCTGAAGTCTGCAAAATTTTAAATATGTTAGAAAGGTTTACTGTGTGTTTTTTTTCTTTTTTTTGGTTGGTTTTGTTTTTTTTGAGAGGGGGTGGTAGCAAGGGGCAGAGGGAGAGGGGGAGAGAGAATTTTAAACAGACCCCATGCGCAGCACAGATCCCAATTTGGGACTCGATCTCATGACACTGAAATCATGACCTGAGCCAAAATCAGGAGTTGGACACATACCCTACTGAGCCACCCAGGTGCCCAAAGCCAGACTTTTCAAGAATCCTTGAATTTTTTCTCTTTTTAAAGTAAGAAGCCTATAGCAGAACCTTGTGTATACTTTGACCATGTGAACCTGGATACTTAGTGTCTGATCTCTCTTGATACATTAGTGAGTCTCTTGGATTGCATGTAAAATATATTCATTTATTATTATTATTATGCTTTATTGAGAAAAACCAAATAAAAATATAGCTTCTTATGAAATTTTTTATGATTATGTGTATGGTAATTAATGTTGAAATAATAAATATGGATATTTTGTGTTAATTAGGACTTAAATAGTCGGGCACAAGGTGAAGTTACAATCAGAGAAGCTTTACGTGAACTTGATCTCTGGGGAGTTGGAGCAGTGTTTACCTTGATTGATTATGAAGACAGCCAAAGTCGAACTATCAAGCTAATTAAAGACTGGAAAGACATAGTAAATCAAGTTGGAGATAACAGGTGCCTTCTTCAGTCCTTAAAGGATTCTCCTTATTATAAAGGATTTGAAGATAAAGTGTCAATTTGGGAGAGAAAACTGGCAGAATTGGATGAATACCTACAGAATTTAAACCACATTCAGAGGAAGTGGGTGTATCTGGAACCCATCTTCGGCCGTGGAGCATTGCCCAAAGAGCAGATGCGCTTCAACAGAGTCGATGAGGACTTCAGGTAAGGGTAACGCCGTGTAGGAGCTCGACTCATGCGGCATTGTTTTCTCCCATGTCACCAGGTGCTTAACGATGTGAGTGCCTTTACGTTATGAGCGTTGTCGGTGACTTCCGCCTCTTCCTCCACTGGATCCCTCGAAGGAGCTGTTTCTACTTCTTGATCGCCGTCCCTCCCGCACGGCCTGGTAGTGACAACACTGTCCCTGGAGTGTCAGGGTACCGGTGGTAGCGCTGACCTCTCTCCATCAGTACTGTGGTGACTGAGGTCATCCATTCCGTTCCTGCTGGAATACGATGGGCGTTGTGCACGCCTCATTTTCCTTCCTCTCTGACAGTATTTAGAGAGGCGAGCACCTCCGGCTGGAAGTCTCCTCCTGTGGCTTCGGGGAGACCGTCTTCCCATGTTCTGCTCGTCTGTCAGGGTCTCCTCGGGCTCCCGCACTCAGGCCTCTCTCTGCGTGGAGTTGTGGGCGCCCCCACTGCTTCCCTCTGCGTGCTCTGTGGGTGCTCCCGGGCACCCCTGTTCTCTCCTGCCCGCCGCAGCCCCTCTGTGGCTTCATGGAGCCCTATCTTTCTCTTCCGAGCTCCAGATAGACGAAACATACCCGGCGCGTCAAAGCCACAGTCCCCATCCGTGCCTCGTGCAAATCTGTGCTCTTTCCCATCCCTGTCTCCGCGGCTGGTGCCACCTGGCTCGCTGCTCACAGCAGCAGCCTGGCGGGTGTTGGACCTCCCCAGGCACCTCCAGCTCCATTAAGCTACCAGATTCGTGGACTCTGACCTACTTGCTCTTTTTGAGTCTGTCTCTTCTGTCTGTCCTTTCTTGCCTCTACTCGGAGGTATACTTGTCACTCGCTCACGCCGCCGCCCGGCCTGGGGCTCACGCTTGTCTTCCCAGGACGCACAGCGGCCAGAGTGGTCTGGGCCGAGGCCGGGCTTGTGGCTGCTTTGCTTTCCCGCCGCTCTGAGGGTGAAGCCTGGTCTGCTCCGTGTCCCCTTCTGCAGCTTCTCCTACGCCGCTCTCTGTTTGCTTCAGAGACGCCCCCCCACCCCCGCCCCTGCTCAGGGACGTTTTCTCTGACTCAGCCTGCGGAGCCCAGCCTCACTGACTTTCTCAAGCCGGAGGGCAGGGTATCCCATTAGCTGTTTTAAAGGTACTTTGTCCTTTTCCTTCTTAGCATTTGTCATCATTTTATTTAAATATTTTTAAAAAATATTTACTATTTTTCTCTGTCACTGGACCATTATCTCTATGAGATACGGTTTAATATTTGGCGAATGAATGAAATTGGAGAATTTGCAACATGGTAGGTTGAAAATGGTAAAGGGGGGGCCATGTGGCTCACTTGGTTGGTGCAACGTAGGACTCTAGATCTCGGGGTCATGAGTTTAAGCCCTACATTGGGTGTAGAGCCCACTTAAAGTAGAAAAAACTAAGTACTTAAAAACAGTAAAGGGCTATTCTTAATTTTTAGCATGATTTCTTTGAAGTGTAGTGATGTTTTGCTGTTATGATAGCGTTAGCTCTAGTTTGTTCTATGCAGGCAAAAAATAAATGTCTCAGTATTTCTCTTCCAGCCAAAAACTGCTCAAATAAAGGTAAAAATAACTGTTTTTTCTCTGCAGATCAATAATGGCTGACATCAAGAAAGACAGTAGGGTTACGACGTTAACGACTCAGGCGGGAATCAGAAATTGTCTGCTGACGATACTTGATCAGCTTCAGCGATGTCAGAAATCATTAAACGAGTTTTTGGAGGCATGTTTTTTAAATTAGACTTCTATAATAAATTATGAAGTCCTTTGTTGTACGACTCATTGAAAAGATAGGGCTCTTATTCTCGTCTGTGTTTGTGTTAGGAGAAGCGCTCAGTGTTCCCCAGGTTTTACTTCCTCGGCGATGATGACCTGCTGGAGGTGCTGGGCCAGTCGACTAGCCCATTGGTGATTCAGTCTCACCTCAGAAAGCTGTTCGCTGGTAAGATTGGCACATCTCTAGCACGTACTTACTGCGTTCCAGGCTCTGCCAGGCACAGTGCTAGGCTCGGAGGTAAACTGTCGCATAGAATGCGTGTCCCACACTCGAAGCATTCATGGTTTGCTGGAAAGGCAGCCTGCTGCGTGGACAGCCCTAGGGCACCCCCTGCAACCGGCACGGCTGAGCTGTGGGGCGGTGGGCAGTGTCCTGGGGCGCCTGCAAGGTGGCATGGGTGGTGCAGTCTGCAGAACGTGCTGGTGTTTGCCAGAAGGAGGCTGGGCGGGCGGCGGGGAGGGGCGGCGGGGAGGGGAGGGCACGCTCCTTCACTGCAGAGTGGGTGCACCCCAGTGGCATCATTGTGAGTGGGGAGGTCAGGGGCGGAGGAGTGGCGTCAGGGGTCGTCTGGGTGCAGAGTGCCATCGGGCTGTGGGCCGAGGCGAGGCCACCTGGTGTCCAGTGTGCTGATGGGGCCGAGCGTCCCTCTAGCTTAGCCGCTGTCCGCGGGCCAGGACCTGTGCAATCCGCCTGTGGTAAAAATCAAGATGAGTATTTTTTCAGAACTTTCCATTTGTTGGAGAGTAGCCATGTTTTTCAAATTCAGTCAAACATTTCCATCACCTATACTGACAGGATAAGTGTGCAGTGGGCGCCCGGGCCTGCTCTGGCTCCCTGCCCGACTTCCTGCGGGATGGTCTTGCTGGACCACAGCCGTGCCCGTGATTGTGTAGCGCTGCTCTTGGTGCAGGGCACACCCGAGCAGCCGACACGGACGCCGTCCGGCCTGCAGAGCCCTCACGTTTCCGCACCCGTGTGTGCGGAGCTCCGGGGCGCCGTGTCCGCAGCCGTGACCTGGGCTGCGGGAGGCGGCGGCCAGAGCCCTTGCAATCAGCAGGCTTGTGTTCACTCGGCCTCCGGCCTGGGTTAGCCAGTTACACATTACCGCTCGAAGCTTGGTTTCCTCCTTCCCATTGGAGATAATAACTTATAGGGTTTTTGTGAAGATCCAAATTGGGTGTCTACACATCAATATATTGAAGTATTTTTGTACACCATAAAATAAAGTACACATCTGGGGGAAGGGAAGTCCTGTTTGCCCTCCCCCTTTCTTCTTCTCTTCCGTCTCCTGTTGTGGTAGCGGAATCATCGGTGTGTGTTCTTAGGCGCTCCTTTGCGTCTGGCCTTTTTCTTTGCTCGTCATTATGTCTTTGAGATGCCCGCGGCTACACTTCACTCCTTTTTGTTGCCGAGCTCAATGCTGCTGGGGGGGTGCGCCGGCCTAGTCATCCGCCTATTGGGGGCCTGTGGGCTCTTTCCATTTTTGATGAGGAGAAACTGTTGTGTTATGTTGGAGAATTAACATAATTCTAGTACATTATGATACATACTATGAGGTACACATATACTGTGGGAGTGACGTACTTTGTTTAATAGTTATGTATTTCACCCTTTCACATTTCCATTGGTCTTCTGTATTCTAGGTATTAACAGTGTGTGCTTTGATGAGGAATCCAAGCATATCACTGCAATGAAGTCTTTAGACGGAGAGGTCGTGCCTTTTAAAAACAAAGTTCTTCTCTCAAATAATGTAGAGGTAAGTAATTCTTCGAGTATGAAAATGAAAAGAATTAACTGTATGAACTTTGTACCAAAAATAATTTAGTCTAGGGGTGCCTGGGTGGCTCAGTGGGTTAAGCCTCTGCCTTCGGCTCAGGACTTGATCTCAGGGTTCTGGGATCGAGCCCCGCATCGGGCTCTCTGCTCAGCGGGGAGCCTGCTTCCCCCTCTCTCTCTGCCTGCCTCTCTGCCTACTTGTGATCTCTGTCTGTCAAATTAATAAAATCTTTTAAAAAAAATAATTTAGTCGATTTGTTAGGTAAAACTTAGGCCTTTTAGGAAACTCATCTCGTATCTTAAAAAGATGATTTGTTAGGTTCGGAATGATTTGATATTGAAAAAAATATAGATTTTTTTAGTTTTTGGAGGGCAGTATGTAACTATGAAAAGAATCTTTGCTTTGGAGTTGAAAAGACAGGTTATTAATCTTTGCTCCTCAACTTACTAGCTCGTGACTTAGAATCACAGCTTTCTTATCTGTAAAATACCCATCTTACTACCCAGCTTCCTGTCTGTTGCAAAGATTGTTGACAATTAGATGAGGCGTGTGGCTTTACGTACAGTACGTCGCGTCTGCAGCGTGAATACGCACTGGGCACTTGAAGATGATTTATTTCAGGAGGTGGATTATGATTTGTTACTCACTCCCGTGCTCCCAAAATGTGTTGTGTGGCGTGATGGCTGGACAAGATGATTTTATATGAGATGATTTGGGTGAGTAAGTAAGTGTGCAACTAACGCATTTACAGGACTACCACTGCTCAGTCGGCCCTGCGGCCCTGGCACTGAACCATCCTTTGATGTGTACCTAAGGCAGGTACACAGCAAACCAGACTGCAGGAGGTCGAGCCCAGTGCGTGGTAATTGTCACGGACCAGAGTTCTCTCCCAGCTAGTGGCTGGGGCCTGGGCCTTACCACACTCATGTCTATAGAGTTTAGCAAACTTTCTGTTCCTGAGGAGGCCTCAACATTTGATTGGATGCTGATGACATCAGTCAGGTGATTGAAAGCACGGGTTTGTTAGTAGCTCCCGTGTTTGTGTTTGGTGAAGAGTTTTGTTGTTTTGTTGTGGTCGTTTGCCTTTCTTGGGGTTTTCCTGGGAGTAGACGAAGAGAGAGAGGAAGGGCATCGGTTCCGGCAGTGGGCCCCAGGTGGCTTTGCCGGCAGAGGGTGCTGGAAGTCTGCAGGCTTGGCCGCGGTCAGCAGAGCGACGTCTGCCGCCTGGCATGGAGACCCTGAGCCTGAGATGCTGTGGCATTGGACGTTTGTGCTGTTCGTGTACCGGAAAGGGCTCTAAAGATGGAGAAGTCCAGAGCGTGGAGTCTAAGTAATGACGAAGAGCTATTTAGCATTGTAGGTTTGGCACTTATATTTTATTGCAAATATACAGTCTTATATTGCAAATATACGGTTAATAAGTATTCATTGCTGTTGTTATCAGTTATTATTGTTAGGTTAACTTCACTTGACTTTATTATTTTATCTACCTTCAAGTGAAAAATGTATTATTTTCACCCTGAAAGAAAATTAGTTTTAAGGAAGTGGCTTAGCTCCCCAAATAACAGAGCTCACCATAGAAAAGCAATCCTTTCTTCTGCTGCAGCTTCTGAGTGTGTGCTCACCAAGGGGCATGAGCCCGCAGGCTGAGCCAGTCACTGTGACTTTCCGCTGTCTAGTTTGATTTCTTGCAACATTGGAATGAAGGGGTCAGTCTGCTCGTGTTACAGTCATTTGCAGAGATGATGACGGTGATAGCTAACTATACATTTGGGAGTTTTCATACTTAGCCATCATCCCAAGAGGTGAAAAGATGGTTTTCCTCAAGTTATTTAATTTCTTTAATAATAAATTATTATATGTCATGTAACACATTTTGGGAGTTTGAAAGTCAATAAGAAATTAAATCCTGCCTCTTGAAATAAATTAATAGGGTCAGTCAATAGAGTGTATATTTGTTTTATGACTGGTGTATATTATTATTTTTTGAGGAGTTTCCCTTATTTATTTATTTTGAGAGAGAGAGAGAGCGAGCAACCGAGCATGTGAGCGGGCAGGAGGGGCAGAGGGAGAGAATCTCACCACCGTGAGGTCACAACCTGGGCCAAAACAGGAGTTGGGTGCTTGACTGACTGAGCCACTCAGGTGCCCCTTGTGTGTATTATTCTCAATTTTATTTTCAGACCTGGTTAAATGATTTAGCCTTCGAAATGAAGCAGACTCTGAAGCAGTTGTTGATAGAATGTGTTACTGCGGGACGAAGTTGTCAGGGCTCAATTGACCCGTCCGCGTTCCCTTCTCAGGTAAGGGGGCTCCTGTCTGCAACGTAGGCAGGCGGGTTTCGTGGGAAGATCCCCAACGTAGAGGCCAGGGGGTCAGACGGCAGCATCTTTGTTCTTCCTTTCTCTAGCAGCTGATACTGACAGGTTGCGTAACTTCTGATTCTTGTCCCCGTACCTGTACACGGTGATAGGACCGCCTGGCCGTGCCGTTTCCTCTGGCTCCGCTGGTTTGCTGACAGCGAGATGCTCTCAGGCAGAAGGCGCTGAGATCCGAGGCCCTCAGGCCAGCGAGGGGGGTCAGTAGTGCATGGGCGCCCCGGGGCCTGATGGTTAGTGCCTCACTGATGCACTGAGGCCCGTCCCCTGGGCCCCCCTCACCCGTGGATTCATCCAGGAGGTCGGTGCTGGCGGGAGGTTAGCGGGGTGTCCGTGCGTGTCTGGATAGAGCCCTGGTGCTGGACTGGGGTGTTGGTGGGAAGCCAAGAGCTGCTCTGCTTGTGGGGTCGTGGACTTCCCGCAGCTCCGTGTTCATAGGAGCTCACACCTGAGACCCCAGCCCACGGCTGTGGTTACAGAGCGTGGTCGGGAGTCTTACCCCGGTGTCATTTCGTGTGGTCCTGAGGCTGGCGTGAAGTCCTGCCTTGCTCAGGATTTGTTTCACTGGGGCTGAGACTTTTGCTGCTGGTAAAGGCCATGAGGGGCGTCAGCTCTCAGGAACCGCGGAAGGCCAGCGTTGGAGATGTTCGCTGATTTCTCACAGGAAAATCTACCCAGTGCTTAAGGTTATATGCTTTCCAGATGATACAGGAACAGGTTTTATGTTGGTTCTTTTAAAGCTGGAGAAGTTAGATGGAAAACTTGAATATTTTAGATCTTAGCCATTGTATTATTCCTATCATTTGCATCTTCTAGCACGTCAAGACGAACTAAAGTATGTCTTACAGTTCTTGTTAAGCTCTTAGAGAAAATTAATCATCAGTGAACAATAATACCATTGCAAAGTCACAGGTAAACTGCTTTATTACTTCTGGAAATGTTCTCTACTCCTATCAACTTCTGGGTAGGATTTAAGTAAACTTGGAATAAAAGGCAAAATATTAAAAATTTCCAGAAGGAAGGATTGCAAAGCGATTGATTGGGGAAATGACAACGGTGTCAGGAGATGCACCGGAGGGGCGGGTGCAGGAGGGGACTGCTGGGTCCCAGCCCGCAGCTGACCTCGGGGCTCCCACACACCTGGCTGAAAACGGGGACCACAAAACAAGTCAGCAGTTCATGGTCCCGTAAAATCTGAACTGCTGAAAATAGGGATAGTTTGTTGTCAACCAAAACAAAAAATTCTAGTGTCTTAGCAGTTAATGCTAAGAAAAACTTCCCTCAAGAGCGTTTATGTGCAGGAGTTGGATAGCCTGACTGTGTGAGTGTCTGGTAGGAGTTAAGGCCGCTAGGTCAGGATTCTAGAGGTGTTTTTTGTAAGGACCTGACCTAAGGTACAAGGAACGTTCTGACCTGGGAAGGAGACCGCGTGCTAAGTGCAGGGACTTGGCCAGACCTCGGTCCAATCCTGCTTTGTCACTTTCTCAGAGGGACTCCTGCAGACACAGTGCGGAGGGCATGATGATACGTGCATTGCCCGTTTCTTTGGAAGGTTAAATTGTAAAATGTTTGCAAAACACTGTTAATGACTGCTGCATTTTAGGTTATTAAAATGCAGTATTATTGCCCGGATACTGTAATGGTGCACAGTGTGACTTGAGAATTAGCCAGGGCGGTATTTTGACTACCATTTCTGCTAGCCTCTTGCAGAAATTGTTGAGCAGATGGTTAAACAGAGATTATCCATGTGCATTTATAATGCAGAAGTTCAGTCCTGTTGCCTGTGAGGAAGTCCACAGATAGGAGTATTAGTTTGGAGGTGGCAAGTGAACATTTTTGTATGAAGGTTAAAGAGCAAAGGTCTTTTCTCCAAAAGCGGATTTGGTCTGCTTAAATGCTGTCTCACACACCTGACGGAAGAACCTGGTGAGTTTGTCCCACAAATAAGGGGAGATAACTTTGCCCTGGAAAGAGTTACTCTTCCTTTAAAGAATGGTATTTAATGCTACTTAAACGAAGATATTTATGTAATATTTCTGATAGTAGATTAATGCAGTATGTTAAGTTAGAACAAGACGGCAGCTTCGCCTGCCTGTAAAGTTATAAACGTGTGCACAGATGGCGGAGCTGGGAAGGAGAGGCGTCTGAGGGCGTTCACGTGGGCGCTGAAAAGTATCTGCTTTGTAGCGTTGGTGGCTTTATGTGATGATGGACCACGTCTTTAGTTTAAAGGAGGATGTTGGTTTTCTGCATTCCTCTAAGAACTCTCGAACTACTGCAGCATAAGCTTTCGAAGGCTAGTGTTTGAACGTGTAAGGGCTTTATCAGTAGCCATGCTAGGTTGGTTCCGTTACAGAAAGCCTTTCAAGCAGTGTTAACACTTCATGTTTTATTTAAGTATAAGGATATCTCCTTGATCTATAGCTAGTTTCTCTTTATGGGTATTAGACTCAAAGATGAAGACAGAACTTAATTTAAGATGAACTTGGAATTTTGGGATTTTAGACTTCTGGAGTGTCCTGAGATGAGTTTGGAATGCATTGGTACCTTTGCATCCTTGAAAAGAAGCTGTTCAGGGGTGAGCTTGGCGGTGGGTACTCAGGAGGGCCCAGATTGCATGGAGCACTGGGTGTGCTGCATAAACAATGAATCTTGGAACACTGAAAAAATGAAGTTTAAATAAACAATTTTTATCAAAAAAGGAAAAAAAAAGAAGCTGTTCATAAACAGGAGAGTCGGGAGAGGAAAGTAGAAAGTCTCTTTGGTGACAGGGGCCTGGGAGCCTGGTGGGTTCTAGGACCAGAAAGGCGAGTACGAGAGTTGTTGGCAGTGAATTGTTAGCGAGCTTTGCCGTGAAGGGACTCCTCCGGACTGTGTGAGGCGCCAGGAATGTTCAGTTAGAGACCCGGAACAGGACTGGAGATCCAGAGGAGGGTGTCTTTCCTTAAGTCCATGAAATTTTCTGAGTAAATTTACCTTTTAAAAATAACTTTTCTCTTTGGTCCTTAGATACTGTGTTTGGCAGAGCAGATTAAATTCACTGAAGACGTGGAAAATGCCATCAAGGACCACAGTCTCCATCAGATTGAAAGTCAGCTGGTGGCGAAGCTCGAGCACTACACTAGCGTGGACACAGGTGGTGAGGATCCGGGGAACACCGGTATGAGAACCGGCCCGCTGTCTGCCGCTCGGGGGCCGTCTGACCTCGCGCTCGGTGGAGTGCTGTGTTTGTCACTGGCGCTGTCAACCGGCCGGGTTCCGGGGGTGCAGTTTGGGGTTAGAACAGACGTGCTTTTACGTTGTACCTAGAGTCGGTCCTTGATTACTTGAAACGGACGTAGGGACCTTCCCCAGACGGGGCCGTCGTCCTCCTCCTGTGGCCGCGGCCTCGTCCCTCCCCTGCACGCCGGCAGGAGCAGCCAAGGGACGCGGGGCGAGCGGCCGGCTCCGCGCACCGGCTCCGCGCACCGGCCCCGCGCACCGCCGCCGCCCTGCCGTCGTCCCGCGCTCGCCCTGCTCTGGGCGCGAGCGTCCCGCGGAGCCGAGGCGCCGGCTGTGCCCTCCGTCCCGCCGTCCGCGCCCTCCGTCCCGCCGTCCGCGCGGTCGCTCTCCTGGAGTCTCGTCGCGGTTCTCCGCGTGGGCCGTGCGGGACCCCGGGCGCTGTGGGCACCGTGCGACGATCGTCCGGGTCGTGTTTCAATGCTCTGGCCCGTCGCGGGCTTCTGGCGCAGATGACCTCGTCGGGCTCCGGCCCTGCGCGCCCGCCGGGCCCCTGTGGCCAGGACGCCCCTGCCGGCTCCACTCTGCGGCGGGAGCGGCGGCGGGGTCGAGCCCCGCAGCCTCTTGGCCTTGACCGCCGGGAGCCGCCGCCGCCGCGCTTCCGAGTCGAGCAGTGTCCGCGGCGCGTCCGCGGTGCCGCCGAGGCGGGGGATCGCCGGCGGGAAGGCGGTCCGCGCGGCGGGAGGGGAGCCCGGGGATCGCGCTGGGCCTCTCAGGCCCTTCTCCCTGCTCCGCCGGGCGCGTGCGGTGTTCGCGGCTCCTCTCTGCTCCCCTGTACCGCCCTCTCCTCGCGCCGCGGGCCGGGCCGCGTGCGCTGGCGGCGGGCGGGACGCCGAGGGAGGAGCCGCGGCCTCCGTCCTGTGGTCCCGGAAGGTCCCGGAAGGCTCCGGAAGGCCCCGGATGGCCCAGGAAGCCTCCCTCCCTCGGCCCCGGCGCTGCTCGGGCTCTGCCGCTGCGGTTCGGTTCTGCTTCTCGAGCCCGAGCTCCCGGCCCCCCCTGCGCTCGCTCCGGCCGCGCGGGCCCGCGCTCCTGGCGGCCGTGGGGACCCCAGACAGACGGAGAGAAAGGAGCCGTGGGCGCGGGGGCTCGGCGCCTTCAGATCGCGCCCAGTTTGCGGACCGTCTGTGCCTCCTGACGCCTGCGCGGCGGTGGGGGCGCTGCGTGGGCTTCGAGCTGCGGCTGAGGGGCGCCGGCGGCGGCGCGCTCGCTCCCTCAGGCCGGAGCCGCGTCCGCGTCCGCGCCCCACAGGTTCGCGGCCCTCGTCCGCGCGGGCGACCTGCCCGCTTCTTCCCGGTGAATCTGACCGCGGTTTGGCGCGTGTGATTTACAGGCCAGGATCGTTCCAAGTGTCATGAGATTACCACTCGAATTCATTAAAAAATCTGTGTATGTGTGTAATAAATACGCTCTCACAGGCTGACTTTTTCTCCAAATACTTTAATTTGCCTACAGAATCTGGCGTTCTGGAGCTTAAACTTAAAGCACTGATTCTGGATATTATTCATAATATTGACGTGGTAAAGCAGTTAAACCAAGCTCACGTTCATACAACTGAAGACTGGGCCTGGAGAAAACAAGTCCGATTTTATATGAAAAGCGACCACACGTGTTACGTGCAAATGGTGGATTCCGAACTTCAGTACACGTACGAGTATCAGGTATGGCTGGTGGCAAAGTGTTTTATTTTTTCAGCTGAAATTATTTATCCTAAATCTGCTGTGACAATTATTTTTTATTTTAGTCATAACTTTTAAGAATTTTTGTGTGTGGGACTGTGTTTTCCGTTTCATCATAACACAGAAGGTGTTACAGCAGAGAAATGTTTACAGAAAAGTTAAAGTAATGGCCATATTGTACCGAATTCTGTGAATGTGCCTTTTCTTAGAGTAACAGTTACTCAGAAATGGAGCTCGTTAGTCCAGGGAGAACGAACGGAGTCTGGCAGTGTTGACGGGAGTGGTCTGGCCCGCGCCGCTTCCCCCCCCCCCCCCCCTCTCTCTCTCACTCACACACACACACACACACAGCCAAACTCGGTGCCGTCGCCACCACGCCAAAATACGCTTTTGCGTGTTTTCAGAGAATGCTCCCAGTTGGTGCGATGAGAGAATCCTCACACAAATAACCTGCCTCATGGAACGTGTCTTCAGAAAACCCACCCGCATCCTCTGCCTTGTCCCGTCACAACGACTCAGTCATCAGACGTGTCACACAGCTACGTGAATAAGTGTACGTCTGCACCGTTGCCAGCGGACGCTTTCAAAAGGAGATGTGTTTTGAGACCCAAATCTGTCTACCTAAATTAAGGAAAAACTCTATAAACTGCAACTGAAATTGGAATCTGTTTTCCCTAAAACTTAGAAATTTTGGGAATTATTTGATGTGTTGATATTATTAATTTCATAAGGAAGTTTTCAAAACTTCTAAGATTTTCAAAACTAAGATTCAGGGAATTAATTTACATGAATTTTTAAATACAAGGCAGATTGATTATTATATAATGCAGTTTTGGATTTCTTTGCCTTAGTAGCATGTCTCTGTACCATCATCAAGAACTTGAGAGACTTTTCAGAAAACCTTCTGGTGTAGTAACTGAGGATGGGGTAACTACTGCTTCGGAATGACGAAGTTTAATTTCGGTTTGTGCTTTTAAAAGCCTCTTCTACTAAAAATGTATTTTGGATATATTTCTATGTTAACGGCTTTAACTTTTTTGTTGCCTTTTTAGCTTTTTAACAAGTCCCACCACGCCACGTGTGTAAGGTTGCATAAAACATGAATACTGAGACTTTGTATTTCCCTTGTGTAGGGCAATGCTCCCAAGCTGGTCTACACGCCACTGACGGACAAGTGCTACCTCACGCTCACGCAGGCCATGAAGATGGGCCTCGGAGGAAACCCTTACGGGCCAGCGGGAACAGGCAAAACAGAATCAGTCAAGGCCTTAGGTGGACTTCTTGGAAGACAAGTTTTAGTTTTTAATTGTGATGAGGTAGCATGCACAATTACAAACTGTACAGTAGTGTGTTAGTTGTGACTTTGGCTTAGTATTCATGTACTTACATATGAAATAACCTGTTTTTTTGGTAAAGATTTTATTTATTTATTTGACAGAGATCACAAGTAGGCAGAGAGGCAGGCAGAGAGAGAGTGGGAAGCAGGCTCCCTGCTGAGCAGAGAGCCCAATGTGGGGCTCCATCCCAGGACGCTGAGACCATGACCTGCACCAAAGGCATAGGCTTAACCCACTGAGCCACCCGGGCACCCCAAAAGCCCTATTTTTAAATCACTTTATTTTTGGGTGACTTGAAAATAAAACTTGTTTTATTTGAACAAAAAAATGGAGGGGTTGTAGAGAATATAGTCTCCGAGCTTTTCTAAGAGAACTAGTGCAAATAAATAATTTTAAAGATTTTATTTATTTATTTATTTGATAGTCAGAGATTACAAGTAGGCAGAGAGGCAGGCAGGGAGAGAGGAGGAAGCAGGCTCCCCGCTGAGCAGAGAGCCTGACGTGGGGCTCGGTCCCAGGACTCTGAGACCATGACCTGAGCCGAAGGCAGAGGCTTTAACCCACTGAGCCACCCAGGTGCCCCAACAAATAAATAATTTTAAATACAGAATGAAGGTTTATGTTAGAGTAGAAAAGAAAAGAATGTTTTGTTTTTAATTAGTGATTCATTAGTTGTACGTAACACTCAGTGCTGGGGCGCCTGGTGTCTGCCTTCAGCTCAGGTCATGATCCCAGGGTCTTGGGATTGAGTCTCGAATTGGGTTCCCTGCTCTCAGGGAGTCTGCTTCTCCCTCTGCCTGCTGCTGCCCTGACTTGTGCACACACGCTCTTTCTCTCTCTGGGTCAAATAAATAAAATCTAACAACAAAAAAGAAAACAAGCAAACTGCCAAAACACCCGTTGCTTATCACATCACGTGCCCTCCTTAATGCACATCCCCCATTTATCCCATCCCTTCACCGCCCTCTCCCCCAAGCAGCCCTCAGTTTGTTTCCTAGAGTTCACTCATGAAATTTAAGAAACAAAACAAATGATTATAGGAGAAGAGAAGGAGAAAAGTTTTTAGCAAGGACAATAGTGAACAGAAAAGAGAAAAAAATTCATTTTGAAAACACCATTTTCAAAACATTTTGTGTAGGATTTGTATTTCAGCTTAAGGATAACTGAAAATCTTATATCTGTTTAGTTCTGGGAAGTACCCATAACTTTCCAGAAGTGAGTGTACTTCCCAGAACTCTCACATGAATTACTTGTTTATTAAACCCTATAAAGTATAGCTATTTGATTTGTGCTTTAAAAAGAGCCAAAAAGGTACCGGTGGATGAAATGATTACCTTGCCCCTAAATGTCAAAGTATTAAATGATTATTAGAGATCCTAACTACTTCTTCACGGATATAGTTTTTGCTGTTCCTTTTTAGGGCATCGATGTGAAGTCAATGGGACGAATTTTTGTTGGTCTAGTGAAGTGTGGGGCCTGGGGCTGTTTTGATGAATTCAACAGACTGGAAGAGTCCGTGTTGTCAGCCGTGTCCATGCAGATCCAGACAATTCAGGATGCTTTGAAGAATCACAGAACTGTGTGCGAACTGCTTGGCAAGGAGGTATAGAAAAATTGGGAATTTAAAGAATTCAGGTATTTTTTACAACTCTGCGTTACTCCCACTCAGGCAAATATTTGGTCATTGTTTCTTCTGGCACCCCCGTTCAACCTTTTCACGTGTGTGCTGTCCGAGGTTTGTCACCGTCTTTTGGTCCCCCTTGACCGTTCACCGTCAGAGTTTCCGTATGGGGTACTGCATCCCCGGTGGTACCTACTGGCGTGGCCGGCTCCGTGCCCTGTGTTCCTGGTCCCGTCTTGCTGCGAGCTCATCTGCATCCTGCGGGGCATGGGCTGCTGCACATTTTCCACTTTATGATGGGGAAATCACGGCTTGGTGAGTGAGGAGGAAGTCATGGGGTTGGGAACTGACCCCAGGACTGTCTCAGTCTGAGGCTTGTGTTTCTGATCCCTGTTCCGTGTGGATCTTACAACAGTTAAACACTTGGCTTTTTCCCTTCCTCACTTTTCCCCATCAGAGACACACTCAAGTCATGAGAGCGTGAACTTGCTTGTGTAGAAGAAAGTGGGAGCTTCTCTGTATAGTGCATGATGACGACGACACTGCAAATTCAAAGTCCCGTGAAATTATCCTCTGATCCGTAATAACATTTTCACAGGACAGGTTTTTCAGCGCAGGCAGGGAAGTGAGACCAGTTCTCAGTCACGAATAATGTTATTTACATGCTGCTTAAACTCTTCATAAAGAGAGGAATGATCAAGTTTTTACCTTTCTGCCATCACAGTTTACTTTCTTACACACTGAATTTTTTTCCCTCCTTTCCTCCTGCAACAAACAGAAGGAGTTGTCCTTTCTCCCAGTCAGCACTGATCTTTCCACTTACACGCTGGAATCTCCTTCCCAAGGACCTTGCCTTTGTTGTTGCCTCCATGATAGACGGAGCCCTTCCTACTCTCCCCATTCCTCTTGGGCTTTGAAACATAACTACATCTTTTCCTTTTTAATAACATGCAGTGTCGTATGTAATACTATTATAATATTTGATCTAATTAAAACAGAAGCCAACCTTCCCTTCGCTCAGCTTTCCAACCACTTCTCTTTCTCCTTTCTTTCTAGCCGGGTGTTTTTGCTCTAGGTGTTTGTGCTCACTTCCCATTTGTCTTTCGCACACTCTGACTCTGCACTGAGTGTGCTGTTGAAGGTGTTCCTACCAGCGACTCTCGTGGTCTTGGGCCTCCCCTGTCAAAGCGTGAATCACACGGTGCTTCCCTGTGGGCTGTAAGCTTCAGAAGGGCATAGACTGTTACGGACTCTCGGTCAGAGTTGTGTTGTCTCTGTGTACCTAGCAAAGGGCCTGAAACCAGGAGGCTTTCAGCAGGCACGGACGACTCCGAGAACTGGTTATCAAGGACTTCTGCGAGCAGCGCTCTCCTTGGGGGGTGGTTGTGCGTCTCTGCCGGGGTCGAAGATTTGTGTGTAGGAATATGTACAATAAAATATGGGTTAGCAACCTGTTTTATATTTATAGTTACAAATATTTAATGCCTATATTTTAAATGAACATTTCAGGTAGAAATAAATTCTAATTCTGGAATTTTCATCACAATGAATCCTGCTGGAAAAGGTTATGGAGGAAGACAGAAGCTACCTGACAATCTGAAACAGCTTTTCAGGCCAGTAGCCATGTCTCGTCCAGACAATGAACTTATTGCAGAAGTTATTCTGTATTCGGAAGGCTTCAAGGATGCCGGAGTCTTGGGCAGAAAACTGGTAGCTATCTTCAATCTAGCCAGGTGAGTTTTCCTCTCTTAAGGATTTTTATATTTTTTGGTTCCAGTGATTGATTATGGATTAGTGATCATTTTTCACATTTGTCCAGTGTGATTTAGTGATTTTCATATTGGTGATTATATTGTACTTCAGGTATCGATAGGGAAGATTCTAGTTTGAATAATAAAACATCTGACTCAAAACTGTTTGTTTTCCTTAAACGCTATTAATTTGATCTCACGTATTTTCTGCAACATTTTTTTATTGGGGTGCACCAGCTAAATGATGCTGATCATATGCTCTCAGCAGACCCTTCAAAGCCTACTGTTCTCTGGAGGGAATCTTCCACAATTTCTCTTATGTCTTATTTCTAGTAATAGCAGTGGGCTTGTAGCTTTTTTGGGCGACCTAGAGTTCTGGTTCATACTACTTAGGAGCTGCTGAGAACTGGAGTGCCAGAAATCGAGAGCCAGGCAAATGGACGGAAGAGTTGAGGGGTAATGGCCTCAGGTGCTTGTCCTTTAGTGTCTTCAGGAGGGTGGTAGTCAGGCCATGACAGGTTCACCCTCGTCCTTGGGAATTGTCGGTCTTCAGTGTTTTACTGGAGTGACAGGTCCTGTGACTGGGTCCTTTTCATAAATTGATTGGAGTATCAGTACTTGTTTCTGTATGTCTGTACTTATAGTCTGTTTTTCTTTAAATTTAGTAATAAAAATAATTTCTTACAGCTATCTAATGCTTTGTGATTTCTGTGTCTATTTAAGGGAACTTTTGACGCCTCAGCAACATTACGACTGGGGTCTAAGAGCCTTGAAGACCGTTCTTAGAGGAAGTGGAGGCCTTCTTAGGCAGCTGAAGAAAAGTGGCATTAAGCAGAATGGTAGGGTTCATTACTCAGCTACAATCTCATTTTAAAAAAAACCTTTAAATTAGAACACTTTTAGATTCTGGCCCCTTGTTTCTCCTGTTGTTAACATCTTAGACTAGCAACTCTGTTTGTCACAACTAGTGGACCAGTATTGATAGTACTTTTTAACTGAAATCTATACTTCATTCACATTTTCCCTAGTTCTTACCCAATGTCCTATCATAACTTTAAAATGTGCATTAAATACTAGATAGTTGTGCTGTGTAGAGGAATAGTGTAGTCCACGTCTCTTCAACGTGTGATGTGCATTAGAATCACCTGGAGGCTTGGTCAAACGCCAGTGTTAGGTCCCTATGCCCAGCTTCCTGAGTCTGCATGTCTGGGGCAGAGCCTAAGAATTTCTCTCTTATGGAAACCAGAACTGTAGAAACTGGCAGGGATTTTCTCTTTCAAAGAGATAGCATAACAAGCAAAGTTACCCTTTAAAAAACTTAACATTACAAAAAATACCTTTTAACTATAGAACAATTGTAGATTCACAGTAAAGTTGTAAAAACAGCATTCCCATTGTTTCCTTTCTTACTATGGCACATTTGTCCAAATGACGAAACTAAGGCATATTACTGTTAACTGGCGTCCAGACTTCTTCTGGATGGCACCTGATCTGTCGTTAACGCTCTTTCTGCTCCAGGATCGAGTCTGGGGCGCCTTGTTGTCATGTGTCCTTAGTCTCCTAGGTGCTGTGATGCTTTCCCAGTTGGGCTGGTTTTGTTTCCCGGGTACAGGTCCTGTGTCCTGTGGACTCTTCCTCAGTCTGGGTTTTGTCGTGATGTTTCTCTCACGATGAGACGAGGTTCTGAACGTGTGGAAGGAACACCAGAGAGGCGAAGGGCCCATCCTAGCGCATCACTGAGACCCTTTGTGTGTCCGCGTGTGCACAGTGAGCACACGGTGTCACTGCTGATGTCCACCTTCTGGATGGTCTTAGTATTTGCGGGGTGTCTCCACTGTAACAGTCACTGGCCGTCACTGTTTTCCTCTTTCCCCACTTTCGGAATCTGGTTACAGAAGGTGGCTCACCTTCCAAGCAGGCAGGCAAGGAGTAAGCCCCATCTCTTAGAGGAGGAATATCTACAAATATTATTTGAAACTCTTCTGCAAATAAGATTGGTCTCTTCTTCGCTATTTATGTATTTATCAAATCATCTATTCAGATCAGACTCATGATATTTTACTATATTTTACTGCCTTTTTTACCCAGTTGTGTAAGATAAATGATTGCCCCACCCATGGGTGTGGGCCTTTATGAAAGGCCAAGTATTCAGCCCTCCACATTGGTAAAATGAAGCCTGGGATGCCAGGGCGGCTCTGTGGGTGAAGCGTCTGCCTTCAGCTCAGGTCATGATCCTGGGGTCCTGGGATCACATCCCACTCTGGGCTCCCTGCTCAGCGGGGAACCTGCTCCTCCTCTGCCCCTCCCCTCCCCTCCCCCCAAGTTCTGTCACATACTCTCAAATAAATAAATAAATAAATTCTTAAACAACAATAACAACAACAACAAACCAAAGTAAGTTAGGGGTCCCTGGATGGCTCAGTTGGTTAAGTGTCCATCTCTTGATTTTGGCTCAGGTCATGATCTCAGGATCCTGGGATTGAGCCCCGCATTGCGCTCCCTGCTTAGCATGGATTCTGCTTGAAATTCTCTGCCTCTACTCCTCCACTCACTTGTATGCCCTCTCTCTTTTTTTCTCTCTGTTAAATAAATACTAAAAAACCCACGAAAAAACAAACAAAAAACCAAGTTAAGACACTGAAAATAAGTCAGTGTAGAAAAATGCACATGTGAAATTATCTCTTTGGGCTTTAAATGGTCAAAGTCTGCTTCTTAAACAAATGAAGCTGCTTAGCTCTGTTATTGGGTTGGCACATGCCGGGGAAGAGAAGTCATTTGGTGAGCTACTTAAATTACTATTTTTCTGTTGTCTCTCTCTGCTGATTTTTAAGAACTATTGAAACCAGACCTGTAGTAATTAAAGATGGCTTACTAATGCTTGAGACAAACTCTGTTGTGGCCTTGCGTCTTTGCACGTACTTAAACAGGGAAATATTCAGCCGTTACAGAGAAATACCAGACGAAAGATGGTTTCTTGCCTTCATAGATATGTCTTATCTATCAGCAGCTACTTAAAGGATATTAATTATTCTTGAAAAAGTAAAAATCTTGCAACAATGTTCATAGTTATATTTGGTTTAGGGATGGGTTTCTGAATCATTTTTTAGCAGGTCTGATTAAAGATTGTTGCCGAGTTAGTTTTTAGTCTCAGGACTTCGAATTTCTGGGAGGCAGTCCTGGTGGATTTGGAGATGCCTGAGTCTGGACCTTGTTGATCTGGGTGTGAGTTCAGCCATTATACTGCTCTGCTTCCTCGGGTAAATCACTTAAACCCTCAGAGAGTTAATATCCTCATATATAAAATCAGAATAATGTAACAGTTTCTTACTTTATACAGTTGTTATAAGGATCACATAAAAATGGTGAAGTTCTATACAATTATAAGTGCTAGCGACTTCTATTTTATTTTAAGATTGATTGATTGATTTTTTTGAGGGAGAAAAAGCACATGTGAGTGAAGGGAGGGACTGAGGGAGAGAGAATCTTAAGCAGACTCCGTGCTGAGCCCTGAGCCCGACACAGGGCTCGATCCCAGGACCCCGAGAGCATGACCTGAGTTGAAACCAAGAGTCAAACATTTAACTGACTGAGCTGCCTAGGTCCTCCAGTGATGTTTATTATTAACTAAAGTCTGGGAAACTTGGGGCTCAAGTTCTATGAAAGAGTCCAGAACTGTACTTAGGGACCCTTGTTTCTCAGTGGTCAAACGATAGTAAGGTAAGCTCGTCAATACATACACACGGTACTGCAGCGCTTTAACTGCTACTGAATTCTAGCACCTCACGTAATTACTAGTAGTGCTCTCAGGGTACTTGAAAATTGTGTTTACAGTTAGTGAAACTTTCTAAAGTAAGTGACTAATAATTTTAAATGAAACTTTTCCTCTAGTTGATGAAAGTCATATTGTGGTACAAGCCCTGAGGCTTAATACAATGTCAAAGTTTACATTTGCCGATTGCTCGCGGTTTGATGCGCTGATTAAAGATGTGTTTCCTGGGATTGACTTTAAAGAAGTGGAATATGGTGAGCTGAGCTCCGCGTTACAGCGAGTCTTTGAGGAGGCCAACTATGAAGTCATACCGAATCAGGTAACCGTCAAGCGTGATAGGAGCGCCTGCGCGGCTCAGTGGGTTTGAGCGTCCGACTCTTGGTTTCGGCTCAGGTCATGATCTCTGGGTCATAGATCGAGCCCCACTCAGGCTTCCTGCTCAGTTTGGAGTCTGCTTGTCCTTTTTCCTCTGCTCTGCCCCCTACTTGCCCTGTCTTTCTCTGTCAAATAAATAAAATTTAAAAAAATACTTTAGAATATATTGATCCTTTCTCTTAGGTAATTACTTATTAGCTATCTTTATCTTTTATTTTCTGTTTAAATCTCATTTACTCATGGATGCCTTCCCTGATCTTTGAGTCCAGATGAGGTTTCCTTGCTGTGTGTTTCATTACTTTTCCTGTACTTATTCACACTTGATCGTATATTGCATGAATACTGATTTTCCCTCATCAGGTAGTAGTGTTCATGGAAGGTGGGATCCATGTCTATTTTTTGTTTTTTAGAGATTTATTTATTTATTTGACACATACAGAGTGTGCACAAGCGGGGCAGGGTGGGGGGCTGAGGGAGAGGGAGAAGCAGACTTCCCACTGAGTGAGGAGCCCAATGCAGGACTTGATCCCAGGACCCTGAGATCATGAGTTGAGCTGAAGGCAGACACTTAACCTACTGAGCCACCCCAGTGCCCCAGGATCCACGTCTATTTTTCTCATCATTTTATTCCTGGTGCCCCTTACAGGGCCTGGCCCATAGTAGATCTGTCATACGTGTTTGATAATTGATTACTTATGGTTTAGTTTCACTTTGACAGTTTCTTAGGAGGAATTCTTTTTAGCAGCTTTTTTAATGTAGCACTAGTACATTTTCAAAATGAACATTTTTCTGTCAGGTTGTTTGTTTTTTGGTGAGATACAGAATATCCATGAATTAATGAATAAAATAATGAATATATCATATTTGAGTGAATAAAAGAGTGAGCATGTTGTGTTGTCAAATGACTTGGAAAGTATACTTGTGTCTTTTAGATTTCGGACTTAAAGATCATAGTATAAACGAGCTCAGATTTATTTGGGTGTTATTTTGTTACAGAGTGAGAGCAGATGGTTACGTACCGTAACTCTCATACGGACGTATTTGTTTTCTACTAGATCAAGAAGGCTCTAGAGTTGTACGAACAGTTACGCCAGCGAATGGGCGTTGTCGTCGTCGGCCCGAGCGGCGCTGGGAAGTCGACCCTGTGGCGGATGTTGCGGGCGGCGCTGTGCAGAGTCGGCAGAGCCGTCAAGCAGTACACCATGAATCCCAAAGCCATGCCGCGGCGTCAGCTGCTGGGCCATATTGACATGGACACGCGGGAGTGGTCCGATGGCATTTTGACAAACAGCGCTCGCCAGGTGGTCCGGGAACCTCCAGGTTGGTCTGTGTTCTGTGATTCACTGCTTTCCTTAGTCCTTTAGAGAGGACGACAGGACGTGTCTCTAATGCTGTCCTCATGAAAGCCTTCACATGACTGTGAATTGCCTTGTAAATGATGTATGTGACCGTTTACTTCAGAGGGACCCAAGACGTGCTGTCGTGTTGATCCGGACTGAACAGGGGCTCCTGTTACAGTAGAAACTCGGGGTAATCCGGATGAGCTGTAATTCATGACTAGATTAAGTTACTGAAAAAATAGAAAATCTTTCTGGGTTGCTATCTTAGTGCCTCACAAATAAGAAGATGACAGATTTTATTTGGGGTTAAAATCGGTGTGTGTGTGTGTGTGTATGTGTGTGAACACTTCTAACTCATAATTTGGAATACAGTGTTTTGGATAATTTTAAAAATTTAAGTTATGAAACAGTAGACTTCTTGCTCTCAATTTTTTGATTTGGTGTTTAAAGCCACTTTCGGCCAGAATCTGAGAAGACTTCCTACTTTTTATAAGGTCGTAACTAAAAGTTGTGTTTCTCAGCCAGTGAGGGAGGGGCTTAGAATTGAGACATTGAAAGAGATTTTCTGTGTAGTTCTTCATTTGCACTGTGGTTAATAATATCACAGTAAGTAAAAGCCAGATGTTGCCTATATTGATTGTCACACTTGTGTGGGTGATATTTTCCAGTTTGAGTTGACATCTAAGGACCCTTGAAACCGCTCTCACTTTAGGAAGGAAGGATTTAAAATACGAGTTTGTCTCCGAAAAACCTTGTATATACAACACTGCCTCTCCACTTTGAAGTCAGCTTTTTTAATGTATCAAAGAAATTTGATGGGCGAATTTTGTATTTCTCAAGTAGAATGCTAAAATAGGTTTCCTATATTTACTACAAGAGATACTCTATTCTTACGACCTGGTAGAAGACAGAGGTGTGGAGAATATCGCACAGGGTCAGGGGACTGGAAATAGCTCAGTCGCACACACTGTCTTGTCCTTTAGGGAGGTCCCTGTTGTATATGTCTGGGGGCAGGTAGGGCATTAGCGCGTGGCTCGCGGCCAGCCTTTGGCCAGTGATGCCGGGAGTGCCCGTGAGGCCTCGAGGGCGCCTGTACTGCAGGTTCACAGGAAAGAGCTCAGCTTGTGCTTTGGCTCTTTGTAACACAAAATAACACTGGGTGGAAATTACTTCTGGAGAGGAAGAGGTGGTTATTGTATTCCTTATTTTTAGTTGTTATCACTGCGTCTAGTTTTATTTTACCTCCCCTTCTTTGTTCTGAAAACAGATGTGAGCTCCTGGATAATATGTGATGGTGATATTGACCCCGAGTGGATCGAGTCCCTGAACTCCGTTCTGGATGACAATCGGCTCCTCACCATGCCCAGCGGAGAGAGGATTCAGTTCGGCCCAAATGTTAACTTTGTATTTGAAACTCACGATTTAAGCTGTGCCTCGCCAGCCACAATATCTAGAATGGGAATGATCTTTCTTAGGTAAACCATCAGAGCTCTTGCCTACGTGACGTGAGGATAGTCTGCAGTTACCTGTTTGGTTTCGGAGTGGAATAAGTTGTATGAATGATATGTAAATACGTGCCTCCTCATTTTCTGTTAACTTCTTGTTAGGTGTTACTTCTGACAGAGAGTAACTCTTTTAGTGCAGTTACATTGTTTCAGTGTTCAGTGTGTTACAGTCGCTAAGGACTGTTTGTTTACTTCAGTGACACAGCAAGTATTTCATTGTTTCTTTTTTTTCTCTTACTTTTGTTTAAATGTTACCAGTGCAGGAAGTGAACAAGCTGTCAGTGAGCTAGAGGCTAATAATCCTAAACTAAGTAGCAGTATCTTAATCATAGAATCTTTGATTCATAGAATTTTAGGGCCAACCCAGGCCAACCTAGGAAAGTGACTCTCTCTGTACAAATTGGAAACCTCTTGACTAATGTTTCCTTTCTTCCTCCATGTAGTTGGAGGAGGCTTCAGGGGCAAAAATGAAGAATAAATGAATTTTAGATCTCATGTAGAGTAGTCTCAGGCCAGAGCATAAACATTGCGCCAATTCCATTTTCCAAAATGAGTAATTACAAAGCTTTCTTTTGCTTTTTGAATTCTTGTTTTAGCGTTTGACACGTATGGGTCTGTATAAATGCCCTACTCTGGTAGCACCATTTGAAGCCATTTTTGGCGTTATGTGACATGATAGTGTTATCAAGTTGGTTCAGACTGTTTCTGAAATTAGTTGCTTGCTGTTTCTTTTTTTTACAGATTTTATTTATTTATTAGACAGAGAGGCAGTGACAGAGGGAACACAAGCAGGCGGAGTGGGAGAAGCAGGCTTCCTGCTGAGCAGGGAGCCCGATGTGGGGCTTGATCCTAGGACCCCGGGATCGTGACCTTAGCCAAAGGCAGACATTTAATCCACTGCCCTGACAGTGTCTTCCTGAGTAATTTCTTACATGCTTATTAATCTGTTTCAGTGATGAAGAGACAGATGTTAATTCTCTGATAAAATCTTGGTTGAAGAATCAGCCTCCTGATTACAGGAATAATCTTGAAAACTGGATTGGAGATTACTTTGAAAAAGCTTTACAGTGGGTTCTGAAGCAGGTAAGTTAGCCATAATATTTCGTAATTAGTCATTTAGGCTAGAAGTGATTAAGAGTTTTGCTTAGAGACAGCTGCCTGTCGGTCAGAATCTGGGGGCAGAATGAGAAGTAGGTGTCTTCACTGCTATCCTGCTCTTTGTCTTGGCTTAACTTTTTATTGTGCTTAAAACACTTCAGTTCTCCCAAAAAATCTTGAATAGTGGAATCTCCCTTTTTTTTTTACTAGCAAAACCATGTTACTGTCAGGTTTCACTGTCAGTAAATGTCCCCGTGGTGCTAAGTATGCTTAGCATACTTACATTTACTTTACTGCTTGTATTTCTTACTAAAAACAATGTCAAGTTAATACTAAAGTAGAAAAGGGAGGCAAGTTATTACAATATTATTAAGAACTGTCTATCCAAAATATTACTGGATATGTAAGATACGTTATCATGCAAGCACTAGACAAGACTTAGAGGGGGACAGGACAGTCTCTGATTGGGAAAGGTTTGCCTAATGAAAGACGAGATGTGAAAAGAGCATCAAAATCGGATGAAGAGATTTGCTGTCTTCTAGGAGAGTTTAAAAAGGTGATCACACTTAATTTTGAATTTGAAGCATGAACAGAAGTTTCACTTGCACAGAAGATGTGGGAGGGCTTTTACAGGTTCTGCATGATTTTTCAACTATTTTCGGCTTTTGTGTCGTTGCTTTTATGAGAAATGTAAACAGAAAAATTAAGGCATAATAGCAGTGCAAGTACTTTTGGGAAGTATCTGGTTGCTAATTTGAACTTGATTTAGTGGTTACTACTTGGGGACCAAATAAGATTTATGGAGAAATGGAGATCTCACTTCAGTTTTCTCACCTTTTTCCTTTCCTTCCTGTAAGGATAGAGATGGAGGGATAGGGACTGGTGAGTAGCGGGACGTGAGTGACCGAGGTTTCCCTGGAGGCCTCGGGACGCAGCACTCCCTCCAGCCTGATGACCTGTTGTCTTCTTTCTGTCACACCTGCACGCCTTCGGCTCCATGAGGGCGAGGACCACGCTTTAGTGTGTCCGCAGACCCAGCTGTGGTCATGGAGACGCGCAGGAGCGTGTGTGCTTTAGGAAACACCTGCCGCCTCTGTCCTCGCTGCTCTGCAGCAGTTCTGCTGACTTCAGGGGCGTGACGGATGCGGAGCCCTTGGAGGTCTCCAGAGCAAGTTCTGGAGGTCACCTGCGAGGGTGGGGGGACTGTTAGAGGGGGAAGGGGAACTGTAACACTGGGCGGGGTTTACTGATATACAGGGGTTTCTGAGTGCAGGCATGAGAACAGGATGAATGATCAAGCCAAAGAACGGATTTCAGTTAGAAGATAAACTGATTCTGTTTTGAGGTCAGGTCCCTATGCTTGACATTTTTTTTTATGTGTTGAGGATTCCTTCCTTCTTATTTTGTACTTCATCCACTGTGTTTACATTCTGAGATATACCATAATGGGTACCCAAACCAAATGCTGATTTTATCTCTAACAAGAGCTTTGCTTTCTTGTATCAACTGAGCAAATAAGACAATGTAGAAGAAAGTGCAACTGTTTCCTTTATCTTACCTTTAAAGCCTAGAATTCTTAGCACAGCATTTCTACTCACCTTCTCCCTTTTTCGTGCTCCTCCTCCTGTTTCTCCAATCCTCTAAAAATATTTTTTTCTTGCAGAGCAATTTTTAAAAAAATGTAAATTGGGTCATTTTACTCTCTTACTTAAAAACACTTTTAAATTAGTGAAGCTAAAAGTTGCACTCCATACCGTGGCCTCTGCAATTCTGATACTCTGGCCCTTGCCTCCCTCTCATTTCTGAACTACCCCAGTGGCTTACCTTTGCATGTGCTGTGCTCTCTGCATGCCCCGCAGATCCCATCCTTCAGGGGTGGGCGTAGCTGTGACCGTTGTCAAAGAGGCGAGCTGAGCTCTCCATCTGACTGACTCTGAGAGCACCGTGTCCTCCTCTGCAGCATTTACGGGGACTCATGGGCCATCTCCTCTGCGAGACTGGAGTCGCAGGCATGGGAGTTTCTGTGTAGTTCACCTTTCTTTTTCTTTCCTTTTCTTTTTTTTTTTCATACCTAGCACCACAGGGACATGCAAGTGATGCATAAATGGTTCTCTGTAAGTCCGTGGGAGATTGAGTGAATGAGAACCTTCCCCACTTTCAGCCCCTTGGCAGTCGCACAGGGCTCCAGGGGCCCACAGATGGAAATCACTGCAACCCACAAGTTTCATTTTGGTAGAGAGCCAAATCCACATGGTTTTTGTGTTAAGTCTGCTTGTACCAGCCATACTTGTGCAGTGTCCTCTAGCTTCCTTTTTATCAGCAGGGGGAAGTGGAGGACTGTTCTTTCTAGACCCTGCTCAGTGATGGTCTTTTTCTTTTCTTCAAGTTTAGGAAGTAAACAAACCACCAACAGTTAAGGGCTCTAGCACTTACTGCTAGAAATACACAATTTGCATTTTTCTAATCACTTTTTTAAAAAGTTTATGCATATAAACTGAATGAAATATCAACTTTCTACATCTTGAGTAGAGGGGTACATTTAACAATCGTACTTGAAAAGAGAGGTGAATGTAAATCTGTATGTTTGTGTTTGCTGATTAATGTTTGTTTTTTTCTGTTCCATGGATTTTAATCAACAGAACGACTATGTGGTTGAAACAAGTCTAGTTGGCACTGTGATGAACGGACTGTCACATCTACGTGGATGCCAAAATCACGACCAATTTATTATCAGTCTCATACGGGGACTTGGTGGAAATCTGAACATGAAATCACGTCTGGAATTCACCAAAGAGGTGATGCACACTTAAAAACTATTTCAGTCAACATTTTTCTTTAATTTTCATGGACTCTTAATTGCCAAAATTCAGTGATTTGTAACTGTAAGGTATAGAGCTGTTTAATTTTGAAATTATGCATTCAATAGAAGAGTACGCATTTGAATATATGTACTTATTTTCTCCTTTGAACTAGTTTATAGTATTTTATGATATTTAAATTTTATGAAATGATGTTTTAATATCTTTTTTGTCAGACGTTTTTGAAACTAGCCATATGAATATATATAATTATTCATTTTTAATTTTAGAATGATACATATTTTTAATCATTTATTTAACCAGAACACTTTTAGCAGTTAGAAATGTTAGGATGGATTAATCATTATCAACATTTTCTTTAATAAATGTAAAGGTGTATTTCAGCCAATTTGTTTATAAAACGATATCGTATATATTAAAAGCTATCATCCTGTTGGCTTCTGTTGAAAGCATTGAACATGCGTTTCTCTGGGTTGGCTCCCACATCATCTTTCTGCATTTGTGTCCTTTCTTTCTTCTTTGGGGCCATCATTTACCGCTTTCTCTGTGCTGCTCCCCTGTCCGTGTCCGTTCTGCTGCCGTGTTGCCTGGTGCTTCTCCTTGCCACGTGGTCCCGGATCTGTGCTGCATTTGGGCAGACGTTCTCATGCTGCAGATCAGAGGCAGGGTGCTGAAGCGTAGCACCGGGTGAACTCTCTGATTTATATCTGCGCAGACAGCAGGTTTTCAGTGTTCCAGGGAACAGCAGCTTGGGAACAGTGCTGGGACCACTGTAATGGGTGGGACTAGGTTCCTGCAGTGATTCAGTGTTCAAAAATATGACTTTTATTTATTTGCTTAAATAATCATTAAGAGAATGATATTTGACATAGCATGGTTGCTGTAATTATATTTAGATAAATATATAAATATTGTCAAATAAATAATTTGACAGAGAGAGAGATCACAAGGAGGCAGAGAGGCAGGCAGAGAGGAAGGGGGAAGCAGGCTCCCTGCTGAGCAGGGAGCCCAATGTGGGGCTCGATCCCAGGACCCTGGGATCATAACCTGAGCCGAGGGCAGAGGCTTAACCCACTAAGCCACCCAGGTGCCCCTTCATTGTTGCTGTAATTATAAAAGACATTTGGTAGGGTTAGCATAGGAGAATATTCTTTTAAACTGAGACAGTTGACTTTGGGACATTGACTTTGAAGAATTAAAATTTCACACGCTCTTGTTTGGAGTATGTGAAAACCCATCACAATGTTTTCCTCTGCAGGTTTTTAACTGGGCACGAGAGTCTCCTCCAGACCCTCACAAACCCATGGACACCTACTATGACTCTGGTAGAGGACGATTAGCATCTTATGTGCTGAAGAAGCCAGAAAACTTGACGGCCGATGATTTCAGTAATGGCCAAACTCTCCCCGTCGTTCAGATTCCTGACATGCAGCGAGGCCTGGATCATTTCAGACCGTGGTTAAGTTCTGATACCAAACAGCCATTTATTCTTGTAGGACCAGAAGGATGTGGCAAAGGGTAAGGGCAGAAACTTGGTGGTTGAGGCGCATGGTGTGGACTTGTGCTCTTCTTGATTTTAGCAGCTTTGCCTTCCGTTTGGTTAAAGGAGCATTTACGTTTTCGGGAAGGACTCTTTCCATTGTCACTACTGATATAAATGATATGACTACAGAGAACTACAGAGAAGAAAATGTCTTCTTTTTCTCCCAGGTTACATGTTTTCTAACGGAAAGAGAACAGTCTGAGAAGATACCCGTCAAAAGAAAACATGCATACAGTCCCACCAAAAACTACATACCTTAGATACACTCACAAACTATTACCTGCTTTAGTTACAAAAAATGCATCTTGAAGTTAGCTCCCTATTTAAAAATAACTTTTACATCGGTGTAATTCAGCCTATTTTTGATGCCTACTGAGTGTAGTTTCTGGAAATAAAGAAGACATGGTTATTAGTTTCACATTTTAGTAGTAATTTAAAAATTCTATAAAATCGTAGTTTTTTGTTTTTTTTTTTTTAGCTTGGAGTATTAATATCATAAAATCTTTCCTTCAGCTGTGGGGAAACTATTGGTATCTTTTATATGTACTTTGTCAAATTAAATTATTCCTGTAACCTTAGATTTTTTTTTTTTTTTGCTGATTGACTCCCAAGAATGCCTTAAAATATGAATTTATATTTTATATTGTAAAAATTAGAAAGCTACCTGTTAAGCCATATCCAAATTTACCATTTTCCTCTTAAACATCGTATTATATGATTTAGATGCCACGATATTTATGAAATAGAATTCATGTTGAATGTACGCGGTGTTTCACTGGTGGTGTTTTCACCGTCCGCCGCCCCCGCCTCTCGCAGGATGCTGCTTCGGTATGCCTTCTCCCAGCTCCGCTCCACACAGATCGCTACGGTTCACTGCAGTGCACAGACCACGTCCCGGCACCTCCTGCAGAAGCTGAGCCAGACGTGCATGGTGATCAGCACCAACACGGGCCGCGTGTACAGGCCGAGGGACTGCGAGAGGCTTGTCCTCTACCTGAAGGATATCAACCTGCCCAAGCTGGACAAATGGGGCACCAGCACGTTGGTGGCTTTCCTGCAGCAGGTGAGTTTTCTTCCTTTAAGCGCTCGGATGTGACGGGAAACGTTGGAAGATCCGCTTTCCTCCTCAGGCTCGGTGTTGTCCAGCGCGCGTTGCGGGTCTTACACTCCTGAAGCTTGTAGGACTCTGGTTCCGGGGTACTTTCTTCCTTTCCCTGTCTTGTCTTTCTTTTTTAGAGAGACTTTATTTTTAAGTCATCTCTACACCCAGCATAGGGCTCGAACTCATGACCCTGAAATCAAGAGTCACACACTCCACTGACAGAGCCAGCCAGGTGCCCCCACGACACTCCCTTCTTTGACCTTCTTCCCTGTAGAAGCTGGCATTACAGGAAGGTGTTATATGACAGGAAGAGTCAAAACGACCTTCATCCTGTATGTATTTCCTGTCCTTTATTTCTAAAATAGGGAAAGCAGCAGGTGGGGATGATGTGGGATTTGGGGAAATTTTTGCTTCATTTTTCTAGGGATGCATTTTTCAGAGAGCACGTGGACTTCTTTGGTCATGGCCCCTTTCGGGCTTCCTTAGCTCAGTCCTCTCCCTTTTTGCCCATGTAAAGGCAAAGGTCGGAGACCATACATTCCGTCAGTGTGGAAGGCTTTACTTCTTTATGGGATTTGCATCACATTAGAAACCCTGCGCTCTAAATTAGAGTTTATTATGTTTATATGGGTTCAAACTTAGCTTAACGATGTAACTGTAGAAGATGATAAAATATTTATAAAGAAAACCAAAATAGTTTCCTTATATTTTCCCTGATTTCTTTCACTTTTTTTTTCTTAATTGCTGGTAGATTTATACTGTCAACTGGATTTTAATGTTTATTAGAGACAAAAGCTCTTTAAAAATGAGGGTAATTCACCTAATATTAAATGCAGACTGGTGGTTAATAAGAGTATTATTTTTTAGTGTTATAAGAATTTAAAGTATATTTCAATCTTAAATTTTTGAGTTAGATAGAGGAGGGTGATTGCATTTGGAAACAACTGAATTTTATGCAAAAATATTTAATAACTCTACTAGAAAGTCCTAAACCTAAATAACACATTTGCAATACATTTATTTTCAAAAAGGTATTGACTTATCAAGGATTTTACGATGAAAATTTGGAATGGGTTGGTTTAGAGAATATTCAGATTGTGGCTTCTATGTCAGCTGGAGGAAGACTGGGAAGACACAAGCTGACCACCAGGTTCACTTCCATTGTTCGCCTTTGCGCTGTGGAGTATGTATCGTAGTGTTCTTAACTGGTTTTTTTTTTTTTTTAATCTGGGGAGATGTCTTCTATATTTGAACTTTACTAAAGGTATCCATTAATGACATTTCTTTAAAATGGAGACTATAAAATTAGTAAAACTTGAGTTTTGATAATCTTTTTACCTGCCCTTGCTAAACTTTAGGCAGTAATTTAGGGTGATAAAGGCATTAATCAGTGCTTCTTAAATATTAGGAATAAAGTCTAAAATGTTCTAAAATGTCAGTATCAGGAATCTGAATGATGGATTTTAGATATAAATATGGGTTTTATAAAACAAAAATACTATCACATTTCATGAAGATAGATAATGTAACCAGGCACGAGTTAAGTCGGGTCAGCTGTGTGGGTGACGGTGTTAAGCCTGATGCCTGCATCCGTCTGCGTGGCCCAGAATTGTTGCAAGGACGTGCAGATTTTGTGGGTGTGGAGCTGGTCCTCTGTTCCGTTTTGCCTTACAAAATCCTGTTTGGATGCTTCCCTGCTAATTGCAACCATCTATTAAATGTACTTTCAGAAAGGTTATAGCTCCCAGTTAGGCTGTATTGAAATCAATTTTGGCTTGAGAGAAACAGGTTGATTTCATTTGTTGTATTAGTTCTACTTTTACAGTTCTGAGGCGGATTACTGCTTTATTGGTAGGCTTTACTTAAAATACTACTTCTTAAGCAAAATTTACCTTTTGGTCCTTTCTAAAAATCAGTGGTTTCCGAACAGTTATGTTTTTAAGTAGTTTCCCTGGAAACTTCTATTAGGGCCCTCGGTGTGTGAGAGCAGATAAAGAACTGTCCGAGTAGGGACCTGGCACGCGGCTTCAGTCCCTCGATAGATTGGGGGCGGGGTGTAGGAAAACTGCTGCAAATGAACACTAACAGAACAATCCGGAACATGGCTTTTTCAGCTGTTTTCTTCTGTGCCCTTTTCCAGCTACCCAGAAAGAGAGCAGCTGCAGACTATCTATGGAGCCTATTTGGAGCCTGTTCTCCACAAAAATCTGAAGAGTCACTCTATTTGGGGCTCTTCCTCAAAAATCTATCTTTTAGCAGGATCTATGGTCCAAGTGTATGAACAGGTAAATTCTTCCTCATTTATATTGTCATTGTCGTGTCTCTTGGTTTCAGTCCCGGAGGACTGCCTTTAACGCTGACCTGCGCTGACGCTCCACCTTTCTGCTCGTCTTGTTGGTTGGGCTTTTCTGCCAGACAGTGAGCTCTCTGAGGCCAGAGGCTCTGTGCTGAGTCACCCGGCACTGTGTCTACAGACACTTGGTGAAACGGGTTGGACGAGTCGTGCCGGGTGGTTATTCTGTTACGTGCTAACATGCGGCGCATTCAGAATGTTCCTCTTCTTTCCAAAACTCGACCTTTCTCCTGACTTCTGTCAGTGTCTGTCTGCGAGACTTCAAACCGGAGCGTGGGCTTTGAGGTTTCTTTCTTGTGGCATGTGAGAAAATGCCTCAGGTTCCTTCCGTAGTGAAGCGGGACAGGGCCTGGCATCAGGCAGTAAGGGCACAGGAGACATTTACACAGTAACTGCTTGTCTAGTGGCCACGCTGGGGATGTAGAGGTGACCAAGTCTCTGCCTTCGGGAAGCTTACAGACCCGTTGGGAACCCGCTCCTGTAGACGAAGTACGACTACAGTGGGATGAGTAGTAGATCGGTGACAACAGGCACAACTTAGCGGAGGAGAGGAAGCAAGTAACTGTGCTGTATGCTAGTTGTAACGCGGACGTGAGATGTGATCTGAGTTGGTTTGTTTTGAAAGACTGATTGCAAGATCGGTTTGAAGGATTGGTTTATTTATGAGAGAGCATGTGGCGTGGTGGAGGGAGGAGCGCAGAGAGAGAAACTCTCCAGCAGACTCCACGCTCAGCACAGAGCCTCGATCTCATGACCCTGAGATCAGGACCTGAGCTGAAATCTAGATTCGGATGGGTGCTCAACCGACCGAGCCACCCAGGCACCCCAGTGTGGGGTCTGAGTTTTGAGAAATGAATAGACGTTCCCAGAGTGGCTGAGATGAAAAAGAGCTTCCTAGGTGAAGGGAGCAGCGCGTTCAAGTTAGGGAAGTGTTTGTGGAGGATTCTTTTTGTCGTTGTGGAGTAGAAGTAGGGCAAGAGAATTAGAAAGCAGTGATTATTTTCTAAATTAATTCAGAAGTTAAGTGATCAAGGCCAGAATGAGAGCAGGGGTCCTGTCCGTGGGGAGGAAGGCGCAGGCTCTCACTGGTTCTATATCTAGGAGGAGCACTCTGTTTTGTTAGCGACTCATGGGCTTCGTGAGCACACGCTCCTCTGCGGCTCCGAGCCCTCAAAAGCATGTGTTTCCTAGACCTGGGGGTGCCTTGGAATAGCGACCGCTGTTTGTAAAGCTTAGTTTCACCTTCCTTGAATTCTTTTGCTCAGCAGGGCTTTTTAACCTTATTTTTTTCTCTTGGACAATGTTTTGGCAGTTTCCTGTAGCCTATGAATAACTGCTCTTAGATCATGTTTTTAAATGGGTAAAATACAATGTCTGAGGTAACGAAGGAAATCAGTTCTATGAAATACAGTTTTCTCCTCACTAGTAGAAATTGGGCATTCCTGTGAGTCTGTGGTGACTGAAAAACTTAACACATTATGTATTTGGAAATGCATTATATATATATTATGTATTTAGAGAGTAGACAGTTTATTTTCTTTTCCAGGTGCGGGCCAAATTTACAGTTGATGATTATAGTCACTATTTCTTTACTCCTTGCATCCTTACCCAGTGGGTTCTTGGCTTATTCAGATACGATTTAGAAGGAGGTAAGTTTTGCTTTCATGATTTCAAATTGCTTCTCTTTGGAATGCCACAGTGTATCTGTGTATGTGCGCGTGTGTGTATGTGTGCGTGTGTTCTGAACTCTTTATGATTGTCACTGTTAGAATTTGATTTGGGGAAAAATAAAATCGTTATTCATGTTTAATATGCTTTTTGGAATTAATATTCTTATCGAGTAAGTAGAGATAATAATGGTTAATATATTCTTTAAAACAATTTATCAACTTAATAACACGTGGAATTTTACCTTTTTTCCCTTTTCTTGTATTTATCTGACGCCAACCTGACGGTATGCAGATTTTTATTCTCTTATTTCTTTCTAGTATTATGTTGAAATAGATCATCTGCAAGTCATTTGAATTCTATTACAACTAAAGAAAATGTTGTCTTTTTAAGGATCTTCAAATCATCCACTAGATTATGTATTAGAAATCGTGGCTTATGAAGCACGGCGCTTATTTCGTGACAAAATTGTTGGTGCGAAGGAACTTCATTTATTTGACAGCATTTTAACATCGGTATTTCAAGGAGATTGGGGCTCCGATGTGTTAGACAATATGGCAGGTAATACAGTTACGGAGTTGATGCAGTGTGTGAATGCTATGAGAACTGTATAAACTTTTTTTTCTTGGTAATAGCATGATTTCGTGTTTCTGTGCAAATGAAAGGTTTGGGTAATTTAATGTTTTTATTGCAAGGGGCTGCTTTTTCCTTTTTGCTAGATTTCTAAGTAAATACAGGTAAAATAGAGTGACAATAATGGTTTTCTTGGATTCAGGCCATAGTGTTTTATATGTACAGTTCAAAATTTGTGCTTCCTGAGAGATTTTTACTAATAAAGGTTTTATTTAAAGCCGCATGTAGATGCACCTTAAAGATCGTTGGGAAAAACCCGTATGTGACTGTGATTAACTTCTGCTTGAGAGTAAGCCATGTCGTCAGCGCGGAACTCCTTACGTGCTTCGGATCCGGCTTGGGCGCTGGGGGCCCGAGTAGAGGACAGCGCTGCCTGCAGCTTGAAAACTGCAGTGGGAGGAGCGCGTGTGATACGAAAACCGTCGTGGCTGAAGGACCTGTGATGCAAGGCCGTGCCGTGGGCGTGTCCACTGGCTGTCCGCTGGCCGCCCGCTCCGCCGCAGGAGGACTTCCCGCACAGCTGGCCTTCGCGAGCGCGCGGAGGGCCTGCTGCGTGTGCGCCGTGGGCCGCTCTCGGCCGCGGGGCCCTAATTGCTTAGGCCCAAGGGGATTTCAAAGATGAGGAAGATGTTGAGGTGCAGAGAGGCCGGCGCCGTTTATTGGCAAGGGAACTTCTCTTCCTTGAGCTGCTTTGCACTTTGTCCGAGTAGTTGTGTGACCGTACTTCTCGGGCTCGGTTCTGTTGCGTCACTTATGTTTCTGCCTCCCGTCCGTACCGCTGGTTTTCATTACGTTACCTGCAGAAGTCTCGAATTTGGGAAGACTGATTTCTCCTACTGTCTTCTTCTTTTTTGTAGTTTGTTTTAGCTATTTACATCCCTTTGCCTTTCTATGTATTTTAGAAGAATCTTCTGTATAAATAATGTTGCTAAGCTTAGGACAGGAAGTGCGATAATTCAGTATGTTGCTTTGGGGAGAAGCGGTGCTGAGTCTTCCAGTCTCGGAGCATGATCTGTCCGTCCATTTATTCACATATTCTTTGCTTTCTTTCGTCTGTGTTGTGTAGTTCTCAGCATATAGGTCCTGTACATAGTTTCTTAGATGAACAACTAAGATACACCATTTTCTGAGCTATACAGGGAGTGTCTTGAGGGATGACAGTACTACGTGAAGCAGAGGGTCAGGGCGTTCCTGTGAAGGGGAGAAGAGTGTGCACGGCCTCCGAGGCTCGAGGGAGCCCGAGTGTGGAGCGGAGTGCCGCAGCAGACAGGAGAACCAAGCAGTCAGGGGGTCTAATTGCAGGGGCCTCGGTGGGGGCTTGGCTGTCTTTCTGTGGCGGTGGGAAGCACTGTGCGATTCTGTCGTGTGTGCCTCAGGAGTGCTAGTAAGGATGCCGCTGGAGGGGCAGAGATGTGTCGCAGGGACACGCGCTGGGAGGCTCCTGTGGTCGTTCAGGGGACATCTGATGACCTGTGAAGACGGTGAGCAGCTGTCGCTGGGTTTCAGTGTTTGCAGGCTTCTTGAGTGTCTTTCGGGGGATCTGCCTATCTGCTCCATGAACGCAGTAGTCATGTCTGTCTGACTGCTCGTCTCTAACAGGAAGTGCGGGGCTTAAACACGGGGTGTTCAGTGGATGAGAGTTACGTGTTCATCATATGTTTGTTAAGCAGCTGCAAGTATGGGACCAGACTAGAGCTTGGGAGACTTGTCGATAGGTGAATAGGTTTTTGCACAGAAGTAGTTGATGATTTAACCCACAGAATAAGGTTAACTAGTTCAAGGGGAGTGTTTAGGAGTAAAGAAAAATGGACTGAATTTTGATCCCAGGGCAGATAAGAGTAGAAGGGGTAGGCAGAAAACTGAGGACTGGTGCTGTGGCTTGTTGAGTATGGTCCTACAGATCTGAGGAAGAAGGCTTCCCAAGCACAGCAGGTCATGATGGGGGCAGCACCTCCAACGGGATCTGCGTGCGCTCGGTGGTTATGGCAGCGTCGTTCCCAAACAGGAGCTGGAGTGGAGAGCTTTCTGCAGAGAGAAGAGCATGTAGGAAAAGCGGTGGCGAGGGAAAGGAGAAGACGTGCAGGAGCTGGGGTCCGGGTCACTCAAGCTGCCTCTGAGTGGGGAGTGTGAGGAGGAGGAAGCCTCACCGAGCGGCCTCCCGAACGGACCGGAGAGAAAGGTTCCGCAGGGCGGTCAGCAGATTTCCCTTGTGTGCTCACAGGCTGCTGCTGTAGACAAACTTAAGGGGAAGTGGTGGGGTTTTTGTTTTCTAATTAAAATTCATTTAATTTTTCCTTTATTTTAGAATTAAGGCTCTTGATGGTATTTATCAATCTGTGTTCTTTCTCAAGGAGAGCTTTACGTTCGTTTCAGCTGCCCATTTCGTATGGAGGTTGTGGAGAAGGGGCGGGAAGTAGGGAGAAAGAGCAAAAAGGAGAGGTGTGGGGAGCGTTAGGAGGAGGACACTTCATCTGGGGAGAGGTCGTGGGGGTCAGGGCTGGAGCAGGGACACAGCCGTTCCTGGTCAGGGACAGTTTGACATCCTTTGTGTTTTAGCTGACTTAACGATCTCGCCAGGCACTGTGGAGTAACTTACTTCCACTTTTCTGGGGATGATCTTGGATAGATTAACTGAAAAATAAAATTTAGTGAGCAATGTATTTCCTGGTGCTGCCATTACAGGTAACACATACAAAACCAAAAACACTTTTTGTTTCTGCAGACAGTTTCTATGTCACATGGGGAGCGCGACACAACTCCGGAACAAGAGCAGCCCCAGGACAGCCACTGCCTCCTCATGGGAAACCCCTTGGAAAACTGAATTCTGCAGACCTCAAGGATGTTATTAGAAAGGTATAATCTGGGGCGCTTGGGTGGCTTAGTGGGTGAAGCGTCTGCCTTCGGCTCAGGGTTCTGAGATTGAGTCCCGCGTTGGGCTCTTTGTCAGTGGGGGGCCTGCTTCTTCCTCTCCTCCTTCCTCCCCACTATTAGCACGATCCCATGTGCGTGTGCGCGGTCTCTCTCTCTCTCTCTTTCAGATAAGTAAATAAATACATAAATCTTAAAAGAGAAAGGTATAATCTGAATCATGAGGTTGAATTGGCATTTGGTTATCATTCTAGTCATTTAAGAAATATTTATTGTAAGGTTTTCGAGGCAAAGATTAGCCACTAGACCAAGCCGGTTCTTGTAGAATACAGTCAGCTGTGGCAGATCTAACTGAATGCCCTCATAGACCCGGATGTGGGTAAGATGGCCAAGGTACCTATTAGCAGAATGTGTTTGATGTTGGAATAACTGATGAGGTTTAATAGTAATTGGAAAATCATCCTAGAGCAATGGTGTCCAAGTTCAGTGGGCATTAGAATCACTTGGAGAACCAGGAACTACCCTGCCTCTTGGGTCCCAACCTGAGGAAGTCTCATTGCACATTTCTCACGGGCCCTCAGGTGATGCTGATGCTGCTGGTCACTGAAACTAAGGGACACTGCCCTAGAGACATGTTCTGTTCTTTCTTTTTTGTGAAATTATAATAAAGAAGGAGAAACACTTATACATGATGATTTAAAATTAGTATTTGCTTTGGAAGTGAGTGTGGATTTTGTATCCAGAAAAGTTCGTACTGTGCGTAGGATGGATATTGCAAAGTTTGGGGACGTTAGAAGTGGCTAAGTATGTGAAGTCTGGTGTCCTTCACGCTGTCACACAGCTCCTGGTGGGGCAGCCCACTCATGTGTTTGGAGTCATTCCACCGTGGCGCAAACCCACGAGAGTTCCCGAGATTAGTTCTTAAGATTTGCGCAGGCTGGTCTGGTCCGAGACCACTAATACAGCTGGAGAGTTCTTGAAGGTTTTGTAACTAATCTGCTGTGTCTCGCTATGTTTAACTCGTTGTGTCAGTGATGCCAGCAGGTGTCTGATCACTGTGAGCTCCTGAATGTTTTTGGCATCACAAGATTTTTCGTAGAAGAGCTGGATGCCTGGGGGGGGGGGGGGCTGTGGCACCTGAGAGGACACCCTGTCACTGAACCCCTTTTCTAGAGTGCATCAAAAGTATAACCTAACTCTAGATCACATTTTGTTATGTGTCGGGGCATATGCTAATGATAAAATGTTCTTTGTGATTGTTTTAAAAGGGCCTGATCCATTATGGACGAGATAACCAGAGTTCAGATATTTTACTTTTCCAAGAAGTGCTGGAGTATATGTCTCGGATCGACCGAGTGCTGAGCTTCCCCGGGGGCTCCCTCCTCCTGGCCGGACGCAGTGGCGTTGGCCGGCGGACCATCACTTCTCTGGTCAGTCATATGCACGGAGCCGTGCTGTTCTCTCCGAAGATTTCCAGAGGGTATGCACTGAAGCAGTTCAAAAATGATCTCAAACACGTGAGTGCCTCAAATCCTTTACTGTATTTGGTTTTAAATCACAATGACTTGTTACTCCAAAAGCCCTCAGAGACCATTATGTCTTTAATAATACAACATAGTCTTTAATTTCAATGATTATTTTCCCCGTGGTTATTAGAAAACTGTATTTTTATGTACAGATAGGAAAAAGATTCTTTTTAGGAATCCTGGCTCTCAGGCATGCTGGCTTATGAGAGGCTTGGAGGACGTGGAAGATAATAGGACAGAGTTTATATGGGACACAGGGGGGTGTATTTAAAAAGGATCGTCTGTCCTAGCTGTGAAATCGTATTAGTGTTTCCCCACCCCTTTGTTCCTGGACTTGATTTCCCTGCTGCACTCTACGGCTGAAGTTTGATTTTTAATGTTGATGATGAAAGGAAGAGAGAGGGGAAAGGGGGACCAGAAAGATGTTCTTTGCATCAAGAATGGTGGTTTCAGGGTGGGCCGCGCACGTGTACCCAGTGCGAGGACCGCTCTTGTCCCTGTGCAGGTGCTGCACCTGGCGGGGATCGACTCCCAGCAGGTGGTCCTCCTGCTCGAGGACCACCAGTTCGTCCACCCTGCCTTTCTGGAGATGATCAATAGCCTTCTGTCTTCAGGCAAGTGCACGATTTCTCTTCCAAGGAAAGAGAAGTAATAATGTGAAAATTATTCGGGTCATGTTGCCTTGTGTAAAATTGTGTTTCTGAGCACATGTGGTAGGGGTTTTACTAAGGGGACGTGGGGTTAAACATGCTTGCAGCTGGAGAGTTGAGAAAGCCCATTTTTATAAAACCAGGAGATTGGATAATTTCATGAACATGATTGTTATTATTATCTTTAAAGATTTTATTTACTTATTTGAGAGGGAGAGAGAGAGCACAAGCAGAGGAGCAGCAGAGGGAGAGGGAGAAGCAGGCTCCCTGCTGAGCAGGGAGCTCAGTGTGGGACTTGATCCCAGGACCTGGGATCATGATGTGAGTCATAGACAGACCGTGGCTTAACAGACCGAGCCACCCGGGTGCCGTCAAAAATGATCATTAATGTCGGTGCATGTCTGAAGAACTGGCCCTCTCACATGCTTTTGGTGGGACCATTATCTGTTACAGTGTTTTGGGAAAGTTATCAGCCAGTGTTGTTTAAAAACAATGTACCGTACCCTTTAACACAGCAGCTCTATTATGTGTAGAAGTTTCACCTACAGAAATGATAGATTTAGTGTGCAGGGAAATATATAGGATAATTTATAATAAAAATGTGATAGGACCTCACTGTCCATTGTTAGTGGAATGGTTGAATAGTGGCCTAAAGGTGGACATGTAAGTGCAGAGAGATTCTAACATCTGGGTCTTCTGTTTCCCAGATCACAGTATGCTCTTGTCTCTCGAGTCACCTGTTTTCATGGTTTCCTGGAGAGGATACCTGCAATTTCCTGTATGTCTTCCCTCTATGAAGAATTTATGACATTTATTCAAATGTCTTTAGGAGTCGTCACTATTCGAATTGGTTGGAGGTAGCTTAGTTTCAAACTTGGACCAGGATTGTTTTGTTATTTAAGTGCAACGTAAACCTTGTTAAAAGCTAGTTTCCATGATGTGTGTGTTGGACCCGGTTTTTGGTTAATGCTTGTTTTGTGTCATGTAAAGTGGGCTCTGAAAGGAAATGGTCTTCTCTTCAGGATGTCACAGCTCTGGTTGAAAAACACGTGTAGCTTAGGGCATGCAGCGTCCACACTTGGATGTGCGCGTGACTGCTGGCCGGGGCTCCAGTGCGGCGGCTGGAGGGCCAGTCTCTGGCCCAAGGTCTGCAGAGGCCTGGCCGCAGTGAGGCTGCGGGGGCTTGGGAGCTGCTCACAGGACCGCCTCTGTGCACACGTGTGTATGTGTGTTTGTCCCTGCGTACCCTTCAGTCGTCACTAGGTGGAGGCCTGGTCCTTAGGGCTGAAAGTGTCCCAGCAGAGAGACAGATTATTGTTTTGTTTTGTTTGTGAAAGCAAACATCCACATAAGCATCAATACACTAGTTGTTTTTGTTTTAAGATAAACTGGTCTTTATTATTAAGTTGTAACTATAAAAATATAATTTTAGCAACATTTGTAGCAAAAAAAGTATTTGAAAAATACTTTCAGGGAAAATAGGTCTTTGTCTCTTTTTCTATTTTTTTTCTATTTTAAAGTCTTATTTGCCAGAGTGGATCATATGTACGTAGAGCTAGGTTTCATTGCTAAAGTTAAGGCATCAGAAGTGTCTTGTTAGGGCTGAAAGTGAGAGAAAGACATAGAACATGTTTGTGGGTGCGCGTGTTTGGGCGTGGACGAGCTTGGTGGACGGGGCACGGCTGGCAGCTCTGAGTCGGGCCTGGGCGATGCTAGGGATGAGGCAGGGACAGGCCCTGCGTGAACGCACTGCTGGGATGTGTAGCAAAAGGGTTTTCACTTAATTTACTGTTCCTTACAAACTTGAAATATATTGGCTTAATAATTGTTTATTAGACCTGTTATGTGCCAGGCCCAGTTCTGAATCCTGGACTCACAGTGGTGAGTAAGACAGAGTTCAGTCCCCCGTCAACACCTGTGATCGTAATCCAGTGAGATTTGCTTCCGTCATTGTCTTGCCTGGTAGCAGGCCCTGGGCTAGTTCTGGATTCTAGTACGGGTTCATTCATTCATTCATCCATCCATCTAATAAATATTTATTTGTTTATCTGGAATACTTTGCTGAGGACGTTCTGAGGTTAATATTGAACGAGACTAAATATTTGTCCTTTGGAAACTCAGAATCTAATGTGGGACGAAAGGAAAACACTTCTCCGTGATTATGTGACATGATACATGCTGAACAGTAACACGTTTAGAGGTGGGAGAGAGAGAGAGCGCTCTCCCCGGCACCCAGGAAGTCGGCACAGCAGGCTCCTAGGACACACAGTAACTTGGGGCGGAAGGTAAAGGCCAGAGGAAGACTGTGCGTATAAATTCCAGGAAGAGGAGGAGTATTTCATTATATTTATGGGACACAGAGAAGCTCACTGAGGCTCGGGTACAAGGTCTCACCTGGGAGAAGTGGAGAAGAACCGTGCGCACGGGCGGACAGCTAGGCGGCCCACTGCCTTGGATGGCTGTTCAGGGGTTTGAGTTTTAGCAGTGAAGACAACAGAGGGAGATTTGTGAGTAATCGAGAGGTGATAGGGTTGTGTATTTTTGGAAACAGCCCGAATAAGGGCAGAGATACCAAAATAGAAGAAGTGTTGTGGATGTGTTTGAATGTGCTTGAACTGGGGTAACACAGCTAAAATTCACGAGAAGTGCCGTGTTCCGTAGGTGAAGTTCCTGGACTCTATACCCTGGAAGAATTAGAACCTTTGCTGTTGCCTCTCAAAGATGAGGCTTCGCAGGATGGCTTTTTCGGGCCGGTCTTCAATTACTTCACATATAGTAAGTGACTATTGAATTCATCAATTCAGACTCTGGCTCATGTGCAATAAATACCATTTAGTTTGCCATATTTTCTGATTAGGTTGCAAAGGTATCTTAAATCTTGGGTCTATTTGGTAATTTACACTTTTTTTTTATATGGTACTTTTAGAAAAGCTAATCTTTAGTGAAAGTGTGTCAGCAAAATTTTAGCAAAAGGGAAAGGTGAAAGTGTTTCAGTCTGCCTTGGAACATTTTCTTCAGTGCTTCTGTTTCTCTGTGGTAAAGCCAGCGTTTAGAACCTCCTGTCTTAGAAAATTACTGAACTGTTTACATTTTGACAGACTCTCTAGTTTTCTCTAGCTCAGCAACTTTCTCTGAGCCCTGGAAGCAGTTTTATGTGCTGTGCGTGTAGCCCCATTGAAGACGTGGGGGTAAGGCACTGCCACACTTAACTCCACTCTGTCCCCGAAAGGACGTTTCTTATTGAAGCAGAGAAACTGGATGAAGAGCTACCACCCTTCCCTCTCCTTCAAGTTCACGAGGAAATGCTACTGCAGTTCTGAGACACAGGTCATCCCGGTGCTGTTTGACCCAGTTTCAGAACAAAGAAAATGAAGCAGAGTTTCCAAATTCCTTTTCATGAGGGGAAAATAACATTGATATTGAAACAGGAAAAATATATTTCTCCTGAAAGAAAATTGGAGATCAGTTTGCTTGTGAATATTGAAACCAAAATCCTTAAAAGAAACATTGTAAGGTAGAATTCAGTATCACCTTTGAAAAGTAACATATGAAACAGCAATGTGGTATGTACACTTGTGTTCTTCCAGAGTTCCTTCTGGATCTGTTCTCTTAGCATGCACACACACATACACACACAGGTGTTTTTTAACAAAAATAAAAATCGTAACTGTAATACTGCTTAATGGCTCCTGCCATTTCATTTTAGAAAATTTTAAACTCATAAAAGCAGACCGCATACAGATATCCCCAGTTATTATTGTTTTAATGCCCATAATAATCTTCTTATATTTTTTTTAGGAATTCAACAAAACTTGCATATAGTCTTGATAATGGATTCTGCAAATTTAAACTTCATCATAAACTGTGAGAGTAACCCAGCTTTGCATAAGAAATGCCAGGTCTTGTGGATGGAGGGTTGGTCCGACAGCAGCATGAGGAAAGTAAGTTTAACCTCTAAGCGTGGAAATACAAACCAGCATATTTTCTTTTTGAAGTTACAGATTTTCCTGACTTTGCTTTGGCGTTTGTTATATTACCTTAATTGTGGTGCTGAACAAACACGTTTGAAAACCTCTCTTTTTTCTCTGTGCTCTTGTGTGATGTGGTCGAGGGTCGGACTTCATGTTGAAGAGTATGTTCTTAAGGACAATGGAGGTACTTACTGGACTTGAAAAATGTTATCCTTTCATTAGCCAGCCTATGCTGAAAACATTGCAGCAGTAATTTGAGCCATTTTTTAAATAAAAAAAAAATTATATCTTTAAAACAAAAACTATCATTGCGGTGCTAAGTTTTGGGAGAGGCATGTGTTTGAAGTGTGAACCCATTGTACCATCCTAACTAGAAGCCTTTGCCATAGCTTTGTTTGAGAAATTACATTTGTCAGCATTGTCTCTCTGAATAATATTTATATTCTCCATCATTCATTTCTTCATTCCTGTGTAGTAGAGGTACAAACTGCGGCCTATTATGAGTCAGAGGGAGGAGTATAATTTGGGATAAGAGACAAGGTTTTACAGATGAGATATTTTAGTTAGATTGCAGCAATTAAATAAAGGATAGGAAAATAACACAAATGAGCTCACACAAACGAGCAGCTTCATTAAGAAGTAATTATCGGGTCTCTAAGATGTAGGAGATCTAGGAGAGAAAACGCAGACGAAAGTCCTGCCCTCATGGAGTTTACATGGTTTGGGGGGGGATCGATGAGATGACAGCATGCCTGGTGATTTGGAGGGCAGCAGGAAGCCCATTCAGTGGTTAGAGAGTGGTTTGGAGGGAGAGGGGGTTGGAGATGAGGTCAGGGAAGGACAAGGTCAGCAGTCAGGACGGGGCTTGGGAGCCATTCTCAGGACGTTAGCTTTTCCTGGAAACTGGTAAGGGAGCCTTTGGAGGTTTTGACACGTTGTTCTAATGTCTTAATGGGATGACTTTGGCTTCTAGGTTGCAAATAGACTCTGGAAGGCCGGGGTTGAATTAGTTACAAAGCTGCTGCAGTAATCCAGCAAGAGCGAGGGACGGCGCGCATTAGGGACGGAGCGGGAGAGGCGCTGAGAAGGGGTTAGATTCGGAATACGTTTTCCAATAGCGACAACCGAAGTTGCTGGCAGACTGTACTAAGGTGTAAAAGGAGGGGAGGACCCAAGGATACTGCCACGGATGCTGGCTTAAGCCCCTGGAAGGATGGAGTGACTGAGTGTAGAGAATGGGGAGACTGAGACCATTTTGATGGGAGGACATGAGGCTTCCAGTTGTAGACATGTTCGTTACGCGATGTCAGACCTCCCAGCTGCAGGGCGGAGAAGGCGTCCGGATGCAGCGGTCCGGAGTGCGGGGGAAGGAAAGGTCAGGTGTCCAGGATAAAAAAGTGGGAATTGTCAGAGTAGAGGTGGTATTTTCTGTTATGAGAGTGAATGATATCCCCAAGGAATGAGCGTTGACTGCCAGGTGCAGAGAGCCCCGCACTGTGGTCTGGACTGGGCTCTTCTTCAACACGCTGAGGTTGACGCGGGGAGGCGGGAACAGCAAGGGCCACGGAAAAGGGGCTGCTGCGGGGAAGCAGGAGGGAAACCGCGGAGTGTGAAGACGAGCACACACTGCATTTCGGGGGGGCGTGCGCAAACACCTGGGAGCTGTTCCTGTCGCTGCGAGGAGGAGATGGGGAGGCTGATGAGGCAGCCTCATTTAGGAGCTGCTGCATTGGGGTGTGTTTCAGAAACAACGAGAAGGGCCTGGAGAAGAGTGAGTGTGGTCCCTTCTCGGGAGGCGTTTTGTTGTTAAGTGGAAGAGAGAAATGGGTCAGTAGGATGGGAGTGGGTGAAAATAATACTTGCTTTTTTAAGCTTCTAATATGAGACAGACTGTTGCACGTTCTCGTGCTGCTGGGAGTGCTCACAGGGAGGCAGAAGTTTATGGAAGGCAGAAGCATTGTGGAGCCATGTCCCTGCAGAGCGGGCAGTGTGCGGGTCTAGTGCACACGTGAGAGGACCGGGCACGGGCCTTTGCAGCGAAGAAGGCAGAGTCTGGGGCCCGGCTCCAGCAGGGGTGCCATCGGGAAGAGTTGGACAGTCTTCTGGTTGTTTCTGCTTCCTCAGTGAAAGGAAAGTGAGGAGTTGACAGAAAAGCCCAGGGAAGAGCTGGTGGCGTCCTGAAGGGAGGCAAGAAGGCCTGCAGGGCAGTCCGCCCAAGCGACAGGGGGAGGCTGCGGAGAAGGGGGCGTGGGGGCCGGGTGGCCTAAGGGTTGGTGTGAGTCGGCCACCAGGCCAGTCAGCATAGCGTGTGTGTCCCCCAGTCACCTGCACGCTCACCGGTGCAGGCCTGCTGTGGGCGCTCACTTGCCTTTGGCCCGCACTGGGGTCTGTTACTCAAGTGTGACCCCGCGCGCGAGGGCCGGGGACTTGCCAGCTCTGATAGGAAGATGGCGAATGACAGCACGGCGACGCTCAGGCTCCTAGAGCGCGGATCTCACTGGAGCGTGAGGGTTATTGACCTCATGAAGGGGGCGGGCTGGGACCACTGGGACACTTGCCAGTGAGACGGCGGAATGTGTCCAGGGATTGTTAGTGACATGGTCTCAGGGTCCGAGCCTTTGGGGTGAGGTGGGATTGGCCGAGGAGAAGGTGGTGGAGAAGTTGACAGGAGGACAGGACTTGAAGGAACGGAGAGGCGAGGGTGTGAATAGGAGTTACCGGAGCTCATGCGCCATTCTTACCTCTGAGGGGGCGTGGAGGTAGAGGGCAGCGTGGGCCAGTCCGGCCAGGAACGCTTTGCAGACGGGGGCGTTGTTTAGGGGTAGACCATGGTCTTGTCACCCAGCGTCACTGATGGAACTGTACGTAACTGACACGTGGACTGATGCGTGGAAATTGTACGTATGTAACGTGCGCAGCGTGACATGTTGGTGTGCGAACGTCTTGTGAGACGCTTCCACGGTCTGGCCGGTTGACAGAAGGACAGACTAATTTAAAGAAAGCAAGTTTCCTACGAAAAAATTTCCATTGATTGATTTGAAAGGATAAATTTAAAATATTCTCCCAGAGGCTCAAGGTTTTTGGCAAAATCAGTGAAGATGTTTGAGGAAAAAATTGTACTCTCCGGTCACGAACCATGGCGCTCTCAAATTCTTCATCAGTTAAGGGCCTTTTTTGTGATGCTGCGTTTAGTCTGGGAGATCGAGGAAGTGAGGCTTTGACCTGCACGCCTGGACACACTGGGCTTCCTGTCACAGAAATGTCAGCGCTCTACTACTTCAGTTTTCTTCCCAGGAAACTGATAGCTTCTTTCTCTAAAACTTAAAAGAAATTTTTTTTAAGTTTATTTATTTATTTGTTTGACAGACACAGAGACAGCAAGAAAGAGCACAAGCTGGGGGTGGGGCAGAGGGAGAAGCAGGCTCCCCACTTAGCAGGGAACCCCATGTGGGGCTCGATCCCAGGACCCTGGGATCATGACCTGAGCCAAAGGCAGATGCTTAACCCACTGAGCCACCCGGAAGCCCCTAGATTATCACACTTTCCATCATCATAATGATGTGTTTATGAAGCTTGATCTTATCTGTGGTGGTGCGGCAAAATCTTAGCGGTAGCTTGACAACAGATAGTTTCTAGGATTATCAGTTATGAAATTGTTAATTACCAGTTGTGGAATTACTTTCTTTTAGTTTTTTCTTATTTAGGAAAACTCAGGATCCTTACTATCCCCTTATGCCCTGATGCCAAATAAAGCTTTTTATTTTTCTTATTTTATGATTTTAAATAGCATTTGTGATTTTTTCCTAATTCAGTCTAAACTGACTTCCTTCATTTCACATGGTCTAGTCATTTTCAAGTGAGGTGTTGTCAGTAATTCGCAATCAACTGGTGGTTGATGTGTGTCAAAATCTTGTCTAGGAAATAATATCTCTGAAGATGCATATATTCATTATTTCTCTTAGTCTGGTAAGAAACCTAGAAGAAAAGCGTTTTTGTTTTTTTTTAATTTTTAATCTCAATACTGGGTTTATTTGAACTTTTTCATACTGAGATGAGGTTTGAAGAAATGCTCTTTCTGTTTTAGATACCTGAAATGTTGTTCAGTGAAACAGATGGTGAAGAAAAATATAGTGACCAAAAAAGGAAAGAAGAAAAAAAAACCTCAGGTAGTATTTTGATGAAACTGACTTTGTGGAAGACTTGCCATTTTCTGACGTTACAGAGTCATTAAAGATTCACAGCGATGATGAATTTGAACATTGATAAACTAACATAAAGCTTTCTTTTAAAAAAAGGTTTATTTATTTATTTGAGAGAGTAGATGGGGAGGGGCAGAGGGAGAGAGGGAGAAAATCCCAAGCAGACTCCATACTGAGGGCAGAGCCCAACGCGGGGCTCCATCCCTGTCTCTGAGATCACGAACTGAGCAGAAACCGAGAGTCAGATGTTCAACAGACTGTGCCCCCAGGTGTCCCCTAACAGATTTCTTTTGATGAAAATGAAACTAAAACTATGTTTATAAACACATGTTTATGTCATTTTATATGGGACCTAACTCATTATCTGTTGTTTACATTTAAGAAGTTAAACAATTACACTTTGCCCAGATGATTGGATGTGCTACTTGCTTGGGTGTCTTTGGCTGGAAGGCTAAACTTTTCTGTTAGTTTTCACTTTTCGCTGAGACAGGCCACAGCACGCAGCTCATACATGAAAAGGTTTATGGTGCTCTTTGAGTGTGGACGTCATATTTTCTTAGCTGTACTCTGATTAGTTTTGCCAGTTCCCGGTTCATTTTGAATGTAGTCTTTTTTAGTATCATAGCACATTCATTAATTTGTTTATCTAATGATCCAGTCACCAATTAGTTATTGAACTTGTTTTGCCTTAAGCACGGGGCTGGATACTAGAGGTGCCTTGGGAGCCCCTAGTGTAGTGGAGAGTAGCAGGAGTTGTGTTCTGCATCAGCGTAAACTCTGAAACCGTGAGGTGAGTGACGGTAGGAGGTGATATGGAGTGACTCTGAGAGTGAGGGGACGTACTGGCACGTGTTACGGCAAATGGACACGGCAGACGGGCAGTTTGGGGAAGACCGGCTAGGACGGACAAGGCTCTGAGAAACCCAGCAGCTGCTTTATGGGATCTGTGAACAGCCCGACAGCTGAGACGTGCACGTGTGAGTGGTAGAGTAAGAGATGAAGGGAGGGCAGGCGGCTCTGGGAATGACAGGCCTCCCGTGTCACGCTGAGGAATTCGGATTCTGACTTGCGGGTGATCTGAGGTCATGGAGAGATGTTAGCGGAGATGTAGCCAGAATCTTACTGTAGAAACACGAGTGTCTGTGTCCGTCCTTTTCCTCAGTTACTGGAAACTAAGGGGGTGTAGGGAGAAACCGAGGGCGATCAGAGCCCTGGGCAAGGCCACTGCAGGAATCCAAGAGGAAGGAATGGACGGGGGGGTACCCAGCGGCGTTCTGAGGGGGGCCTGATGACCCGATGGCTGCAGCCATGAGGAAGGAGGACATGAGGACATTTCTCAGGGTTCTGGCTTAGAACAGCAATGAGAAGCTGACTTTACTTACCAAGGCAGAGAATGCGAAAGAGCACGGATTGAGGCGATGAGAGGAAGCTAATGTGTTTAGTAACAGATATGTTGATCCTGCGTGAACCGAGTCTTCCTGTTTTGGTTGGAGGTCGTGTTTCGCCCTGTGTCAAATGACAGTGGATCCGTGTTCCTTCTTTGGTGTCTCTCTTCCACAAGCAGCTTTTGCCGCGTTTGCTCCTGGATTACATGTTCTGTTGTTCCAACTAACTGATGTGCTGTGACAACCCGTAGATCTCTCTTTCGTGCAGTGATAGAAGTGTTCAGAGGAGACACGTCACAGTGGACAGACAGCACTGATATTAAGTAACTCAAATACATAAGGAACATGGGAGCTGTGAACAGATGTACCTTTATGCAAAGATGATGCCTCGTATTTATAGTTCTGTAGATGGAAGTATCTGGTATGAAATAGAGTTGAGATGGTTTTCTCTCCTTCGTGACGGATCAAGTATATATGACATCATTTTGTTTTCTCTTTCCAGTTGATCCCGATTTTCTAAAGTCATTTTTATTAATCCATGAGTCTTGTAAAGCACACGGCGCGACACCGAGCCGGTATATGACCTTCCTGCGCGTGTACTCTGCCATCAGTAGCAGCAAGAAGAACGAACTGTTGAAAAGACAGCGTCACCTGCAGGTGCTGTACCGGCCACCTCCAGCCGTTGGACTTTACAGTATCTGAGATCAGGCTTTAGAGTGACCTTTAAAATTAAATAATACCTTAGAACACTTCGACTTAAACGCTGGCTTCGGAAGTTGTCTGAGAGCATGTGCTCTCCAGAGTCCTCGTGTCTCTCTGTTAGTGTCGTAAACTAGGGTCCTTCCGAACTGACAGTCCTCTCACCCCTCTGCCTAATTCAGAGCAAGCCTCTAACTGTACTTCGGGAAGGTCATTCTTTTGCTTCAGTTCTCTGTGCTGCTGTGGGTGAACTACTTAAACTTACTGACCTGCGACTTAATGGGGTCCGTTGGGTGTGAGTCGGTTAGATGAAGAGCCAGCAGGCTGCTGCCTTCCGTGCTGGGTGCTCGGTGCATGTTGGTTACGATGCTTTTTGCAGTTTCTGTCTCCGAATCCTCTCACTTGTTAGGTGACCAACCGCTAACTCCTCCTGCAGAGGAGCCGGTATATTTTTCATGTTCCTTCCCTGGATGACTCATGGGTCGTGGGATGGGTGCTGTAACGGCCAGCCCAGGGTCCGAGGCCCACCCACGAGTAGGCCTTGAGTCCTTTTACGTACTCAGGGAGCCTGAGAGGTGGAGAAGCTTTGCTGAGTCTTTCCTTGCTTTCTGTTTTCTGTCTCAGCAGTTCAGTGGGGAAAACCCTGGTCTTGCAGCTCTCAAACATGTGTCGGCTGTTCCGCTGTCCAGTGCCACTTAGAGCTGTTTGTCTTTTGTGCCTCAGCTTACTGGGCACGTGGCTGAGTGAGTCTCATTGTCAGGAGCGGCGTGGACAGCCCAAGCCCACTTGCTAACGCTTGTGTGCACACGTTTTCCCTGGATTCTTTCTTTCTGAAAGATTTCCTTGATTCTTTCTCAAATATAAGAACATTCCATTGGATGTATATATCCCCCATCTTTATCCGTTCATCGGGAGAAAGCGTGTAAAATCCCTTTCTTTATGCCACTTCGACTGCTGCAGGCTGGTGTGTCTAAGCTGAACGAAGCTAAAGCGCTTGTGGACGAGCTGAGCAGGCGAGCCGGGGGGGCAGAGCGCGCTGCTGAGGACGAAGCAGGAGGAGGCGGACGCAGCCCTGCAGGAGATCACCGCGTCCATGCAGGTGGGCCGGCGGCCGGGGACACGTGCCCGCTGCCGCGCGAGGGGCCACGTGTCTGCTCACGGGGCTGGGAGACATGTTCCCCGTCCGTGCTGAGTCCCACGGCCGGTGTTAAGGACGTGAGCTGTGGCGGAAAAGCAGAGTGTTTGCCCATGTTAGTTTAAAGTCATAGCTGTGTCCTTCTCAATTCGCCGTCTGCTGACCTACGCAAACCTTATAAACACAGAAACATTTCAAGTTGGTTTGAATTTGTCAGTAAGCGACTTTGCTTATCCTCCTCTAGTTAAGTCGGTATTAACTTTTATTTATTATTTTATTTTCTTAAATTATCCCCTTAAGGCTTCAAAGGTTTTTTTCTCCTGCCTTTAATAGTCTCAAGATTTACAAAATAAGTCTTTATTCATTTTACTTACACTTTCATGATATTTTAGTATCTTGATTCTCTCCACTTTTTGCCACTGCCTTTCCTTTGTCGAACCCTTCAGGGGAGATTTCTTTGTCGATCTTCTCCGCGCGGGTGCCGCGTCCGCGTGCCCTCCCCGGCTGCTGTGGCCACGCCTCTGTGCTGACCGCCACCTCATCTGCCTCCCTCATCCTCAGCCCTCCTGTCTCATCTGGGCTGCAGACTCACATCCCCAGTCATCTGCTGGGCATGTCTTCTTAGGGGTCTGTGAGCATCGTGGCCGGGTCACATTCTGTGGTGTCTGTGTTATATCCCTGTCTCCTTTATCCGATCATCCGCTGATGGACGTTTGGGCTGCTTCCGTAGTCTGGCTATTGTAGATAATGCTGCTGTAACATCAGGGTGCCTGTATCCCTCTGAATTAGTGTTTTCATCTTCTTCAGGTAAATACTCAGTAGTGCGATTGCTGGGTCATAGGTAGCTCTATTTTTAACTTCTTGAGGAACCTCCATGCTGTTTCCCAGAGCGGCTGCACCAGCTTGCGTTCCCACCAGCAGTGTAGGACGTTCCCCTTTCTCCACATCCTCGCCAGCACTGCTGTTCCCTGTGTTGTCGGCAACATAGCTAATTGTTGAAGACAGAACTTCCAGATTATATCAGACTTATGTTCTCTCAGTCCTTCCTTTCATGAATCACTCAGTTCTGTAAGTTTACCTCCTTGATTACGTCTCAGATGTGTTTCTCCATCTTCATGTCGGTGACTGTTAACCTTACTGCAAGTCTAATGCCTCTTTTATTTAAATTAACTTCAATATTTACTAGACTAACATATAAATCTCAATAACTGAAGTGGCACAGAAACTCACAAAATAGTAAGTTTGGAAGGTTATGATTTAAAGACTTACTATTGAGGGGCGCCTGGGTGGCTCAGTGGGTTAAAGCCTCTGCCTTCGGCTCAGGTCATGATCTCAGGGTCCTGGGATCGAGCCCCATGTCAGGCTCCCAGCTCATGGGGAGTCTGCCTGTCCTCCTCCCTCTACTGCTCCCCCTGCTTGTGCTCTCTGTCATGCTTGCTTACTCGCTCTAAATAAAGAAATAAAATATTAAAAAAAGGAGACTTATTCTTGAGCTACAGTTATCTAGGCTGTGTGATACTGGTGTCATGATAGTCAAACAAATCATTAGAACATTAGGAAGTTCAGAAATAAACTAACGTGCATTTTATTGATTTTATTCAAGATGCCAATTAAATGGGGAAAAGATAGTCTTTTTAAAAAATGGTATTTGAATATCCGCGTAGGGAAAAATAAACAAGACCTTTACCTTAAACTTGAACAAAAATTAACTGAATATGGGTCATAAATCTAAATGTACAGCATAAAATTAAAAACTTTGGAAGAAAACAGGAGGAATGTTTATGATGCCGGGTGAGACAAAGAGTTTCTAGATGGGACACCAAAATAGGAGAAGAAAAATGTTGATGAAATTGGACCCTGTTGAAATTAAAAACTTCTCTGTGAAATATGTTCTGAAGAAAATTAAAAAGCAAGTCACAGACTGGGAGAAATTTATAAAACAAAAATCTGATAAATGACTTGTATCCAGAATATACAGAAACCATTGGAACACAACAATAAAACAAAAAGTCTAATTTAAAAAAGGGCAACAGATTTGAAGGTGCCTGTGGGATAGAGGACATAGGAAGGGTCAGTAAGTGCCCGAAGAGATGCTCGACATGGTCAGTCATCCAGAAGCGTGATCCCTTCTTTCCAGACATTGAAAGTGCTGCTCCGCTTCCTTCCAGCTTCTGTTGTCGCGATGGAAACGCTCCAAGTTCCGTTTTGTTCTGGTGCTTTGCAGGTCATCGTTTTCTTTTTTCTGTCTTGAGACTTTGTGGAAGTCATTGTTCTGAAGGTGACGTGATCTGCCGTGGCTTAGGTTTACTTCTGTTCACTGTGTCGGACACCGTGTGGCTTCTCCCCCAGGACTCTTCCCTCCCCGTTCCCAGGAAGGCTCCGGGCCACATGCGGTCGGGACTTCCCTCCCTCCACGTCTCTGTCTTCCCTCTCTTAAGGATGCTTAGTACTTTGACTGTAGGCTTCCCCTTCTGCTTCTCTAATGTTCCTATGCTTCCTCAACTTTGTCCTTCTCTTTTTGCTCTACTTCCTTTAAAAATTGCCCCTTTTCTAATTCTTCTCTTGGGTTTTTCATTCCTGCTATGATGGTATCTCTCAGGAGGGTCCTTAGCTTCTCCCGTCCCTTTTTGTTGGTCTCTTTCATTGTTTCGTCATCACCACTTAGGCCTTGGGGGATACTTGCTGAGATCTTCTGTTTCCCAGCTGTATTTTCTTTGGTATTTTTCATACTTGATTGTTTTATTCTTACTCACGAGAAGCTTTCTTTGTAAGTTTGGTCATATTCACTGGAGATTTGAGGGTTCTCAGGGACTGTGAGCTTTACAGGAGGGTTGTCTAGGCTGACTGAAATGACAGAATCAGGATTTCCCCTGATGTGCCTGAAGAGTTCCATTGGCATCTGGGAAACTCCCCAAAATGGCAACATTTCCAGATACGTGATGGTTACGTGCACACTCAGCGTTTCTAGGATTTTATTGAGTACCTGACCTGGTCAGCAATGTATAGAAAGTCAAGTGTAATTTTCATGCTATAAAACTTGAGCATCACTTTTTCCTCAAGGTATTTTGGGAACAATATAAATATTTATGTAAAGCAGCCAACCATTTTTATTATTAAAAATACCTGTCACAGGAGCGCCTGGGTGGCTCAGTGGGTTAAGCCTCTGCCTTCGGCTCAGGTCATGATCTCAGGGTCCTGGGGTCAAGCCCCGCGTCGGGCTCTCTGCTGAACGGGGAGTCTGCTTCCCTCTCTCTCTCTGCCTGCCTCTCTGCCTACTTGTGGATCTCTCTTTCTCTCTGTCAAATAAATAAATAAAATCTTTAAAAAAAAAATACCTGTCACATACTTACCTCTGGAGTAATTTGAGATAGGAAACCCGCGAGGGCTGTGGGAAGGGTGACGTTGTCTACGAAAGGAGGCCGTTGGGCAGTGCGTGCGCCCAGTGGGCCGTGGTCACACGGGGACGGCTGGGCCGCTCCCTGGTCTGGCCGCTTGCAGACGGGTTTTCTATGACTGTAACTAGTGGTATTGCCTAGCTGAGACGCAGGAGAGTGGCCGTGTATCTTGTAAGTTAGCAATTTTGCTTAGTTATAAAAAGCAGACATTTTGGTTCATCATTTTATTTCAAAGTCCAATCTGGAGAGACAGCTAAGTGTGAAACCGTGTGAACTTCCAAAGCTTGCAGCTCCGGGTTTGTGACATAAGGAAAGTAAAATTCAATACCATGAAATCTCGAGGAGGGGTAACTTCCAGTTGGTGGAGCAGGTTAATAAAAGAAGCAGCACGTGAGCTGGGCCCTTGAGGGTGTGTCCGTGTGCGGTGGAGAACGGGAGCGCCCTCCTGAGGGTGCTGGTGGGGACTGGAAGGTGGGCGGCCGAGCACCGACGGGCCTGCTGGGCAAGGGGGCTGATGGGGAGACTGCGGAGGGGCGGGCCGGGGCCCTGATTTCTCGACTTCGGCTCCAGATTGGAACCACCTGGTACGGCTTTAAATATTTCTGGGCCCTCACCGCACCCAGATGAAGTATTTCAATATATTTGGCAACAGAGCACCAGGGGTGGTGTTTAAGCTTCCCGAGTGATTAGAGTGTGGCTGAGAACCGTTGCGACGGCTATTGAACGGTTCTTCACAAATTTCCTCTCTGGTTTTTCAGTAAGCATCGACAAACCAGATGGAATCAGGCACAATCATCATCTTTACGTACGCGGGATTCTGGATGTTGGCACGGCCAAAAACTTCACGTGGCACCAGTATATAATTTAGTGTTGGACTCTCTACTGGTGTTTGTTGATTTATTTACCATCGTATTATTTGTCACAATTTCAACTTTTGTCTACAGTAAAGTATAGAAACACAAAGTTCTAATATCCTCTAGTCTCTAAGAATTGTTACTCTTTGCTGTTAGAATTATAGAAGATTTTATTTTTAATTTTTTCGTGTATGAGATGAGCATAGTAGTACTAACATCTGGATCACTCATTGCAAGTGTTACATGTGTCTTATGATAATTTTCTCAGTTCTGCAATTCTGAGTTGCTTGATTTTTATATAATAAGCATTTATTGCTTTGCTCTTCGGAAAAATCAACAACAAATAAAGCGTTGAAACTTCCTGATAATAAACATATAGTAAATTATAGCATTCGTTTCCCAGGCATCTTAGAAACTCTCACGTCAATTAACATTAGAAAAATATTTAATAGAAAATGTTATTTTAAGATAACTTATATTTTTGATATAATGCTTTAAAATACTGAGTGCATGAAAATTAATCGGAATGCCATTTAAATATTCCCATAGGATGCTAGTGAGCAAAAGACAGAGCTTGAAAGACTGAAGCACAAAATTGCCGAAGAAGTTGTTAAAATTGAAGAAAGAAAAAACAAAATTGACGATGAATTAAAAGAAGTGCAGGTGAGCTACAGTGGACGTGTGGTTGGAGCCGGGTCTGACTCCTGACTGTGTCTAGGAGTCCTAGCGGTGTTAGCAGCCTGGCCTAGCTGTCAACCAGGAGAAGAGAGTTTTCACAGAGGAGAAGGTGGGGGGAGGTCTGCAGGGAGAAGGAAGGTCATCAGAGACTATCTGTATCTTCTGTGAACCGTGGTGTTCGTCTAGGAGAAAAATGTGCTGTAGGGGAATTAAGTCAAACTCTTAGGCCCCTTTTTTGGTTCCTCACTAAGTTATCGGCCAGCTGGTTATAGAATGTAAGGAGCTTCTTGAAAATGGCAAATTGTCTCAGAACCAATTGGATTTTTCTAAATTAAACTCCTACAGTCATGGTGGCAAGAATGTGAAGATTTTGTATTTTGTGTGTTTCAAGGCATTTTGATATTTGAAGAGAAAGGGTATTAGTAAGTCGAGTTGTTTTTAATAAAATGACAAATATGCAATAACTTCTAGAGTTAGTGACTTTTACATATATATTTTTTGAAAATAAAAAGTGGTCTTTGTCTTTTTAGCCTCTAGTCAATGAAGCTAAACTCGCAGTTGGAAACATTAAGCCAGAGTCTCTTTCAGAAATTCGCTCACTGCGCATGCCGCCCGATATCATCAGAGATATTCTGGAGGGCGTTTTAAGGTTGATGGGTATCTTCGACACGTCTTGGGTGAGCATGAAAAGGTAAGTTTTTGAATTTGTAAAAAATGTTATTTCACCAATGAAATACACATTGACTGGTTGATTCATTTATTTAGATTTTATTTTTAAGTCATCTCTACAATGCACAGGGGGCTCGAGCCCACAGTCCCCGGATTAGCAGTCACGTGCTGTACTGACTGAGCCAGCCCGGTGCCCCTTGTTCATATTTTTAAGTATTTCTTATATTGTTTCTCGAGCTGTGCCTCATTAATTCCCTAGTTCCACACTTGGCTATAATATTTCAAGATACTGCATGTGGTCCTCTGCCAAGATCTACATTTTCCTTTCTCCAGAATAAGTGACGTGAGTGTCCACAGAGGCAGAAAGGAATGCCTGAGATCCTGAAGAACATCTCAGTAAGCGCGGTCATTTCTTTGGCCGGCACGCAGCACAGAGCACTATGTCGCCTGTGATTTACTGAGGGGGAGAGCATCGTCCCTGTTCTCAGATCTTGCACTCTTGGCAGAGTCAGACCAGGGCGGAAGGAGTGAGGGCAGGGGCCCCATAAATAAGCCAGGACGTGAATCAATGTTCCTGTCAGAAATGGCAGACTTTGTGTAGCCTCGTTTGAAGTAATGTTTTGATTTTAGTTTCCTTGCAAAAAGAGGTGTAAGAGAAGACATAGCAACTTTTGATGCACGAAATATTCCAAAGGAAATAAGAGAGAGCGTTGAAGAACTTCTTTATAAAAATAAGGGATCTTTTGATTCAAAGGTAATTTTTAACAGCTGTGCTATCTGTTCGCTTCCCACGCTGCATAATGTTCTGCTTGTTGAAATGTGATGACTTTTCATTACTGATTATTTACCCTGTCTAAAAATTAAAAGTGGACAAAAAAGATAAGCTGTAGGGATTCTGTGTCAGAAGGCTTGACTGCAGATAGGGGCCAGGACTCCGGGCTGGGTCTGGGGAGCACAGTCAGTGTCCTATGTGCTGTTGAACCTTCCGACCTGCTGGAGTCCTCTGTCACGTCTTAACTTCTGACTTGCCTGGCCTGCTTCTCTTTCTTCCTTCCTGCGCACTTGTCGTGGAATGACAGATAACCTGCCCTACGGTACTTGTATCTCATTTTAGTGAATAGTTTGAATTCCAGGATTCTGGTATTTTTTTTTAGACCTTTTATTCGAAGTGTCACGTGCAGCATCTCCGGTAGCCCGGTTTCGGAGCGCTCTCGTCCGGTAGCCCGGTTTCGGAGCGCTCTCGTCCGGTAGCCCGGTTTCGGAGCGCT